GGTACGAGGAGCAAGCTTTGCTGCATGTCGTATAGTTCGTGCACTCGGATAGTACGAGGGGTGAGCTTTGCTGCGTCATTTTGTTTGGGAATCCGACGAAGGTTACCTAGGTGTATTCCAAAACGCGGCGTCGTCTGCATTTGGGCTTCGACTTCTACTTGGGTCCCTAACTTGAAGTTTCCAGCTCAACATTCCTCAATGTTTTCTTACAGAAATATCTTGTTGTTATACATGAAGCAAGGTTTTGTGCATTTGTTCGGAACATTAAAATCTTTGAATGATAAAGTAAAAGCGGTATTAAACGAAGCTGAACTTTGAAAAGGGGCTATCGTGTTGATTTGTTGCCCGGTAGCGGCTGCCTGAATAAGAGTCCTCAACGCCAGGCAACCCTTCACCTACTTTTTTACCCAATTTACCGACACCTCTCCCCCCCCCCCCCCCCCCCCCCCCCCCCCCCGTTTTGGTTTTCTGCGCCTGCTAAAAAAAATGCTGTCATAGTTCACTTGACTTTCCATAAAGTTTTAGCAGGGTAACTGTGCCAGAAAGCTACTTGGCGAATTCGAAGCTCACCTGAGGTTTGAAGGTTTGAAACTCATGCTGAGGTTTGGCAAGACTACTCGATAATAACGGAGACAAAGTAAATGCGCTCAATTTAAGGTATAGTAGTAGCCATTTTGGATCGTTACTATGTCCTCATAGTTATTCAGTCGCTTCTTTGCCTTAGAAAATCTTATTGAAGTAAGGATGAGTATTAAAGTAGATTAACCAAAATAAATCTCTCCAAAAAAAACAAAAATAAAAAAAATTAAAATTTCCACCAATTTATTACATGACAGGTATTTACAATTTATGCAAATTTGGTATGATTTAAATTTCCACCAATTGGATTTTTAAAGACTTTTAGTATGTCAGTCTGGGGAACTAGGAATGTGGTGCAAAAACAAATCTTTTCAATTTGGTGCCTGGATTATAAGCGTTTCATGTTGGAAATAAATGGGAGGGGTGCACATTGTGTCGCTGCTCCTGATGAGGCTATATAGCTTGTCTTCTTTTGCCAACCAACCAGTCAGAGGATCGACATGCCACAGGTGATACATTATTCAATCTTACCTGCCATTGCTGACAACATCAGAACCAAAGCTGCTGCTCCGTCCATTGTCCACGATGCAGGTGAATTCTGAGCACAATCTGCTGAGATGTATTTACGCTTCACACACCAACGCGAATTATAAAAAGGTAACTATACCCACGTTGACTACTGGACAACAGAATCAACGTAAAACCTTACTGGAAACTTTTTCTGATTGATGCAATGAACGACACACACACCACACCAGGAACGCATGTAGAGTACTAAGCGACGATCTGCAGGAAAGAGCCTGACTTACTTAGACCAAACCTGATTGACGCAATGATGAAGACTCCGTTAGTGTTGATCATAAATCACAGAAAACAAAACGCCACGCGCTCGCCTCAGCAGTTAAGCAGCCGCAGACTACAAACAGGATGACGTCACTCATATGCATGCATATAACCAATCAGGAACAAGCCCGAACTTGCCACGAAGGCACAACGTTTTCTGATTTGTTGAATGTTACAGTATGGGTGGCGCTAACGCTGGAAGCGGTAACGTAACAGCCAATGGGCACCACCTTGTAATTACAGTTTCCAGTTTAAACAAAATATCGTCTTGAAAATTAACCAAATATTGTCTTGAAATTGAACAATAAAGACCATCTCGGACATAAACAGTCACGAATCGATATGAAACGGTGCGGCACCGCGCACGAGCTGAAGCGGCTTCCGGTAAAAAACACAGAATCCTCAGCAGCAATCAAGGTTGGTCTAGATAATTACACAACCGTGTAAACAACGAACCTTTAGAAAGCGATACGCAGCGGGAGGGCAGAAAAATTACAGAAATGGCAATTAAGAGATTCTGCCTTTGATGTTCAAGGCAGTGTTGATAGGATACGTCGAACGAGTCAAAAGGCATTGAAATACGAAATATTAAATCAAACCTCTTCGTCACAATGGTAGGGAAGCCTAACGAGTCATTTGCCCATAGACTCCATGCATAAATACACCCTAAGTGGTACAGATGCAACATAACAGAGCGTCGATCCAATGTGGATCTGCTACCTTCAGGCTCCTTGTCTCAGGGTCTTATTGCCTGTAAATAATATACAAACAGTTAGTAAACAGAACCAGAAACGAACGAATGATAGGGACAGGGCGTTGGTAACAGGAATGTATCAGTGTTACAGGGCGATATCTGTAGGCAAAATAAAGTTGGTACAGACGATAACGGTACCTTGATAACGAGACTTGCTAAACATTCTGAAAGAGGAACGAAGTGGTCCTTGTTTTCACTGCTGGTTAATTGTATAATTGTTGCAATCAATTTTGGACTGGCAGATGGTCACTTCGCTCATCTTAACGCAAAGCACGTCAGCTGATCAAATACTGGCAGCAGGTCACTTTGCTCATCTTAACCCTAAAGGGGCCGGGGCGGAATCTGCCCCCCTCACCTCAACTTTTTTCGCGATAGCCTTGACAATTTTTTTTTCGCGACCCGAGCTGTTTTGACTTTTTAGCCTCTAGTCTTGCGCATCTTTTGTTACCAAAAAACATAAAATTCGGACCATGGCTTGCCGCACAGCGAAAAAAATTCCGGCGCTACGCGTCGTGAAGATGAATTTACCCATATACGTAGTGTTCACCAAAAAAAACAAAATTACCTTTCGTGCATATGGATAATTAATAAGCCATAATTCTAAAATCCTTTGACCTATTAAATTTCTTGAGTATGTTCATCATAAGTTTTTCTGTGCATGTACCGGGTTTTTTAATTTTTCGTCACTCGATGGCTGAGATCTTAGGGGGGTCGGAATCCCCCCCACCCCCGGCTGAGAGATGGTCAAAATAACCCAGCTCTTTTAGGGTTAACGCAAAGCACATCAGCTGATCAACACTTGTGTTAAATTTAAACAAGATATGTTAAAAAAAAATTAATCCAAAAGAATCTAGGGCAAGAAGAACAGTTTGTGTGAACGAAAATATTACTAGTTTTGGGGTACCTCGTATTCTAATGAAACCTAACCTATGTAAAGACCCCATAGTGAGTTTGTGTCCCGAAGAGTGACGTCATGATAACGTCATCATGGGTCACGTGACGTCATCTTAAATGTTCAAACTTTAAGACCCTATATCTAAAGAACTGTAAGTCCGATTGGCCTATCGCGGTAGAATCGCGTCAACGCAGCTTGTGAAATATTGTCCAATTACATGATATAAAAATGGACGCGGAACGCGCACAATCTGATACAAACAAAATTAGAGTTAGGTTTCATTAGAATACGAGTTTGTTTAAGGTCACAATGCCGCGGTTAAAAATGTGTACAAAGTCTATGGGATTTTGGGGTGGAACAAAAAGAAAAGAAAAACGAGAGCTATCCGATGAACAGGACATGCTTTTCCGCATTTTTTTGTTGTTAATATTTCAGAAGTATATTTGGAAATTCATAAACAAAAATTGTACAGAAATCAACCGATTACGTCATTATGGCGTCACTTCGGATTTTGCCTACAAAAAACATCATCTGTCTTCCCACCAAGTTTTATGACGATCCAACCACCAGCCCTTGTGTATGAAAACAATGTTATCTTTAATTAGTAAAGTTTACGGTCGATTAAATTTGTCAAAAAAAGGCAAAACCGGTTACTATAGTGAGCAGAAATCATTTTACCCTTACGATACCAAATTCAGCAAGATTTGGCACAATGTTGAAGTAAACATTTAGGTTTTTGGTTAATGTTTAAATTCTTCAACGACATTTGACTTTTTTCTGATTCTGATTGAGAAAATACTATTCCATAATAATAAAGACGACTTTTAATGCGCCATGTCTGTCACATCGTGACACTCCTTATTAAGATTGTTTGAAATATACATTGAATTTTAATAGGGAAAATGTTCGACTTCAGTATAGTTTTTGTTGAAAGTGTTGAGTGTTCTTCATTATGTCTCACATTTTACTTTTCAAAGTCTGATAATCATCAGCATGAATATGAAACATCCCAATACAGTCACCCAAATGGATAAGGAAAAATACAACAACTATTAGGAAGTGATGCCATATATAATAAGAACGTGAACAACCACTTTCACGACGATCTGCAGAGCCAGGTAGACGACTCCAATAGGATTGGGCTCAGCGTTCGAGCGATTGAGAAACCCTCTAAGCGTATCAAGGGCAACAAGGCATCAGGCCCTGATGGTGTTTCTGAGAGAATCCTGAAATCCTACTATAGAGAACTGTCTTCTGTATTTCATAGACTGTTTCAGTAGTCTCTAGTCTGGTCTTCAACATAATTCCCACAATTTGGAAATAAAAAACCTTAACTGTTATACCGATTCCAAAAGTACCCAAACCTACAGTAATGCATGACTTTTATTAGACCTATTGCTCTCACATCGTCAGTTATTAATTTTTTTGAAAGTGTAATTAAGGAAATTATCTTGGTTCAGACTAAGGCTTACACTGACCCTGTCCGGTTTGCATATCGTTCGGGCAGAAGTGTGTATGATGCCATTTCAACACTTGTGCGTCACATTTATGCACATTTGGATAAAACTCATAAATATGTCAGAACTCTGTAGACATCTCATCGGCTTTCAATACAATTCAGCCTCATTTATTGACTGGCATATTGAATAGAATGTATGTCAATCCTCGTATCTCTTTGTGGATTTACATTTTGTGGATTAGGCCAGTTTGGTGGTTTTGAGACATCATCTTTCATTGAAAAAAAAACTTTTTTATTTTGCCAACGCACATGGCTACGGTGACACGCGCGCAAACCAGAAACCGGAGACTTTTTTTTTTGGCCTTAACATTGGTTTTGTGATCTAAAATTAAAATGTTAATATTGTCCTCAAAATGGTCGATTTTTTGGTTAATTGTTTTGTGTCACAAAAGCAATCGTACAAAACACAAACATGTACTAAATTATTTATCATTAAATAAATCACCTGTTTTTGTTTCAGTTACTTAAACATAATATTACAACATCCCATCACACAATAAAATACATATTTCAATACCATCCTTAGAGTAATATCAATCGATCATATACAAATAATAACTGATGTATGGCACAGGAACAAAATACACACAGTAAAGATAGGTAAAATAACTTTTCAACCAATTATATTGAATTAAAGACTCCGTGGTCTATTTGAAACCCATAAAAAATTAAGGTGGCACTTAACAAGAATTTGGTGCGTCATAAGTTCACATCCAACCAGACTGTAACACAAAGAAATTGTTGCATGAGGGAAGTTCATATCCAACTTGCATTGCACCATACAGAAAACGAATTGGAATTCCTGAGTCTCGTATGGAACGGAGATTTAGGATGAGAACTAATAGTGATAGGAAGTTCACATCCACCCCGAATCACACAGCAATTTCTTGCCAGTATACATTAGTGCCGTACTAAAGTTTATTAGGAAGGTTCACATCCAACTTGCAGCTCACGGAGGAATGAGGATTTGCAGTGCAGTGGTAGTGAGTGGTGCGTTTTTACAAGAGATGCCTGTAGAAGGGGTTCACATCCAACTTGCAGCATACAGAGGAATGAGGATTTGCAGCCCAGTGGTAGTGAGTGGGGCCTTCACAAGAGATGCCTGTAGAGGGGGTTCACATCCAACTTGCAGCATACAGAGGAATGAGGATTTGCAGTGCAGTGGTAGTGAGTGGGGCCTTTACAAGAGATGCCTGTAGAGGGGGTTCACATCCAACTTGCAGCATTCGGAGTAATGAGGATCTGCAGTGCAGTGGTAGTAAGTGGGGCCTTCACAAGAGATGCCTGTAGAGGGGGTTCACATCCAACTTGCAGCATTCTGAGTAATGAGGATCTGCAGTGCAGTGGTAGTAAGCGGGGCCTTCACAAGAGATGCCTGTAGAGGGGGTTCACATCCAACTTGCAGCATTCGGAGGAATGAGGATTTGCAGTGCAGCGGTAGTGAGTGGGGCTTTCACAAGAGGTGCCTGTAGAGGGGGTTCACATCCAACTTGCAGCATTCGGAGGAATGAGGATTTGCAGTGCAGTGGTAGTAAGTAGGGCCTTCACAAGAGATGCCTGTAGAGGGGGTTCACATCCAACTTGCAATGTCCACATGGAAATTCTTTAGTCAGGAATGGTTCATACCTGCGAGATAAAGTAACGGACATTTGTCTAACAACATAAAAAAATAGGAATACTTCGACTGCCACAAATGAGGAAAATATCTGAAATAATTGACTTTTTGGCAGAATGGGCAATAAAGTGCTGAACGGGAGGGACTATGTAAAGATATCCGTGCAAATAGGCAATTTATTTTAGAAAACCTGCCAAAAAGCTGCCGACAGACTTTAAAATTTGTCACTGGTTTACAAACTAAAAACTGCCCCTATTTTAATATGTGTTGTTCAAATATACTGCATGTTTAAGTTGGTTCATTTTACCCATGGCCAGAACCTTCTTGCTGTCTGAGCAGTCACAGACAGTCAAAAATCATTCCACTTCCCCTGCCATGCCTTTCACAAAGGCTAGTCACCAACAGTCAGATAACATTTTTGTAAGCACTGTGACTAGTCAAATTCTGTCAACAGACAAAAGCAGATAACCTATAAACACAGGAGGCTTATCAATCATCACCATTCAAAGAATTGAAGCATGACTACAGCAAGTTACATAAACAGTGACAGCCAGTCAAGCCTGCTGTATGTGGGCCCCACTCCAGCTAACAATTGTCACTTGACTGATTCTGATTGAGACGATTACATTTACATGTAGTTTGTGAGCTAGAGTAAGAGGGTTTTCTTCTTACCAGAAGTTGACAGCCAGATTCCTGCCTTCAGTGACGTTAGGATAAGACTGTACCTCATGCCACCAGAATGCTGGCATGAATAAGACATCTCCCTCATTAATGGTGCAGTTTAGTGGGCGTGTCTCAGCAAATGCAGGGAATCTCTGTGTGGTAAGCATCAGATAATTACCTTACTGTCGCGTCCTGGTTTACAGGTGCAAAAACTGTCATTGGGGTCATGTTATGCCCAACTACAGTATGTCCCCAAACAAGTGTCAGTCTGACTATTTGTGAAATAACTACAAAACCACAAGTTAATTTGGAAAATTGTTTTGATTGTGGAGATACTCCTTATCCTTGGTCTACACCCCTATGAGTTTCATTGTATTTCCATCTACCTCAGTGCAAAATGGTCAATTGATCACAACAACAGTTTTGGACACTGTGACCAAGTTCCTGTTGTGAAAAAAGGCTGATGTGGTTTGGGATTGAAATCATTTGACCTGGAGTATTAAACTGAGGTTTTGCCATGATGATTGATAGCCAGGACAAATCATTCCAATCCCAACTGCAGCCCTTTTCACAACATGAAGGATTTTGCACAGCTTACATCATAAAGCAGCTCTGAAATTGATTAAGGCAAGAAACTTAGTCACAGTGTCCAAAAGAAACTTGTTGTGATCAACGTACAATTGTGTAGTGATGCATGACTGAAATTAAATCTTCATGGTTGTTTAGTTATTTTAAAAGTAGTCAGACTGACACTTTTTTGGGGACATACTGTGTAGCAATGGCCCAACTACATTTAAGATAGTCCCAACTACTGTTAGTACAGTCTAAACTTGACTTGGGATGATTCTAACTACAGTAGATGGCATAATCCCTACCATTGTTGGAACAATGCCATAGTTGGGGCATAACAGTAATGACAATTAACCGGTGCATGTAATTGCAGTAAAGAATGTTGCTTAGGGACACAGGTCTTGTTCAGTTCAAACTTAAAAATCGATTTTGAACAATAGAATTTGACTTCATCACCCCTGAAAGACAATGTCAGCGGATTCATTTTTTAGGTGCATTCGTACTGATCAGCAAATACCTGAAAATCTGGATTGAGGATGTCAACGGGTGCCATGACCATGGCCGTGCTATCCAGGAGTTTCTTGCGACGGAATCGCCTGCTCAGAGGATCATAACCCAGCTTAGCTTCAGGAATGTGAGCCTCGTACATTTTGGTGTTGTCGTGAGGCTCAAAAAGGGTTAGTTGCTTTTTACCTCGGATCTGGAAGAAAAAAGCAACAGATTTGAAAGAGTTGTCACTACAACAAATGGATTGGCAGGCAAAGCTTCAATTGCAGAGGATGACTGTTATTGTTATGGGAAGACAATCCAAGAACAAGTTTCAACTTGGAGGACAGAATCCAAGAAGTTACCTGACAAAGGAAGTTATCAAAGGGATCAAAGTGGAGCTTGCCGAGTGTGTTTCCGTCACTCAGCCAGATGTTCAAGTGACGTCTCTTCAACAAGTCCCGAGCAAAAGGCAATTCCTGGATGTCTTGCTCAAGCTCCGGAAGGTAATTAGGGATGGATGAGTATTCAAGATAGGCGGAGGCTCTGGATTGGAAAAGACATACACTAAATGAAAATAAACAATAAAGTAATACGTGATACGAGTGATAGGAAAAAAACCCTGTTATTTCTAAGCTTACTGTTAGAAAGTAAGCAATGCTGCATGGTGAGGTAGACTATTTTTTTCTTTAAACTAAGTCCTCATAAAATATAAAAAATCGCAACATACATTGTAAGTAACTGCCTATAACATTTCAATATTGACAATTTTTAGGCAAAGCAAAATAATACTTCTGCTTCTGGTTACCCTACCTACATGTACCCTATTTTGACAGTCCCTAATTTTTTTGGGGGGAAACCGAGGAAAAACCCTGAATAGCATCAATTCCTACCTTTTACCTTAGACTTCACGCAGACACCTCCATATGATCATACACACACAAAATTGCCAAAAAAAGAAATCCCTACCTACCTACCCTATTTTCAAATGCCATGTAATCGGAAGCAGAACTATTTTTGATTGGCTTTTATATCAGTACATGTACCTAGGTTTTCCGTTGCCTGATTCCTTTTCCACTTTAGAGGTATTTGAGATCATATCCAAAAACTCAGCAAATTTCAGATTTATTGTCGCTGGTCGGACAACGACCAGATCTGGAAAGGGTAATATGTCCAAGACGGCGCTTGGTATCGTGAATGTCCCATATTCCTCCCAGTTGGACGATGCCTCAACTCCTTCAAAGAGTCCGTCGGGAGCAAGCTTGACATGAACATCCTTGTCACCGTACTGATCTCTAAGGAACTCCATCGTCCACTTGCGAAAGGCGTCCCAGTGTGCTGCAGCGCCCTCTAGGATGACTGGTTTGGACGTCTTTAAGTAGTCGTAAAAGAACTGTCCTTTGGTTGGTAGTTCGGACAAACGTTCACACTGTGGGAACCGTCTCGAAGATATCGGATCTTTTCTTATTCCTTCAGGACAGTCCTCTGAAATATCTTTCAACATCTCTGTGTTTCCAAATTGGCTAAAAGCTGGCTTTAACATATCACCATCTGCAATCTCTGCTTCGGACGCTCTGCAGAATCCTTTCATGTCTTTGCTGCATTCACCATCAAAAATTAAAGATCTGAAATCCAGCGGCTGACAAACTGTACTGGCAGATTCTCCCGATACGTTTTGAAGTTGTAACCTTGACACCAAAGAACCCTGATTCCATTGGCGATTAAAATCCTGCATGGTGAAATTTGATACATGCGACACACTGAATAGGTTCTGTAGGATACTGTCTCTGTGCAACCCTTCATATGTTAGTCCTCCAGTTGGGCTGATATACGTGTGGCAAATATTATTCACCCAATCAAGAGCTGTTTGGACATTCAAAGGGCCGGTGAACAGCTCTGCTTGGGGTTTTCTTCCTGGGCCAGTGATCAGGCATTCCCGATCTTTCTTCTGCTTTGGGAAAATCACCAACGTGCCACCGTCAGCTTCTGATATCAGGTGTTTTGCTTTTGAGCTTTTACCAACCCACTGCAACGGCTGACCGTTTGGCCAAGTGAGTCCGTCACTTAGGATAAGTTCAGAAGTGCCAAAAGTGATGTCCTTACTGTCCGTCAAAATCTGATGCAATTCATTCGCGAGAGTTTCCACGTGAGCAATATTTTTATTATAAAGAACCAGAACGCATCTCCTTTCCACCTCTGAAAGAATTCTGGGTAGGCTCAGATCTTCTGGCTGACAGATGCTGGGTTTAAAACAAATTGCAGACATAAAAACCACCAGAAATGTGGCAAAACTTTGAAGTAGCAGACAGCTTTTGCTTCCCATGGTGGCTGCCATCTTGGGTGTAGCGCCCTCTGTTGTCAAAAAGTACCAATGATTACGTGTCCAACTATTGGAGCGCGCTGCTCCATGCGCTAGCTAGCGCTGTATGTTATTTTGTTATTAGAGCGGTAGAAAGAATGGGCCATATTCTGAAACAAATTTTAAAAAAGCTACCGATATGCGTAAATACGTATCCATAGCTCTTTTTGTGTCTGCAGCATATATCGTATTTTAACCAATTAACATGAATATTTCACACTGTGTGGAAGACACATTTAAAAAGTTCTCGGAGTGTTGTTTCCCATCCCCTTAAATTAAAACAACTTTTTCCGCGATTCCCTTGCAAAATTGTTTTTCCCGACCCGAGCTTTCCTGACTTTTTAGACTTGCGCATCTTTTGATACCAAAAACATAAAATTCCGACCCGGGTTACCGCCCCATGATTTTACTGATTGTCCCCTATACACAAAGCAGAATTACCATTGGTGTATATGAATAATCAATTAGCCATAATTCCAAAAGCTTTAAACCAATAGTCATGAAATTTCGTGGGTATGTTCATATTAGTTTGTTCTATGCATGCACCGAGTTTCATAATTTTGCGTTTCTCGATGGCCGAGATCTCGGGGGGGGGGGGGGGGGAAGAATCGCCAAGATGCATACCCCATCCGCTTCCAAACATGGATTTTTGTCTCCTAACAAACTTTCAATCTGTATGTTTTTTTTATTTAAAACGAAAAAACAAACTATATATTCCTCCGCTTTTGGTGGTCTGCAACCCTCAGCAAAAGGGCTTTCATTTTGTGCACAAATACCCGCCATACGTGCGAGAGATAGTAGAGTCGAATTATGTCTGGCAGGCAAAATTTGAATTTTGTATTTCTAGGAAAATATTATTTCAATGTGAAACTCGAAATAGCACGGTAAACATTATGAGCAATATTTTGTTATGACCCACACTGAGAGTGCGAGAAAAAGCTTTAGTTTTGTTCAAACCCCTGCATAACGGGACAGATAGGCCAGTCCACGCGTTGAGGTTCCCTGATGTGTTCGAGAAATCAGTAAAATTCTGTAGACACTGGAAAACTGACAGGCTAGACACGCACCATTTAAAAAAAAAATTTTTTAAATTTTTTAAACGGATTTTTTTTTTTATATTTTGGGGGGTTTAAGGGAAATTTTATAACATCTGCATTAGTGTTTAAACTGTATTTTGTGCAATTATAGGTGATTTAGCAGATTTGGGTTAAATCTAGAAGATTTTTGAAGTGCATGATCAAGTAGAATTTTGCCATGACCTTAATTACGGTCACCCCGTTTTCTAGAAATTGTTTTTATTATCGGGGGCGGGGGGCGGGGGGCGTGTCAAGGCAGCATCGATCCAGCCGTCTGTGAAATGGCTCTTTATTAGAAAGTGTATTTAAGCACCAGTCCAGTTGTCTTACAATTATTTCAAGTTCCACGAAAATAGTACAAAAACTAGACGCAATGATTTGTTTCAGGCAACTTTTCAGTTTATTTCTAAATTCTACTGGTTAGATATATAAACATTATTTATCATCGTCATTCTTCCGTCAAGCCCAACAATATACAAAGTAAAACAATAAAAGCAATTAATTCATTTCATTTGTCATAATATCATCCGTCTTTTACCAGCGATCACTAACTTGTCCAATGCATTCCTCAAGCTAGCCCACACCTTGGGCAGATACCGATTTCCATGAATTGTTTCTTCGCAAAGGTAATATACAACATATTGCAAACATTAAAAACAAAAAAAAATACCAAAATATTATGAAATACCTTACTTGACTGCGAGGAAATAATAGTCTTAAGCATCCTGTGAAATCATGGCTCCTGGTGTGCTGTCATTTTCAAAAAAAGTGGACTTTTTGTATCAATTTGCAACGATGGTCGGCCAACCATTGTTAGAAAAAACCTGACGTTTGTTTCAAATACTGACCCCAATTTACCAATTTTAGTTAGTCCACATTTTGTTTGCAACTGGTTACACATCTGTAAACCGGTGCAAGCCAGCTAAGTCTGGTTCCCTGACCTGACAATTCCCCTAAATCTACTATGTTTCGTCTGAAGTAGGATCAGGGAACCAGACAACAATAACAGCATTTTTTGTTTGTTTTTACCAGCATCTATGCACACAAAACATTTAAACAGTTCGGTGTAACAATTTTTGCTATAAAATACTAACCCCCACATCCATCCAATCTGAAAATTACAGCAAAAGCAAATGTTGTAAATTACCTTTAATAGATCATTTGTACTGCAACCATGTTCGAGGTGTGTGCGTTTTTTCAGTTCTACAGGGATACGCATGAAAAGACCTCTTATGCAAAGTTTGTAGTTAATTAATTAAAATATTACACACACAAAACCCTCAAAAGATACCTGCGGACTGCAAAAGATTTTACCTTGACGTGTGACTCAAAATTGTACCGTGTCAACACTTTTTGGTAGTAATGATTAAATTCAGTCTATAAGGCCAAAAAAAAAATATTCGGTCTCTGGTCAGACCAAAGTTCCGGAATTGACGCGGCCACGTGGCTTTTTTTTTTCTTCAAGCTTGGATTGTACAGACAAGGTGGGTACTATTTTACTTTTTTGGTGTCCTCATGTACATTGGTGTCCTCCATAATTTGCCTTGGTGCTTTCGATCATTTGCCTTGGTGCAATTTCCCATTCCTTGGTGCTCTTCGGTAAAAAAAAATGAGGTGCGGAAATAGAGGGCGCTGTTGGAGCTACCGCGGAACATTTTGGGAAAAAAAAGATCGACGCGCATGATTAAAATTGACGCGCGCGCTGACCAGAGACCGACTTATTTTTTTTTTTGGCCTAAAATTCGTTGATTTCCACCTGCCAATTTCAGATACATTTGTAGTTTGGCAGTAGTTAATCCCTGCATAGAAGAAAAAAATCAAAATCCTCATGATTTTCACGATTTGATTAACATTCCTAATCAAAGACGATCCTGTGTGGATAACTGTTCAAGCTGATTGGCCAAATCTTGTAGATTGGGAGAAAAAAAACCAGTGTCTTAAATAATTTATCAAGAAGCCAATTATCTATATCTTGTAACAAAATGACTCAAATATGGGCCAGGATTTCTATACATAAATAATAAATAATGATCATTACAATTCATTATTAAAAAGCTATTACAGTGCCAATCTTGAACTTTCATAAAACACATTTTAAGATTAGTAATATCAAACTTAATTGTTTTTTTCTCCTGATAATTTTTTTTCTATTTTCCCAATAATTTGTTCGAGAGTGATGCGAACTCATTTCTACAAATATCACAATAATTAACTTCCTTCAAAGACAGCCCATAAATCAGGCTATGTGGTTATTCTATAAATTCAGGGTCCAAGTGTAACATTTTCCTGTCCCTGTTACCTTGCTACTTTGTCATTTGCCATTCAAGTATCATTAAGAATGACTTCCATTGATTTTTGTATTTGTTGTGTAGATAGTTTGCTATTCATGATCACTCTTGGAGGATGACTGCATTAAGGAGTGCATCAGAATTGTAACATTACAGATGTCTGATGTAACAGGGACAGGAAAAAAGTGGACCCCAAATGTATAGAATGACCCATCTACAGACCCTATAAATCTGGACACAAAAAACCAAAGACTTTGGTAAAACCAAAGAACTTCACTGACAAGAAGTCTTGAGCTATATGCAATGAGCCATCCTCAGGCAATCAATGATGGAGACCAAATGAAAATCTGCAGAAATTCCAGTTCATCTTCAACATCAATGAACAGAAACTTACGTTACAGTCAGCAAACTGTATAATTATTATCTTCAAGTAAACTTGAATACTCGATCCTAATTGGTTGTTCCATGGCAACAAGCCGTACTACATATAACCATATGAGCTCCGTGCGCTACCAAAAGAGGGCGCCCTTTTATCTAGCAACGACGTCCCATGGGCGGTATATTTCGCTGGTTGACGCGCACCGTTCCTTGTGTGTGACGCGCGTACACCAGTGGATTTGTTCTATGTACACGCAGTGGCCACGCACCCCCAACTGTACTTCCTTTGCCGGTGAGGGGGTACTTGTGAACGAAGCGGATAGCAAGGCCACAGTCCATACCGCACTCCGCGTATTGCGCTATTCTAAGATGCGCACGCCATTCCGTACAACGCACACGTGTAAAAGGATAACCACTGAAAAGTTTTTGTACAGCGTGCATGTTCAATCGTTACTGTGCGTCAAGTTTGCTTGAAGATAAATTCATTGTTCCACTCGCACTCGCGGGATAACCAATAGTGTTCTTGCTGCTTGATCTGATGCAATAACAATCTATTTTCTTTTCTGCAAAAATGCGAGTAAAGAAAAACTGGCTAGTTTGCAGTGCAAGTATTCAGTATGCAATTGTTAATGAAAGGTCAAGAATATTTTGCAGTGGTTCAACAATGAGGAAAACAGAATTTCAGCATTTTTCATAATTGTAAAACTCCTTAAATTAGTATGACATGTACAGAATTAAACTTTAAAAATGCATCACAGATTTCTTAACATATAAGTGGCATTGTCATTCATAAAATAAAATAACTGAGTTTTTCATGACATTACTTTCAGGGTAAAGTATCAAAATTGGACTCTTTAAGGGTAAAGAATTCAACATTACCATGGTTGATTTTCATTGGTTCATCTTCACAAAAGCAAGACATCTCATCCAATCAAAAGTCAGATCTAGATCACATGACAAACCAATCATCACCCAACTGAACAAAAGCGCCCTCTATGCTCTGTGAGCCATGAAACTCTACATACATCATTTACATATATACTAATGAGCTAATGCTATAGAGAACCTGGAAAGCCCAGCCCATTGGGTTGCCGCGGTGAGCTCTCTTCTGATTGGCTGTCACTACTGAGAGACATCTGCTGGTAGGCGGAGCTTAGAGGTTGCTCTGTAGAATATTGCTGAGAGGGGTGTGGTTGAGGATGCGGTGTGCTAGAGAATATTGCTGGGGAAGAAATAAGCTGCGGCGGGCTACTGCTATCATAATGATTGACCTGCACAGGAAAAAAGACCATTCATTCTGTGAAATGAAATGCAATAATAGTAACTCTCCTAGTGGAAAGTCAATATTCAGAGTAATATGTAAAACCCTTTAAAACCCTGCAGGTCAGTTTCAGGTGAAGAGATATGAAGTGGTAAAGTAACTGTGTCAGACAGAGAGTCACTGCATACAAAAACAGCACCGTGGAGAGCAGTGAAGCGTGAATGAATCTGCCTGCTTGCCCTGAGCTTAACCACACAAAAGAATTGTGCAGGGATTTGAAACGTTATCCATACTCTCCAGTGATGGCGTAGATCTGTGTCTGCGAGTAGGGGGATGGGGGTTTGACCATACGGCAAAATCCTGAATTGCCTGGCAGAAACTGAAGGGTCAGTACCTTAGTGATGCACTACTCAAACCTTTACGACACTCTAATACTTATTATGTACTGCTATTTTTTAAGATATACTTTATTCCAACCAAATGGTTGTATTCATATCCTATAAAGGTACATTTTGCGTGTATTTTCATCGTCGCCTTTGGAAAGTACCTGTCAACAATGCAGCTATACCTCCTGTGCAGCCCGCCAATTTGTTTCCAGAGAAAGGAATGGATTTAGAAATAGGAAAATGATCGGCCGTTTCGTACCTGGAAATGTGATGCTCTAAGCTGTGGGTGGGTGGTGGTTGAATCTGGGGGCCTACCTGGGGAACTGGGAGAACCGCCGAAGGGCAGAGGTGTAGAGTTGATTGAGGGATCTGTTTGATCTGTCAAAGTTTATGGAAAGAGTAAGTAGATAAACAAAAACATGAGAAGGTTAGCCTAGTCTGTTTGTACTGAATATACATTCCTCCGAAATGCATGAAAAACTACGAGACATCCCTTTTTGGTAAACGTTTTTGCAAAGTGTACTTTTGTTTACATTTAAAATGTTTGATGCTTTTACTGACAACTGAGGGCACTGTTGCTATGATGTCACTTTAGGCACGCACTCTTCGGATAGCGGCTTTTCCTCTTCAAACTGTAAACCCAAAACATTTGTGAATAACGTGTTCCCTGTACTGCAACAGCAATGAATCGTTGGAAGCAGAGCAGTAACCACAGCAAACCCCTAATATTCTGGTGACTCTATGCTGAAGCAGATGTGAAACTGAATTTCTGCCTTGAATGACAACACAGTTTTGCTCATGAATATGGAAAATTTCATAAGCTAATAAACCACCAAGGTATCAAAACGCCCTTGAAATGGCAATAAGATTAAAAAGCAATTAAATGGAACACAAAGGTACATTTCAAGGATTGCATTAAACAAATTTCATGACATGAACATGTGGCTTAAAAATTCTTATACAAAGTGACGTGAGCTTTTAAACTTTTGTCCAGTTACAAAGCTGTGATGAGTTTTTAAAAATGAAACAAATGTTGATGGAATTACAATTATGCAAATTGTGTATACATACCTGTTGCCAATGACGACATTTGTTGAGTCAAGCCCAGCATTCCATCCGTTCTCACATCCAGTATCACCCATATTGTTTCTGAAAGACCGACGATTAAATGGTATGGGGAAAATAGCATCCAAAATTCAATATTTTTTTTCAGTAACTTTAAAAAATGAAAAAGGTGCTGGAAGAAAGAACAGTTTCTGCTATTCAAAGGTGCATCATGTTATTGAGCTCAGCAGAAAGTATACGTGTCCCTCTAAAGCCAGTGTTATCCATTCATAAATATCTGAGACAGTTTACCAATTCCTATTGGTCAACAGCCTGTCACGTGGGTGGTTGTAAACCGCTAATAAACACCAGCTGATTTCAAACACAATTCCGCATTCTGCACCACATCGCGCAGTATGCGCCCCCACGCACGCCAATTTAGGAGATTTTTAGTACAAGCACACGAGGTACATACCACAGACGTGGCCAGAGGTGTTTCACAAAACATGAAATGACTTATTGAACAAAATTGTTGTAAATTTGTGAATTTTTGACTTTTTGACCGAAAGATATTTGTGAGTGAGAATACATATATATCTTGGCCGATTTTAAACTGGTTAGGCCTGGATGCTGAAAAGGGCCCTCGCTTTCAGTTCAGGCCAGATTTGCGACCAAGCCCCTCGCTGGTTTTAAAGCTAGAGTCCATCATTTGCAGCTATCTGAAAAGTAACTGGCGTCAATTTTGTTAAAAACATTCTTGTTTGAAAGATAGTGAGGGGACTAAACTCCCTGTGAAATCATTCTTTCTGGCAAGCTGTCATTTTGAAGAAATCAACAAAAGAAGGCCTTTCCAACAGTGCTTCTTAAGAGGCACCGTAGGAAACTCAAATTATAGAAGTTCATTTTGTTATTCGGCGAAGTGCACACCAGCATTTACACGACGCACACAAGCGCGCAGTTGCTAAAATTCGTCAGATCAGTGCTCGACATCGCGTAACTGGAATCGGCACAGTGAGAACGTGTATCGGACACTGAATTCAGGCCTAATTCAAAACATGATTCAGCAACTTTTGATTTGAAATCGAGATCTTAGAATGCTGTTTTCTCGGAATACACAGCTGAAGCTGAGCTGAAACTTCGTCAGGTTAGTTGTTCAGTACCCTTCTTTAGATTTTGAGCACTTTTGTTGCTTCAAACGAACAAAATGCACAAATTACAAATGATGGACTATACCTTTAAACATACTTGCTTAGAACTGGCCAAGTGCAACATTATTTTCTAATTGTTATAATAATTCCAATTGAACTCACCTCCAAAGAAGAACCCAGTGGTTGTACACATTCTCCACTGTCCCTGATAAAGGCCGCACGCTGAGGGGCTACACATCCGTATACTGATGTCTAACGTTTGCTGGGGTTCAAGATGTTCTAAGAATATATGATCGTAGGGTCCGAGTTGGTGTCCGCTGGTGAAACGCAGGCATATACCGGGAGGCCACGGCTCGTCCCCTAAAGGCAAACAAAATCATGGTGATATCCTTGGATTACCATCTAAGAAGACACAGTGGAACGTTATGGTCCAGTGGTTACAGTGTTTGACTCGTGTGACGTGGTGCGAGGGTTTGAACTCTGATGGGGAACATGGTGCTTGTGTTCTTGGGCAAGACACTTTACTACAATCACCTCTCTCCACCCAGGAGTATAAATGGGTACCTGTGAAGGTAGAGACTAGAATGTGCTGATCTCAAGCTGCTGCAAAAACTGGTCACATGGTCTGATGAACAGGGGTAATAATTGTGAAGCGCTTCAAGACCTTTGGTATTAAGGGCTACATGTATATAAACACCACATTATTATTGTTAGATTAAAATCAAAACATTGAAAATGTAAATCTATTTGAAAAAAGAAAAAACAGCTTTAGACCAGTTTGTACAATGTGTGAAAACTGTCTTTGATTAAAGATGAACTGCCCACAGCAAACGAATGGATCAATTCTTGTCATGTATCAAGAGACAGACATTTTGTTTCCTGATATGGAAACGCCCTTTCCGCTCATAAATGTCTCTTTATCAGAACATTATCAGTTTGTTTCCTGATTTTGAGAAAATTCAGCTCTCTTGCAAATCAACAGGAAGCATGTTGACACACTGGGAAATTAGTTTCCTGTTTTAAAGCCGGAGTCCATCATTTGCAGCTATCCAAAAAAGTAACTAGTGTAATTATTGTTGAAAAACATACTGGTTGAAAGATAGTAAGGGGACTAAACTCCCTGTGAAATTAATCTTTCTGGCAAGCTCTCATTTTGAAGAAATCAACGGAAGAAGGCATTTCCAACGGTGCATCTTAAGAAGCACCGTAGGAAAATTTAAATTAGTAGTTCGTTTTGTTATTCGGCGCAGTGTGCGCAAGCATTAGCACGACGCACAGGCATGCACGGTTGCTATAATTTGTCGGATCAGTGCGCGACATCACGTACAGGTAAAGCTGCAATTCAAAACTTGATTTAGCAACTTTTGATATGAAATTGAGATCCTAGAATGCTGTTTTTCTCAGATTATACAGCTGAAGCTGAGCTGAAACTTCATCAGGTTAGTTGTTCAGTATCCTTCATTAGATTTTGAACACTCTTGTTGCTTCAAACGAACAAAATGCACAAATTACAAATGATGGACTATGTCTTTAACATGTTTAAGCAAGTAAAGGAAAGTAGTTTCTTGTCCAGTTAAAAAAAAAAAAAGGCGGCCTTTCCCCCCTTCCCAAGATGGCGCATGGATTCTTCAATTTTCTCGGCTCTTTTTCTGATCCTAAATTGAGCCGCAGCCCTTCCTACAGATTTTGAACTTACATACACAAAACTACCATTATGTTGAAACAAATTATAAGGACAAAACATGCTGCAAATGTTGTGATTTCCTCTCCCCACAAAAGAAGGTGGGCAGGAAAAAAGACAAATGTTGAAAAGATGTGGACAAGAGTCTATACTTATTGTGTCATTCCTTGAAGCCAATAGTTACAGAACCCTCTTGTAATTATAAATTTCTGTTCATGCATTTGACCACTTTCTCCACACATTCAACTCCATGGGGTACCAGTACATATTCATTTTAATGGATATAAAATGCATTGTGATGTAAACGTTACATCCCAACTATGGCATCATCTCAACTAAAGTTGGGACGATGCCAACTACACTTAGGATCGTCCCAACTACAGTTAGGTTGTCCCAACTACAGTTAGGATCGTCCAAGCTACAGTTTATCATCCCAACTATAGTTAGGATCGTCCCAGCTACAGTTAGGATCGTCCCAACTACAGTTAGGATCGTCCAAGCTACAGTTAGGATCGTCCCAGCTGCAGTTAGGATCGTCCCAGCTACAGTTAGGATCGTCCCAACTGCAGTTAGGATCGTCCAAGCTACAGTTAGGATCGTCCCAACTACAGTTAGGATCGTCCAAGCTACAGTTAGGATCGTCCCAGCTACAGTTAGGATCGTCCCAGCTACAGTTAGGATCGTCCCAGCTGCAGTTAGGATCGTCCCAGCTGCAGTTAGGATCGTCCCAGCTGCAGTTAGGATCGTCCCAGCTGCAGTTAGGATCGTCCCAGCTACAGTTAGGATCGTCCCAGCTACAGTTAGGATCGTCCCAGCTGCAGTTAGGATCGTCCCAGCTACAGTTAGGATCGTCCAAGCTACAGTTAGGATCGTCCCAGCTGCAGTTAGGATCGTCCCAGCTACAGTTAGGATCGTCCCAGCTACAGTTAGGATCGTCCCAGCTGCAGTTAGGATCGTCCCAGCTGCAGTTAGGATCGTCCCAGCTACAGTTAGGATCGTCCCAGCTGCAGTTAGGATCGTCCCAGCTACAGTTAGGATCGTCCCAGCTGCAGTTAGGATCGTCCCAACTGCAGTTAGGATCGTCCAAGCTACAGTTAGGATCGTCCCAACTACAGTTAGGATCGTCCAAGCTACAGTTAGGATCGTCCCAGCTACAGTTGGATCGTCCCAACTACAGTTAGGATCGTCCCAACTGCAGTTAGGATCGTCCCAACTATAGTTAGGATCGTCCCAGCTACAGTTAGGATCGTCCCAGCTGCAGTTAGGATCGTCCCAGCTGCAGTTAGGATCGTCCCAACTATAGTTAGGATCGTCCCAGCTGCAGTTAGGATCGTCCCAACTATAGTTAGGATCGTCCCAGCTACAGTTAGGATCGTCCCAGCTGCAGTTAGGATCGTCCCAACTATAGTTAGGATCGTCCCAGCTATAGTTGGGACCATTACCATATTTGGGGCGTAACATAAACACAGGCTGTCACAGTGGCTCTTATCACTTGTGGAATGTATATTTTGTAAAAACACAATAACAAATCTTCACACAAAGTTTATCTCTGCACCCAACATATTGCAATGGTGATTCCAATATAGGAACAACACACGCAGACAGGAATGCTACAAAAACAATGAGAGCATCTATTCAATATTGGGTTTTGCCCTTCACTGACGAATTTGCATAAACACTGTATACTCAGTGTTGTCCCGAGTGATTGTTGTGAGAAAAAATTCACAAACTGCTCGGATGGGGACTCGAACCCACGACGTCCTGCTTAGGCCCCCCCCCCCAAAAAAATTCTGCTTCCGGTATCCCTACCTACCCTTTTCTGACAGCCCCTACCCTAATTTTTTATGGGAAAAAAAAAACCAAAACCATCAATTTCTACCTTTTACCCTTGAAATTGGCCAAAAAAAGGAAAAAATCCCTACCCACCTACCCTGTTTTCGAATGCCATGTAATCGGAAGCAGAAATTTTAATTTTTTTTGGCCTTACTAGTGCAGATGTCTTACCACTCGACCACCGAGCTTGCCAGGGTCGGCTGGCTGGTTTGTATCTAATATAGCAGTGGGTACCGCAACCAAACTAATCATGAGATGAAATTTGAGTCGGGGTGATGTAAATTCAATGTTGGGTTTTGTCATCACTGTATACTTAGTGTTTTCCTGGTTGATTGTGAGACGCAAATTCCATCTTGAGAATAGAGGGTATCTAGTCTTGCCTGGAATGTCAATTTGGGGGCGTGGCAGCACACACATTACATTTCCAATTGTGTGATGTACATGTACATGTATGTATCACAGAGCTTTATTTCGTTATTTTGTGCAAATGTAGTTTACACAAGCCAAACAATAGACCTGTTTATCGGTGCCAGCTTAGCCAAGAGGGCAAAATGTACGGGCAGAACAGCAATAGCGAGGGCCATTCATGGCTGATGCGTTTTGATTGCGCTCGCGCTCGCTAGAGCTGTGCCGAGTCACCTGACCAAGATAGTGCTAATACACATGAACCAGTCTACTCACAAATATCACAAATTTGAAACAATGTTGGCGTGTAAAAAAGGTAGGTCTGTGGAAAAAACCCTCTCAAACATACCATTGTTTTTAACTCGCCACGTTTTCGTGAACTCTGTGTTTGGCGTGATGGATTCACCTTCACCGATCGTTACATCTTTGATTAAGGTCATTCGTGGAAGCTTCGTCTGTGGGGCGGAGTTTTCAATGTCGTAATATGAACCAATAGCAGCCTGTAAATTCCTGTATTCAAAACAAGTAAACAAGGTTTATAAACAAAAATAAAAAGACATATTCACATAATTTTTGTCATGTTTGTAAATATTATTGTAGTTTTTTTGTAGGACCTGGTACTGTGATATTAATGACAGATTATGGTAAACATTTTGTTTAAAACCAATTCAGGGACTTCTCTTGATTAAGTCGAATAAACATAATTAAAACTTTTTACAAAAGGCAAAAATACCAACCAGTTGTTCATATCTAAGAAGAATGCACAGGCCGTCGGGTTCAAATTGTTGCCGGCCAATTTCTGAAATTCGCCGACCAACACATCGCGGTCCGTTGTGCCTAAACTACTAAACTTCGTCATCAAATCCGAGTCCAATTCCATATCCACGTCCATGTTTTCGCCTGTCTAAAGTCTATTTACAGATAAAACGAGAAATCGGTTGACATTTTCGGTCAGGTTTGTGTGGTTTTATCTTAGAATTCTTCGCACTGTAAATTGTAAACGTAAACACGATCATCGGATTTTCGTTTGATGATGATGATGACACGATATTTAACTGGTAATCATAATTGTTGCGCCTTCAATAACCCACCCACGTTCCTGTGGGTACCAGTGAATATGACCTCGTTGACACTGACGTCATTTTAAATGCTTCTCCAAAATATTTAAATGAGGGTCAAAGATCGAATTAACATACAGTGAAGCATGTTTGGACTATGGACATGCTAAATTTCTCCATGTTTGAAAACAGTGCATGCAGCTTTTATACTTGCTTTGGGTTATTGCAAGTTGCAACATACAGACATTACAACTAAAGAACGTTTTCAATTCTGTTTTGAAAGCTTGCATTGATTTATTTTTCAAAAGAAATGAGTCTGTGTTTGACAGCAGTGAGAAAAGCAGGGTGTTGGCCGCAGAGCATCGTGGGAAATGTGCGTCTCTGCAGGACCATTTCTCAGGGGAATCCACTTCAAGTTCAGTCAAGTTATTTGCCTCTTGTGCAGAGAGGAATTCCAAATTGCATAGCATCCCGAGATCCAAATGGCCGTTTCGCTCGATCTTCATCAAGCCTCAACATTTCTGGGACGACATCAATGTTGGCCTGGCAGATTGAGAGCTACGGTGGCAACGACAAAGTGAAATTGGTTGAAAAGCCAATTCCAGTCATCACTCAACCAAATCAAGTGCTCATTAAAGTCCATGCCAGCAGCGTAAACCCGCTAGATGTGAAAATGCGGCAAGGTTACGGAGCCACACTTATGAACAAAGGTCGTAAGGTCAAGTCTGGAGGGGAGTTCCCCTTGACCCTCGGTCGTGATTGTTCAGGGGTCATCGTTGGATTGGGAAAGGCGGTGAAAGGTTTTGAAGTCGGAGACGAAGTCTGGGGGACTGTGAATCAGATCAACCAAGGCGCTCATGCTCAGTACGTCCTGACGACAAATGGAGAAATCAGCCTCAAACCAAACAACTTGTCCCACGTTGAAGCAGCCTCGATTCCGTATGTCACAATCACTACGTGGAGCGCTACGTACGCCATTGCAAGATTCCGCCCAGAAAATGCTGTCGGTCGGTTTGCTCTTGTTCATGGCGGAGCTGGCGGCATCGGATCTTTCGCGATTCAACTTCTGAAAGCTTGGAACGCTAGAGTAGCGACTACATGCAGTACCGACTCTGTTGACTTTGTCCGCAGCCTCGGAGCAGATCACGTTGTCGATTACAGAACCACAGATCCTGAAAAGGAACTCAAGAAACTTGGCCGATTTGACTACATCCTTGACCCGATAGGTGGTAAAGTGGAGGAGTACTCCTTAAATCTGCTGAATGGTGCCAAGGGAGCTAATTATGTTACTCTAATTACTCCACTTATGGCAGCCATTGATTCTCAAGGAGCAGTACTTGGAAGCCTCTCCTCTAGCTTTAACCTCATCAAGAAGGCTCTCCAAACAGCCAAGGTGGGAGGCAAGTACCGCTGGGCGTTTGCGACGGCCAACGCAGAGGCGCTGAAGAAGGTGGCAGCGCTCGTTGAGGAAGGGAAGATACGACCGGTCGTTAATAAAGTGTTTCCATTCACTGAAACCCCCGAGGCACTGAGAGCAGTGGAGGCGGGGCGTGCTAGAGGAAAGATTGTCATCAGTGTTGTCAAGGACAAAGAAGAGCAGGAGGCGAAGAAAGTAGACATCTTCAAAGATGCTTGAAATACATGCTCCAGTAAACTGAGCTACATTATGTATAATTGAAGAAAATTTCAAAATTCACATGACAGCTAAAATTAATAAATCTAAATGAGCGATACAAATTGAATGCTACTACAAGACAGGTTCATACTTCACGTAAATTTCATTAAGTAGCAATTTTTTTCATTAGGGTACTGTCGAATGTCATGATGCTTTTGCTTTCGTGTGAATTAGAGACTTATAAGAAATGGAACTTTCTAATATTTGTTGAAGACGTGTACAGGGACTAGCCTTTGAGTTTAGTAGTCAACATTCAAATTACTTGATCAAAATCTGATTTTCTGACTCGGAATACAGGAGTGGAACTACAAGAACATTATATTAGATTTTAAATTGTGTAAAAAAGTTTCAAATTGTCATTTTTCGAAAGAAACCATAGGCCTATTTGTTGAAGACGTGTACAGGGACTAGCCTTTGAGTTTAGTAGTTGACATTCAAATTACTTGATCAAAATCTGATTTTCTGACTCGGAATACAGGAGTGGAACTACAACAACATTATATTGGATTTTAAATTGTGTAAAAAACTTTCAAATTGTCATTTTCTAAAGAAACCCCAAAATGTGAGCAAAATTTCCTAAGTGGCATTGTGTTGTGAAATGTCCTTGTTTACAACTGAAATCGATGACTTTCTTTCTTTTTTACTTTATTGGTTACTTTTACAAGTCCTTAGTTTAATGAATTTGGCAGACGAAAGTTTGCATCACTAGATTTGCATACTGTTTTATTTGAAAGTTTAGAATTTAATACATGTATGTACAAAGATTAGATACATGTTTTTGATTAGATTGATAAAATACACAAACTGGTTTTCTTTTAAATGGTTTAAACCTACAAATGGTTTTTTTCAATACTTTAGGATGTTCCTCACTTAAAAAACATTTGCAAACTGGTTATATTATTGATATGATGTACATGTATGCAGACATATTTTAGCAAATTAATTTAAAGTTGCATTCCCTTTACTCTTTTCGATTTTCATCCTGTAAAAATGTGATTCCTAACTTGCTATTTTTCTAGCAACACAAAAGTTATTCACTGAAATACCGACTGAAAAAAATCGGCCTATTTTTAGTTATTGAATTATTACTTTACAATTTGGAATTATTGGCTGCCCAGACAATAGTTCCGTTCTCGCGATGGGCTGGTTCCAGCCTCACAATCAGTGTCGATTATGTACAGACCGGCAGCCAGTCTGTTCACAAAGCAGATCTGTTTGTGTCCAAACCAAAACCTTTTTTTTTTTCAGAAGTTTGAAGACGTCAAAAACAATAGGTTTTTGGGTAGAAATAATACAATTTGAAAATTCTTTATCAGAAGAAAAGAAAACTCAGATTTGTGGAAGAGCCATGAGAAGGCAACTTTAATTATTCACTCCAAAATGAAAAGGTGATATACATGTAGTGTACAAATATTGAGTGGCTCAACGTGGAATGGAGGAATAGTATCGCAAGGTAAAATCTGGACTTTTCCATTTCACGAGGCGAAGCCGAGTGAACTGGAAAAGTCCAGATTTTACTGAGCGATAATATTCCTCCCATTTCTCAATTTAAAGCCACTCAATATTTGTTTTATATAATGACATTTAGATCCTTGTCATTTGATATATATGAACTCTTATTTCAATACAAAACTGGAGGAAAATGTATTTCTCTCTTCCAAACCACCCCTTCACGAAAATGTTTGAACCGAACGCTGTAGCGCTGGCTCTTTGGAACAATACGCGCTACGCGCAACACTGAACGCACACACCAGCATGCATTTGCACACAAATACCGCGTAATGGAACAAGAATAATCCTAACTGTTTAATAGTATTTCCCATTCCCCATGGGCGGAAAGTACTTTTTGAGCCGCGGCGTGAATGGGAGCAAAACGAATGTCACATGATGTGAGTTCCACCAATCAAATGACAAGGATCTGTATGTCGGTTATATAATAGTACATGAAATGTGAATGTACATGTGGAATATTAATTGTTCCAATTACTGTATAGTCTTTGTTCACATCTATTGGTTACACAATGCAGACATAGTAAATGGGCAATTCCACGGTTACTCACGTTACATTTTCGTAACGTAACCGATTTTGTGCGTCTTGTTTATCATACATAACACATTTTTCTGGATGTCATCTTTGGTGCTTAGGTAGGTCTAGGTCTACTCTATCTACCATGGGGATAACAGTTATTAAACCTTTTCAGTAAGGTAATTACAGCCCAAGGAAACTCAAAAGTACATCAAAAATGTAACGTGAGTAACCGTGGAATTGCCCAAATCTATCTGTACTACATTGTACATGTATACATGTACTTTCACAATGTGCCTTATTCTTGAATAAATCCACTAATGGTGCTTGGATGGTTTGGTGCAGTACAGGGAGTTACAGGCAGGGCAGTTTGGGGCGGTACGGGTACAAATGAAATAAATAGTTTGTAGATTCACATCATTTTTGGGTCTATATTTGCTTTAATTGCGACAAGAGATACTGTATGTTACACAATGACCAAGTCATTGAAATGGTTATACTCTCCCCTTAACTGTAACAAATCTAACAAGTCGTGTCAGTGCAACAAAGTCGTATCTCCTGAAATGGTCTGTGACGTCATGTACGTGCTTTTAATGTCAAAAGGTCGTATCTTGCTTAAAATAAGCCAGATTTACACACAAAGTCAATGGAAGCCACGATACGCAAGATAGACCTTGTTCCATGGAGCATTCGCGCGAGATTGTTGCAGAATCGAGTTATTTTTACGACCTTGACTGACGCGACGAAATGTTCGCTTTTCTCGACAGAAGAGACAGAATTTGCATCAAAATTGGCATCCTGATTTGAAATTGAAGGTTAAGTTCCAAATGATTACTCTGGATCTGGATCAATACTGCAAGCAATCGCCCGTTAGGCCAAAAAAAAGTCTTCGGTTTCTGGTATGGAGCTTGCCCCAAAAGTGGTGTGGCGACGCGGCTTTTAATTTTTTTTTTAACTTGTTTTTTTCTTCAAATGTCGGCAGATGACTGCAAATAGTGCCCGACTAAATTTAGTGCAAAACGTATGTGAGCCGAGAGAGGCCACAAAAAGCTTATACTCTTTAGTAACCCCATCTAAAAACACGTTAAAATTGTGTAGCAGCAAGATTCCAGTCAAACCAGTGAGTTTGGCGGTTTTGAGACATCATCTTACATTGAAAAAAATTTTTGCTGACTCGCATGGCTGTGGCAATGCACGCGCAGTCCAGAAACTGAAGCTTTTTTATTTGGCCTTATGAGATGTATAGGTTGCAGGTGTGTGTGGCCGGGGGCACTAATAACAAGCTCTGCTTTTTAAACTGCACAAGTTTAGTTTCAGTAGATTGTCCTTAAATGCATCAAGTGAAGGGGCCTCTCTCACAGATGCTGGCAGGAGGTTCCATTCTGCTGTAGTTCTTGGTAGGAAGGAGTACTTGCGACTGTCCTTGTTTGCGTGTTGTCTTATAAAGGATATTGATCCTGTTGTGCGAGTTTGTGCACCCGTTGTGCTTGAGGTATGATGAAGATGGTAAGAATTTTATTGCTGCTCTGTGATGTATGGATTTGGGTAGCAAAGACAGGCATGCAACCATTCTGTGTTCCTCTGCGTAGCTAGGTATATGGTTTTTGTTACTATTAACCCTAACCCCATAAGTAATTTTCTAGGAACCTTCCAACTTCAAATTCCAAAACCATATGGTAAACTCTACACCCAAACTGATGGACTCTGATTATTGGGGCATGCCTGACCCCATGTAAAGCTTAATCAGTTTACTAGTGCAGTACTCACTCCCACAGATTCCAACAAACCCTGGTGTTGAAGTTTAACTGGATGAGGACTGTTGGGGTTAATTAAAGCCTTTGGTAATACATGCACAGTTACAACCATATTATCTTTAAGTTATATTAGGTTTTGCCCTTCACCGACGTATAAACACTGTATACTCAGTGTGTTACCTCCCGAGTGAAAGTTGGAAAAAATCACTCGGGTGGGACTCGACCCCACGACTTCTTGCTTTCAAGTGCAGACGTCTTACCACTCGACCACCGAGCTAATGGGATCGGTTGGCTGGTTCGAATCTGATGTACATAGCAGCGGGTACCGCATTAACTGTTTATAAGATGGACAAAACTGATCCCGTTAGCTCGGTGGTAGAGTGGTAAGACGTCTGCACTAGAAAGCAAGAAGTCTTGGGTTCGAGTCCCACCCAAGTGATTTTTTCCAACTTTCACTTGGGAGGTAACACACTGAGTATACAGTGCTTATATGTCGGTGAAGGGCAAAACCTAATTTGATTTTCATCACCCCGACGCAAAAAAAAGAATTCCATCTTATAAATATCTTTTAATTAGAATTCATCATCATCCCCAATCTCCAAGTACTCGTCATACGACTCGCGATTGCAGTTTCCATCGGGAGTAAAGACGTATTTATGGAAGGTTCCATCCACGCAGACTGCGATGACCGATGTCTGAGGCCCGAAGGCACAAGCACACGCCGACTCAGCTGGAACCGTGAAATTGGCAAGACCCCACTGAGATTCCACGTACTGACCCAAGAATCCCATCTTGGAGAAACTGAAATTACAGAGAAAAATTGGAACTGATGAAAAAATAGAGTACGGAAATTCCAGCGTAATGAAAGGAAGTGTAATGTCCATAACTGAGAAATGATCCCAAACTCCTAGTCTGTAATCTCCTTGACCATTACTAGATGATGATGTATAAGATTTGAAAAATACATTTTCAGGTTAATGCACTGAGCTCTTAAAAGCTGTGTCACGGACAATACATAATGCTGGAATTGCCCCAAAGCAGAAATAGAACAGTAACAGACTAAGGCCAAAAAAAATAAGTCTCCGGTTTCTGGTATGCGCGCGCGTCACCGTAGCCATGCGCGTCGGCAAAATGAAAAAAAACAACAATTTTCAATGAAAGATGATGTCTCAAAACCGCCAAACTCACTGGTTTGACTGGAATCCTGCTGCTGCACAATTTTAACGTGTTTTTAGATGGAATTATGATTGAGAATAAGCTTTATGTGGCCTCTCTGGACTCCCATATATTTGCAGTAAGTTTAGTCGGGCACCATTTTGCAGTCATCCGCCGACATTTGAAGCAAAAAAAAAAACAGGTAAAAAAAAAAAAGCCGCGTCGCCGCACCACTTTTTGGGCAAGCTCCATACCAGAAACCAGAGACTTTTTTTTTGGCCTAATAACTGCTTTACTTTTGAGGAATAATCTTTGGAAACAATTCACTGTTACAGAAAACAATTCAAGGTTATAAATTAAGAAATATTGGAATTCACTTACGTGGATCTGCGGTTCAGTGAAGTGTCTTTCAGAGCAAAAATGTGGACTGTTCCTTTGTCACTTGATGCACATAGGTACGCAGAGTCATTGCTGAAATTGATGCTGTGGAAAGGTTTTAATGAATGTTATTCATTCAACAGAAAAAGGCATTTTAATAGTGGTTCTAGTATAACTTCATCTGGCCAAATTTAACCCAATCTAACCCAATGCAACACAACCAAACACAACCGGGCCAGACCCAACCCAACCCAGCCCAAACAACCCAGCCCGACCAACCCAGCCTAACCCGACCCAACCCAGCCCTACCCAACCCACCTACAATGTTGTAAACCAGCCCAACCCAACCCAACAAAATGCAACCCAACCCAGCCCGACCAACCCAGCCTAAACCACCTCAGCCAACCAACCCTAAGCCCAGCACATCCTAGCCTATAGCTAATCTCATGGACGTCGCCAGGATTTCTTTCTAGAGGGGGGCAAAACATATTTTACCCCAAAAAATCTTGTATTTCTCAACATACTCTTGATTTATCAGTTTTGGGGGCAGGGATATTTTGCCCCCCCCCCAACCATTAAACTTACACCACTATGACTTCACGCCTCTTTTTCTTTTCTTTTTTTCTCTTGTTTTTTCCTTCCTTTTTTGGGGGTTGCTTTTCCTGGGGGGGGGGGGGGGGGGGGGGGGCAAGGGCCCCCCCCCCCCCCCCCCCCCCCCCCCCTCACGATGCCCATGGCTAATCCCATTCCTTAGTCCTTACCAATACAAGGTTGCAGGGTCTGCCCCTCGTCTCAGCTCAACTAGTAGCTTTCTTGTAGTTGTGTCAAACACTCTGATCAATGTTCCCTTAGAAAATAAAATGAACATGCATGAATACAAGCATGTACATTTCAAAATTCCTAAACATTCTAAAAATTACAAAAAATTAAATGGCCTGATATTTCAGCCTTAACAAGGCCTTCTTCAGACATGTCAGAGGCAAAAACATTCTAAAATTCTGAACCATTGTGCTAAAAAAATCTCATGGATTTTCTTACAATACAGAAACACCCCAAACTTACTGGAGCTGATGCCTTCTTAAGTGATAGATCAACGTCTACTAAAATACTGACTGACAGCAGACAGCTTTTTCACTGTCATCTTTGTTACATCTTCGCCAACTTGCTGGACAGTTTTTAGCCCACTAGCACCTGTATTACATTGTATTACATTGTATTACATTGTATTTATTCACTGATGAGTCCCTAAAACCATACAGTGCTCGGGCAGTTTGGGGCAGTACAGGGAGTAACAGGCAGGGTCGGTTGGGGCGGTACAGGGAGTAACAGGCAGGGTCAGTTGGGGCAGTACAGGAGGTAACAGGCAAGCCGGGTTGGGGCAGTACAGGGAGTAACAGGCAGGGTCAGTTGGGGCAGTACAGGGAGTAACAGGCAGGGTCAGTTGGGGCAGTACAGGAGGTAACAGGCAAGCCGAGTTGGGGCAGTACAGGGAGTAACGGGTATGGCGGGTTGGGGCAGTACAGGGAGTAACAGGCAGGGTCGGTTGGGGCAGTACAGGAGGTAACAGGCATGGCGGGTTGGGGCAGTACAGGGAGTAACAGGCAGGGTCGGTTGGGGCAGTACAGGAGGTAACAGGCATGGCGGGTTGGGGCAGTACAGGGAGTAACAGGCAGGGCGGTTTGGGGCAGTACAGTAAGTAACAGGCATGGTTGGTTGGGGCAGTACAGGAGGTAACAGGCAGGGCGGGTTGGGGCAGTACAGGGAGTAACAGGCAGGGTGGTTGGGGCAGTACAGGGAGTAACAGGCAGGGTCGGTTGGGGCAGTACAGGAGGTAACAGGCATGGCGGGTTGGGGCAGTACAGGGAGTAACAGGCAGGGCGGTTTGGGGCAGTACAGTAAGTAACAGGCATGGTTGGTTGGGGCAGTACAGGAGGTAACAGGCAGGGCGGGTTGGGGCAGTACAGGGAGTAACAGGCAGGGTGGTTGGGGCAATACAGGGAGTAACAGGCAGGGTTGGTTTGGGCAGTACAAGGAGTAACAGGCAGGACAGTTTGGGGCAATACAGGGAGTAACAGGCAGGGTTGGTTTGGGCAGTACAAGGAGTAACAGGCAGGACAGTTTGGGGCAGTACAGGGAGTAACAGGCAGGGTCGGTTTGGGCAGTACAGGAGGCAACAGGCAGGGTTGGTTTGGGCAGTACAAGGAGTAACAGGCAGGACAGTTTGGGGCAGTACAGGGAGTAACAGGCAGGGTCGGTTTTGGCAGTACAGGAGGCAACAGGCAGGGTGGTTTGGGGCAGTACAGGGAGTAACAGGCAGGGTGGTTTGGGGCGTTAGAGGGAGTCAGGCAGGGTGGTTTGCGGCAGTACAGGGAGTAACAGGCATGGTGGGTTGGAGCTGTACAGGGAGTAACAGGCAGGGCAGTTTGGGGTGGTACATGGACTAATTGATCAATGACAACTGTCAGACTAATGCCCTGGGCTAAATGTACCTTCACAGACGCTGTAGCAACCAGCGTTCCTTCCTGGTTCACCGCAAGGCAGGCAATGTCAGTCTGATGTGCGTTGATGGTTACCGGTGAACTTGAAGTCGCTGGTTCTGTGTTGGCTAGATCAGCGAGCTGTATGCTACCCTGCTTGCGGCCAGGAAAAACCAAGAGTTGATTGTCACTACCTGGGCTGACCTCACAAAGACCTGACAAAGAAAAAATATGAAAAACTCAAATTTTGTATGCAAAGAATTTAAATATTATAACCCTGATCTATGATCAGGATCTGTTCTAGTAATGAAACCAAGAAGTCTACGAAGTGCATAGTCTGAAGAAACCTAGAGGTGGAAGATGATGGAAAAAAAAAAAATCAGTTTTAGAGTCTGAGGAAAACCTCGGAAGAGCATTCCAGAAAAAAACAAACATTAGCCTATTTGAGATATGGTAGGCACGATAGGAGGACGCTGTTCGATGTTGGTAAAGTCTTTCATGTTTACCTAAATCAAATAGCGCCCTCGTATTGTGTCCGCCATAATGAAACCAGGGGCACGTTTTGGCGCTGTGACCGTAAACATGTTTCTGGTTCGCGGCCGTTTTGGCACTTCAGTTACACTGAAATGACGTCATTGTTTCGACCAAAGTTGAACCGAGGTTTCCGGTCGGTTCACTTATGTTTCAAGATGGCAGAAAGGTAAACAAGCTTAGCAGACGACGTTACTTTTTACCATAAATGGGGTTTAAATAGTGGGTTTTTACCTTCAATTGGTACGAAAGTTGATACAGAATATCAGGCCTCCTTTTTTTAGAACTTTAGGGAAACGCTATAAAAAAAACTCCCACTTCTGCTTTGAATGTTATTGTTAATCATGTCCGGTCGCTGCGTGATTTTTGGGGGGTTGTGTGCAATCACGTAGGCAGTAACATGACATCATGAACAAATTTTTCGGTCAGTCGTTTTCGCGGTGCACAGGAAACATGTTTCAGGTCACGGCTGTGACGTCAGAAACATGTTCCAGTTCAAGGGCTGCCAAAACGTGCTCCAGGTCGGGACTGAAAACCCAATCTGCATGTTGGCTGGGGAGAGAATCGAACCTCGATCACAGAACGCAAGGAAAGAACCACTGCACAAACCCGAATAACCATCTACTTGTACATGAATGTGTTTTGTTCCTCCGTGTCTGCTTGATACATGTACTTACATCTTGGGTTTGGCCTGGTGTCAAGTGTGAAGAGTTTCTGTGGATTCTGGGGAAAGCTGTACACAAAGATTCTGGTTCTCAAGACAACAATGATTCTACAGAGGGAAAAAAGAGAATGAAAATCATACCGGCCCTTCGAATTCTTTGCAATTGGAAACAAATTACTGTGCTGTAGGAAATGGTGCATTAATTTAGTTAGGAAATGAAGCCCAATACATGTACTTCTATTTTGGGGTTTGGTTGATGGAATAATGGAATACACACGATGTTGGTCGTACAGCGACTTTATTCTAACAATCGAACAACTACCGTAATTACAAGAGAGAATTCGGAGACATGTGTCTCGTTTGATGGTTGAAAGAAGAGTGTGCGAAGAAAGTAATAAAGGAGAGTGAAGAATCTAATAAGTAAGGTGGGGCTGACAATCCAATTTAAAAGCAATAAAAACTAGAGACAAAGGAATCTACTAATGGACTTTGTGGCTAGGTGATGAAATGTGGTAAGAGGGACAAAGTAATAAAAGTGGGGCTTGGCTCAGTAATAGTAATCAATCGCTTAGAGAGATTGATACCATAGGGTCATAACTGTTGCTGGGGGCAATGTACGAGGGGTTAAAAGTTAACAAATTAAGCTATAATTATATGGAAGAAAACGCTACTTTATCAAACTCAAGCAAAACCTTGAACCTTGATTCTGGTAGATTCTTGGTTGTCACAGTTACACCCTGAACATAAAAAAAACACTAAAAATTAAAGTATAATTATACTGTGATTGATTGGCTTACTTGTCCCTTCGAAGCCTGACAGCCAGCACAAATGACGGAAATGTCAACTCCAAGACAAATTTCTTCTTTGCGTCATCCCAGATGAGAACAGTGTTCTCTGCAAACTTTGGCATTACACCTCCACCTACATAAGGAAACAAGTCAGGTGTGTTTACAAACACAAATGCCCCGCAACCGTGACTGTTTCCATGACATAACACCACTCTATCATCAACTTACATGTACCTTGGTCAAATGGAACGTTCATTGACAGCATTAGTGTCTTCTGTAGGTTTTATATGAATTAATCCCTAATCCCTATGATCTCAGATTAAATACAAGATTTCTATTGTTTTAGCCACTGTGATCTTGACCCTTGACCTTTCGACCCCCAATGCGATAGGCTCCTTAGGATTGCCAAGGACAATCCACAAACCAAATTTGAAGTTCATATGTAAAGTACATCTCAAGATATCACGCTGACAAAATTTCTTTTGTTTCAGCCACTGTGACATTGACCCTTGACCTTTTGGCCCCAAATGCAATAGGCTTCTTAGGATTACCAAGAACAATACACAAACCAAATTTGAAGTTCATATGTAAAGTATTTCTCAAGTTATCGCGCTGACAAAATTTCTTTTGTTTTAGTCACTGTGACCTTGACCCTTGACCTTTTGACCCCAAATGCAAAAGGCTTCTTAGAATTGCCAAGGACAATCCACAAACCAAATTTGAAGTTCATATGTAAAGTATTTCTCAAGTTATCGCGCTGACAAAATTTCTATTGTTTCAGCCACTGTGACCTTGACCCTTGACCTTTCGGCCCCAAATGCAAAAGGCTTTTAGGATTACCAAGGACAATCCACAAACCAAATATGAAGTTCATATGTTAAGTATTTCTCAAGTTATCGCGCTGACAAAATTTCTATTGTTTCAGCCACTGTGACCTTGACCCTTGACCTTTCGGCCCCAAATGCAAAAGGCTTCTTAGGATTACCAAGGGCAATCCACAAACCAAATTTGAAGTTCATATGTTAAGTATTTCTCAAGTTATCGCGCTGACAAGATTTATCCGGACACACACACCCACCCACCCACCCACTAACACACCCACCCACCCACCCACGGAAGGACAAGGCGGAAACAGTATGCCCCTTCGGCTTCGCCGCGGGGCATAAAAAAGTAATGTATAAAAAGGATATCACAATTACACAAAGTAAAAAGTTGTCTCTCGAAAGAAACACGTAAGGGAAATGTATAAATATATCATTCATATATACCTAAGACAGTTTACGCATTCCTATTGGTCGAGAGCCCGTCACGTGGCCGGTCTTAAACGGATGATAAAGACATGGCTAGCTGGTCTTAAACACTTTTCCAGTGTCGCAATAAAATGGGGACTCCTAAAAATCCAGTGCCTCTTATCGTTTCATTGGTTGAACGCTCACAATCCTCACGTAGGCATGCGCAACACTACCAGGGAGTCAGAATTTTATAGTTCTAAATTCAAAACACAACGCGCCAGGTGCGTTCTGCGCGACATCGCACAGAACATGATACACGCGCGTCAATCTCCATAAAAGGGTTGTTTACATCTTACTCGCCAGCTGAACACTCCATTATTTTGCAAGAGGAATGTTTCAAAAAGCATAAAGTGAATTTGATGAACAAAATCGGGATGTTTTGAACGAATTATATGAATTTTTTTTCCAAAAAGGTATTATGAATGGGAATAAATATGTGCTCCGTCGGTATTTATCACTCTGTTTAAGACCACGTAGACTCTGGGTGCTGATAATTACCCACGCCTCCGGCTCGGGTAATTATCAGCACCCAGACTCGAAGTGGTCTAAAACAGAGTGATAAAAATCTCCGGAGCACACATTTATTCCCTTATTCTTACTCTTACATGGTGACTTTTCTAAGTTTACTCCAGCTTACGGTAATCTTTGCTGCTTTAATTCCGCAATTTGTTTTATTCTTATTGAAAACTACCCGTGATTTTCTTACCAACAATAGCAATGAGATTGGTCCGGTGTAGCATCTCCACTTGTGCTACACTTCCCAGTTCATCTTTATCTACCAAACAAACCAAAACAGATACAGAATGCAGCAAGAAATAACCGAGCTAAAACATTAGTGGAAGACTTTTGATGAAGGCAGTAAGTCATCAATACACTTGTACAAAGTTATAACTATCCAAGCGGATTTTCTTGTTTATTTATTATTTTTTTGCGGGGGTGGGGGGGGGGGGGGGGGCGGGGGGGCTCAGTACCAGTTATCCACGGAGCCAAGTCTCCTGTATAACGTCTGATATATCAAAGCATGCAGATTTTATGCGATCTCGTGCCTCAGCCAATCGGAGTCGACTTTACTAAACTGTGACGTCATTTCATTCCCAAATCAGGACTAAACGTTTGATTGGGCAATTCGAATGCAGTGTTTTGTAATACATTACAGCCGGGCGTTATCGTGTAACATAATACTAGAGCGCGTGACACAGCCTTTTTTGCTGTGTCTGGGTTTTTTTAATCCATGTCTATAATACAACAAGGGTGAATGACCGAAGACCCGATATAGAAAGCGCCTGCTGATTGGTCAAAATCTAGAGGTCAAGATGCGGTTGTCTTGCATAATTCATCCGCGAATCTGCTCAAAAGTAATAGACCATAGCTATACTGGGGAAAAGAGTGGGGAGGAATGGATCTGTAGACCTACGCAAACAACTATAGTGTCTTTTGAAACAGGTAGTGTTCCAATCAGCGGTAAGCAAACAACTTTGTTGCAGAGAGACCTATTTAGTTTTGGGAAAGGTGATATATTATGCACTTTTTGTATCAATGTTAACTAAAGTCAGTTCAATTACTCACCTAATCTTAACTTTTCTGCCAAAGGTTCTGTGTTATAGATTCTCAGACCTCCGTCCATAGCACAGGAGAAGCAACCTTGCATAACAAAAAGGGACCATAATAATCATATTCAATTGTAATAGGCGATAACATTGTGGTGAGGAATTTAAACATTTGGTCACGTTATTGTGTTGGCAATTCCTAATATTTAATTTGTTTGTTGTTTTATATGTTGTTAAAGTGCATGCGATGTGATTGTAACTTAAATTAAATGAACTAATTAATTAATTAACTAATTATATGTCAGTGGGGTCACTACTCGACAAGCTTTGCTTTTTAGAGACCCCATCCACATTTTTGTGATCTTATGATTTTCTTGGCATATTTGTTGTATTGTTATGTGGTAAATAAAGTAAGATTGATTGATTGATTGAATAAGATGATCCTTCACCAAATCTTTTTATTTCAACAAATAGTGTCTTTTGAACAGATAGTGTTCAATGCTAATTCTCTGACCTTATGAAATGCATGTGTATACCCTTATTGGTGAGTTACGTAGCTGTGATGGGCATTTCATTTCAATACTACGTTGATTTTGAACAGATGATTAAAATTTAACTTTGCATCCAAATTTTTTAAAGGAGATAAAAATCCATGAGGGTCTAAGTACTTGGAATTTGTACATCTCTCACCATGATCTTGGTTGAAACGGAGGCTGAGTATCCCTCTCGTTGCCATGGCAAGATCATACACATCTGGTCAACTGAAGCATATCAGTGATGAAAACAGGAAGGTCTGAGCCCAAGTACGTTTATTTTATTTGCTGAGTTGAGACGGTGAATCTTTTCAACTCACACAGTTGTGCTGAAGAAGCCACATTTGAAAAAGAATTATAGAACTAATTTTTCAAAAAAAATTACTCATCAATGCACAGTGTGCCATTACAAAAATTAAAAGTCAGTTGTTGTCTTTAGGCCAAAAAAAAAATAGTTCTGGTTCCGATTACATCATTTGAAAATAGGGCAGGTAGGTAGGAAATTATTTTATTCTCATTTTTCCCATAAAAAAATTAGGGTAGGGGCTGTCAGAATAGGGTAGGTAGGGAAACCGGAAGCAGAAGTATTGTTTTTTTTTGGCCTTAGGCCAAATAAAGAAATTAACAGGTTTCTTGTCGATGTTGTGCCCATTCTTGAAAATCACGCATTCTTTATAAGAATGTGCATGCACATTCTTAAGAATGTGCAACTGGATCCTTGCGCAATCTTCGCAAAAATTAAGGCGCTGAAAAGTACATGTAGAGTGGATATGATAAGTATAGGCGTATTGATATGGGGGGGGGGGGACCGGGAAAAATAAGAGACATAATAATACTAGTGGAAAGAATTCTGATTTTTGGGATAATAAAAGCGGGGGGGGGGGGGGGGGGGGGGGGGGGGGGGGGACGAAAGAATGAAGAATGTGAAGAATGAGAATGAATACTGCGACATCCCATAGTGCTAATGCTATTTCCCATTTAAATTGCCACCAATTTATAGTTCACACCCCACCATTACGTCGCAGAGCTGGATTCTATCTAGTCAAAAGAGCAATTTTGGCAGCTTTTGGACATTGTTTTTTTTTCGTGGCATGCATACGATACATACAGGGACTTGTAACTTGTCTAGCCTAAACTAAACAAAGCACTTCCCAGACTAGTTCCCAGTCCTCCGTTATTACAAAACTTCCCATAGTGGGCAGAGAAAAGCCATTATAACAGGTTTAATTTGATTCAAATTATCGTAGTTATACGAGTACAGAAGCATAGAACATTTTCTTTCCTCTTTATATAAATTGTTTCCCTTTTAACCGCTATACATTTCATTTAACATAATTATGTCGTGCAATGTTTGTTAAGATTGGGCAAAATTCATCAATTGTGCACGTGATATTCCCACCCAATCTTAAGAATGAGCGCTCATTCTTAAGAACGCGTGCTCGTTCTTAAGAATGGGCGCTCATTCTTAAGAATGCGTGCACATTCTTTAGTTTGCGTGATTTTCTAGAATGGGCACAACAGCGCTATAACGTATACACCGCGCCGCCACGCTATGTCTATTTTTCGTGAAATTTCAAGATTCATTTGCACACGTTTACGTATCAAAATTTCAACATGAAATTTCACGAAAATTAGACATCTGAAAAAGGCAGCACTTTCTGATGAGCCTATAAAGAGGGTGAGTATGCTTCTAAAGCAAAAAAACCCTACAAACTAAGCCTAAATGTGAAAATCAAAATTTGACAAAGTGCGACACGTTTTTGTACATGTGGATGTGTGGCCTATGTTTACGGAGGTAGTCCAGTAAAATAGGCCACATTTATGGGGCTAGATCCACGTGCACTGTCTTGGAAATAATCTCAAGAAAAAGCAGTGAATGTTTTGATAAGACTAGGCCAGCCCATACATTATCTCGGATCCGTCGTTGGCAAAAAAAGTGCGCAGATCCTCCTCTCTTTTTTTAAAGTTCAGACAAGAAACCATTTTTTTTTTTGCATTTTTTTGGACATCATGCAAATCACCGCGCCGCCATATGACTGTACATGGTCTGGAACTACAAATGGACTAGGCGCTATACTAAGCGCTAGGCACTGCAATCCAAATCATTTTCCATAATTTACCAATCATATTTTGAAAATACTTGACTCTAGCGTTGTTACATATTGCTAAAGTGTTGTTGAGATATAATCTTCACTACGTAATATGTCCTACAAATAGTACAACCATTCAAATAAACAAATTGATTGTCTTACGCGATATGTCGGTCAAACTTCATCGCAGTGTTTTTGTTTAGGCGATCGAGGTCAAAGGTTAAATTCACATTTTAGGGATCACCTCCAAAGTACTAGCATCAAGATAGTTGCAAAGCTCTAGCAAGCCTAATTTATTCGATCATTCGATTACCAACCTCTTTAAGTAACTCGGAAGATGTATTCTTTTATTTAATTTTCTAAAATAAGAGAATTATTCTCAAAATTGATTGGGTAGGATAATAAAAGGATTGGAAACGAGTCTACGAGTGGTCCCAAAGGAAGATTATTGGCATTGTTTCAACTATAGAGGGGGTGCTTTTACTTTATTCGGGCGCGGCGCAGTCATCCGTATCGCGATCGTCGCGTCGCTAGTGTCGCGTGATATTTACACGAGGTTTTGGCGCCTGTAGATTCCATTCACATACGTTACACGTGTATGGTGAGTAGCGATATCTTTCTCTTCCTCACACCATGCATGAGAGCGCACCCAGTAAGCAAATATTGGGCTGTGGCGTAATCGGTAAATCTGTGCCGGCGAGTTGGGGTGGGGCCGGGGCGCGGCCGGCGGGGGGGGGGGGGGGGGGGGGGGGGGGGGGGGGGGGGGGTAGCTGGAGTGGAATGTCACTTGTCAGCCCTATATCATGGGTTGTCATTAGCCTGAGTACTCCAGCTGACATGCTCATGTTCATTCACATATGAATGAATAATTATGAGCACATACGTCAGCCTAGCCCCATAAATGTGGCCTATTTACTGGACTGCCTCCGTAAACATAGGCCACACATCCACATGTACAAAAAACGTGTCGACTTTGCCAAATTTTGATTTTTACATTTAGGCTTACTTTGTAGATTTTTTTTGCTTTAAAAGCATTCTCACCCTCTATAAAGGCTAATCAGAAAGTGCTGCCTTTTTCAGATGTTTAATTTTTGTGAAATTTCATGTTGAAATTTTGATACGCAAACGTGTGCAAATGTATCTGGAAATTTCACGAAAAATGGACATCTGAAAAAGGCAGCACTTTCTGATTAGCCTATATAGAGGGTGAGAATGCTTCTTAAGCAAAAAAAACGTAAAAAGTAAGCCTAAATGTGAAAATCAAAATTTGGCAAAGTCGACACGTTTTTTGTACATGTGGATGTGTGGCCTATGTTTACGGAGGCAGTCCAGTAAATAGGCCACATTTATGGGGCTAACGTCAGCCTTGTCAGCTGGAGTTACTCAAGCTACTCATATAATACTTACTAGTAATACTAGGCTGGAGGGAATCATCAACATGGACTAGCAGATATAAATATTGAATTCGTAAATGTGCCATTTTGTCCCCTCCACCTTGGGATTCGCCCAAACCTAGGTAACTTAGTCCCATAAATGTGGTCAATTTATGCGCCCATCATTCAATTGATTCCCCCTCGGTCATGTCGGTTATTCATGGCTGTCATCAATGGACGTTTTACGTGTGCATACATATATCGACTCCAGAAAGTTGTCTAAATTTCTGGAAAAATTTAATATAATTGTAAGTAGCTTGTGTTAAACTCCAGCTCCAGTGCTCTTTGTCATACTGAATTTTTGAAGAAAATCACAGCTGTTTGTTGTTTGACACTTCACTTTTTAGGATACACAAGCTGCTACTTTCCTCCCAAACTGCCATAACAAACTTAACAGCTCAACAGCTGACATAGGACTTACAGTTTGTGAACTCAAACTTAGTCAGTGTTAGTCAAAATGGCGACAAGGTCAGCCAAGGAGTCCGTTCAACCGGTGACCCGCGACGGGAGCCTGTCGTCCAGACCCAGCTTTTCATCGTTCCTGACAAATGTCGAGGATGACGGAACCATGACGTATTTCTGGTGAGTTGGCAGCATGTAAACATCCTTAGAGTTTTGAATCCGTGAACAAGTACCCCCTCAACGGTAAAAAAAGGAGAGTTGGGGGAGACCACTGGGAGAGACATTCAAATGCATTGCTGACGATGTCTGACGTTCAAGCTAGTGTTGTGCATGGGTCAAATTTTTTGTGCAGGTTTTTGCACTGGTGGTCCAAGTGTTGAATTATTTTTGTTTTTGTTTACTTTGAAGGAGAGCTCATTCCATCACGGCTCTGATCTTCCTGATTGCATCCTTGCTGTATGTCTCGCTCTTTGAAGACCAAACTCATGACGTGTCTTGGAATGTTAAAAGGTGAGAAGAGTTTGTCCAAGCAAGCAATGTGCCACCTACTACCCAAATGTCATGTTCAAATCTGAACCCCTTGCCTTCATATTTATAGACAAACCACCGCCAAGGCTAAACAATTCCCCACCACATTGTCAGTACACCCAAAAGAAATACTCGCATAAATGGTGAAGAATCCATAAAAAAATCCTGGATCCAGACCCAGATCCGGATCACTTCCAAAATCTAATGGACTTGTACTTGTACCAAGGACCACCCCTAAAAATATTGTCATGCAAATCCGTCCATAAATGTTCGAGTTATCTTGTCAACAAACAAACAACCAACCAACAAACAAACTAACCAAATCCGATGAAAACATAACCTCCTTGGCAGAGGTAAGCTTGTTCAATCCAACAGAATTTGACAGCTTGTACTTCATCTTGTAAAAAAGTGAAAACCACTCTAAAAGAGTGAACTTCCATTCTTTCAAAGAGCCACATGGTGGACAAGGTTTTTTTAGCCTGTTTTGTTCACTCTTTTATATTAAGAGAATAAAGGTCTTCAATTCCTACGCTGATCAACAAAACCAACCAGGAATATCCCTCCTGTTGGATTAGAGTGGATTTCATTGGATTTAAATGTTAAGAGTTTGTGACTCATGATCAGAGGGTCAGGGGTTCGAATCCAGCTGCTGGCCATATGTTGTGTCCTTCGGCAAGCCACTTCATCCCCACTTGCCGCTCTTTATCCAGGAGTATAAATGATACCGGCATTAGCTGGGAGTAACCTGCGATGGACTAGCATCCCATCCAGGGGGAATAGAATATTCTCAGTCGTTTCTTGCTACTGAAACCGGAGATAAACGCCGGCCTGATGGGCCAAATTGGCTTGTGCCAGACTTAACAATTCTCGTGTTTTCAATTTCCAGGGGCATCGTGGCTTGCGTGGTGGTGTTCTGTATTTTCGGAATGACTCAGGTCCGAGATGGTCCCTTCAGACGGCCTCACCCTGCCTTTTGGAGACTGGTCGTCTGTCTCAGTGTCCTCTATGAACTTGCCTTGGTCTTTCTTCTTTTTCAGGTACGGTCAGGTCCAAAACATGTGTGTTTTGTTGGGTTGAGGTGAATCCTTGAAAGTTACCCAAAATGTGCCTTTGTTACTGCACTAGCTGTTCAGAATTTTGGAGTGGTGAGGAAAGTTCAAAGCAAACAGTTTTGAGTGTGATATCCAGCGTTAAAGGGAAAATACAACATTTGCAAACATCAAAAAATAAAACTACCAAATCATTTTGAAATACCTTGCTGGACTGTTAGTGAATGACAGTGTAAAGCATCCTGTAAAATCATGGCACCTGGTATACTGTCATTTTCAAGAAAAGTGGTATTTTTTTATCAATTTCCAACGCTGATCGGCCGATCAGCGTTGGAAAAAAACTGGCTTTTTTCAAATACTGGCCCCAGTTGACCATCGCACTTGTTTGCAATCGATTACACACCTATGAACGGGTACAAGCCAGCTAGACTGGTTCCCTGACCTTACAATTCCCCAATGTATGTAAACTACTTTGTTTCTTCTTATATGGAGTCAGGGAACCAGACTACAGGAAAATGATTGTTTTTCTTGGTTTTTATAGCATTTTCGAACCCAAAACCTCAAAAAGTCAGTGTAACTATATTTGCTATATATTTCCAACCCCCCAATTCCATCCATTTCTGAAAATTACAGCAAAAGCAAATGATGTATATTCCCCGGCTTTAATTCACAAATATCGACCAAATATGCGAATAGCTTTTGCTGGTTTGAATATTCGTAAAGAAAAATGAAAAAAAGCACAACACATGCACACACAACTGTTACTGTTATTTTAATCGTAATATTGGGCAGTGTATTAATTGTCAGATGCCACTTTTTTGTCGGCAGTAACTTTTTTTGCTGACAGTAGTTCATTGTTGCCATCCTTTTATCATGTTTAAAGCCCTCGACAGTATAAAATACTGCAAAACAATCAAGCAGCCCATAACATCACTTGCCACACACAAATTGCTGACCTGCACGTCATGCAAATTTAGCTGGTACATGCAGTTGATCAGAGTTTGGAATATTCAAATATTTAGTCAAACTCAGTTTAATTAATAAAATATTAAATTATTCAAAAGTGGACAGGCCTACACATCCCTCATTGTATGGCCAGACAATTTTGCATATTCTGAAAATTTTGAAATATTTCCAGTAGTGACTTTCATGATGTATGATCATGGATGTGTTATATTTCTAGACGGTGGACAATGCTCGTCAGCTTATGGCTTACTTGGATCCAGAGTTGGGCAAGCCTCTTCCTGAGCAGTCTTACGCTGAAGACTGTCGGATCTATGATCCTGACGGTCACCCGGATGGACCTTGGCACAACCTGTGGGTGGGTATTCAGGAATTGTCTGGATTTTGTTGACTCGATACAGAAGTACAGTAGGTCAATTTTTTGGCATGGGACATTTTAAAAATGACAGGCTAGCTGAGTGGCTAGCTGGATAGCCGTATAGATTATCTGTTTCTCAGGGACCTAAGTTAGAAGTCATTTTTGAGGTGGAACCAGGCTGGCGCTCATGCCGCACGCGTTCTGAAAGACGAGGTGCGTCCAATTTGGTAACCTGTTGGCTTAAGGAGCCTGAAGTGCGTGCGTTCTACCTGAGCAAGAGCCTGGTTCCACCTCTAATATGGCATCTAACTTGGGTCGCCGAATTAGTCTCGATCTGGTTGTTTGATACTTATGTCGGCCAGCTACAACACCTGTATGTTAAGCCTGGTTTCCATATCGACGTAAAAGCTTTATTACGCAGATTGCGCAGACAGAATGCGAAACAGTCGGCAATGTTTAACTGGGTTCAGCTTTTTTGTCTGCGAGGTAGGTTGCGTCTGTCTGGGTTGTCGGCGACACTTCCGGATGAAATGTTTCCATATGTCTGAGTTGCAGTTTGGGTCCTGTTTGCGCTTCGCTTTGCGTTTCTTACGTCGATATAATTTGGCTTAACTGGCTGGCTGATATGCTAGCTCCTAATTCACATGTGAGTCTGTGCAAAAAATATGTTCATCTGTAGTTTAGGGCTATGGTCGAACCCATCACATAACCCAACAAGTCCAGTCACATAATCACAAGTCCAGACACCAGTCACAAGAAAAAGTGGATGAACAATAACAAAGGAATGCTTTTGTCACAGCTCATTTGAATAGCTTGTGAGTTGAATTGGGACTGGAGGACTTGTGATGGACTTGCAGGGACTTGTGATGGACAAGACTACATCCTTGCTGTAGTACTTAACTTCTTATTACCTTACTCAATGTGTGATCTTTGAACCAATTCAGGAAAAAATGGATATCTTTGTTGTGGGTCATCTTGTGGGCTGGTTCTTTAAGGTAAGCCAAGACATTCACCGTGTTAGAATTTTTCTTGGTAATATTTTTAAAATTAGGATTGTCCTTTTCGAGTTTTATCAAAATAGGTTTTTTTTATGAAATTTGTTTCTATGTTGATGAATATGTTATTTTTCTTTTATTAGCTGGTGTAAATGTTTTTGTGAAATTTTATTTTTACTTTGTTTTGGTTTATTGAATTATTTTTCGTAAAGATCCCTTCAGAAAAGCAGGGTTTTTATTTGTTACTGACAAGACCGCCCTGTTTAAATGAAAAAGCAAATAACTTTTTAAATGTTAAGGGCGTGGAACATTTAATATAGTGAAGTACATTTTCGAATCCTTCCTTCCAAGTAGCATCCAAATTTAACCATTGGTTAACAATCTGCAAAACTACAGAATCCATCTTTCATTGTCAATTATTTTCATTTAAAAATGGCTCAACCCTTTTGTAGATGGTTGTACTGTAGCCGGTAGTTATAAGACTGTCTTGTGCTTATGACCAAACTTGCTGTTCGGATAAGCCCTGCCCCTTTTGACCATGTATGGGTTTAGCCCCGCCCCTTTTGACCATATATGGATGTTCCATTCACAGATGTTGATGATCAGAGACTACTGGGTGTGCTGGGTCATCAGTATCATGTTTGAATTCTTGGAGTATTCCTTGGAACATCAACTGCCAAACTTTGCCGAGTGCTGGTGGGACCACGTAAGTCTAGGGTTATATATTGGGTGTATTCGAGTAGCTCACCTGGGTCGACACAGATAAAGGCAGACGGGTTAGCCACGACAGCCGGGCTAATCGAACGCTCATCAACCGCGGGCCGTCACGATCTTCATGTGATGTCCGACCGTAGTGACGGCCGTAGCCGCTGCACTGACAAAAGGCCCGTTTCGTGCTGGATCTTAATTTGAGATTTAATATTTTTCAGTCAATTGCAAAACTCAAAAAAGTTGGGCTGGAATTATGGCCTTAAAAGTCGCAATGAACTCTGATAGACTTTAAGATAAATATTTAATTTTTAAGTCCTCTTGAGATTTCCGCTCTCCGGCCGCCATATTTGTCCGTTTGTTGGATGAACAATGCATGCGGGATGTATTTCCACCGGTGACTCTGCTGCACGAGCAGGGCCTGTTGTGGTGGCTGACCCGGGTGAGCCCTGAGATGACGTCAGAGCTAATCGAACGGCACGGGGCTGACCCGTGTCGACCCGAGTGAGCTAAATGAACGCACCCATTGATTACAGCAATGCATGATGGGATAGTCTAGTGGGCAAACCCCCACAAAGGAACTTTCCTTTAGTAAATGATGATTTTGATTTCACTTTTTATTACAGTGGATTCTTGATGTTCTTGTCTGTAACGGTGCTGGAATTTGGCTCGGGATGAAAACTCTCAACTATTTGAACATAAAGACTTATCAGTGGCGGGGTCTGTGGAAGATATCCACATATCGGTAAGACAAAAAATAACAAGGAATAATTTATTGTGTACAAATAACCTTTGACAATATTCATATGCACAACGGGAAATTATGCTGTGATTAAAAAAAGTATAGTTTTCCATCCATGCAGTGCTGCTAGCGTGGCTTTTTTATGTGCTGAATACTCTCTGTTTTGTTAATTGTTGGAGTGCATTTAAGAAGAAATTTACCTTTTTGTTAATTTGTAATATTGTTTATGATAATCATAATGTGGTGTTTATATAGCTGTTTATACAGGGGTGTGAAATCTCAGCTTTAAAGCTGATTTCAGCTTTTTTGTTTTGGATTTCAGCTTTTTTCCCCTCACTTGCTGTGTACAAAAGTATAGGAGATTTCCAAATTCAGCTTTTTTACACCTTTTTTCCAGCTGTTTTCAGCTATTTTTATCAGTGGTCACTCACACCCCTGTTATACCAAAGGTCTCAAAGCGCTTCACTATCCGCTCCATTCACAAGTACCCCCTCACCGGCAAAGAAAGTACAGTTGGGGGTGACCGACCGACGCCATCTTGCCTGACTGCAATATTTTGCCGTGAAGCGTGGCCACTGTATAGTACAAATCCCCTGGTGTACGTGCGACGTGCGTGACACACAAGGATCACGGTGCGCGCGTCAACCAGCGAAATGTATGTGTCCCGCCCATGGGACGTCGTTGCTAGGTAAAAGAGCGCCCTCTTTTGTTGGCGCACGGAGCCCATTGTTATGGTTTTTATTGACTTTTATTGATTTTACCCTAAAAAGGCTTTAAAACAACATGAAGAAAATGACATTAAAAAAAAAAACAAGTTGAAGAAAAAGAAAACGTAAACTGTACAAACATGAAGTGGCATACAAACTTGACCAAATACGCTTATTGATTGATTTATTATTCCATTTCTTTACCCAGGGTATCCACAAATACTAAACTGGTTTCCATGGGGCCCTGCATACATTATAAAATTAATAAATAAAGTTGAGCAAAGTAAAATTCACATCCAAAGTGCATTCCTGAAACGACCTTTGAACATTAATACTTGTAAATGATATGAATACTTATTAAGACATATTGACACAAATAAAGCTATAAAAGTTCATTTTCAACATTTAAGTATCGGGCAGTTACAGATCTTAACAGATTTTTAACAGGTTTACCTAATGAATCCTTTTCTCTTTGTCCTTTTTTGGATTTTTTCAGTGGTAAATTGAAGCGTATCTTCCTGCAGTTCACACCGTACAGCTGGACTCGATTTGACTGGCAGCCGACGGCTAACCTAACCCACTGGCTGGCAGTGCTGGGCATCATATCCATGGTAAAGAACTGCAGCCCATTTCACGAAACACTGCATCACTTACGCCATGCGTAGGACTTACGCAACAAATTTATTGCGCAGCTGCGCAAGAAACTTACGATCGGTTTCATAAAACTTGACAAAGCTGCGCAACGTTGTAAATAATCTGAACATCTTGTGATGAGGATAATAACAGCATTTACGACGGCTGTTTGTGTGTGATTTTGTTTGTTCGTCAAACAGTCGTTGAATCACCTCTGCCCACCATTTTGAAAATAGTTTTGCCCGACTTTCTTCGGAATCGTGCAGCAACTCTAAACTCTGTCATGAGCAAAAGAGAAATTCACTTACTTCAAACGCAAAGCTGAGAGCGCCTTGCATCAATTAACCTTGATAAATTGCAATAACATTCTCCATGACGATCATGATTTGCTGGTAAAATAGTTCATTTTCAGTTGCTCGTACGTCAACTTATGCCACCATATATGATTGTGCAAGTTACACTATAATTTGTTGCCCAAGTCGTGGACTTGGTCATCACTGAAATATTTCGCTGCTTAAAGAGTTGCGCAACTTGCGCAGTAAATTGTTGCGCAATTGGAATTATGCCATTGCGTAAAGTTTCGTGAAATCGGCTGCTGCTTTTCCAGGTGGTCTGGAGCAATGAACTCATGTCTGGCGGGTAATTCTGCAGGTTGTGGGTTCGAGTCCAACCTGGGGTTTATGGTGCGTGTGCCCTTGAGCAAGGCACTTTGTCTCTCATTGCTTCTCCCCACCCAGGAGTACATTTATGGGTATAGGGCAGAGGTTACTCAGTGATCAATTTTAGCTGCTTTGCGCCAAAATGGCAGCATGGAGCTGTATACTCCCCAGGGAGCTGAGATGGTATTAGGAATGTAGTCATTGGCCCAATGAGCAGGGTAATAATGATGATGTTGCCCCTTCAGCACTAATACTGGTGGATACCTGGGCTTTTAATGAATACAAATACAGTTATGAAAACAATATATAAACAAGTTTAAATGTGGATTCTTCAAAAGCTGTGACAAAGAGAGTGCTTGGAGGGTCCGTTTTTTGGGGACAATTGTCATTTCATTAGAAATGACTTGTTTTTGCCTTTTTTTTGGGTTGATTCCTGTGCAGTATTTATTGGCGGAGCTGAACACGTTTTATCTCAAGTACATCCTGTGGATTCCCCCACCACACCTACTCAACTGGCTACGTCTGGTTCTCTACGTTTTGGTTGGTTCCTGTGCGCTGAGGGAGTTGTTTCAGTACATGAGTGACCCGTGAGTACTTAGGAGCGCAATTTCTAACTTAAAGGTAATATGCAACATTTGCAAACATCAGAAGACAAAACTACCAAATTATTATGAAATACCTTACTTGACTGTAAGTGATCTCAAGTATCCTGTGAAATCATGGCACCTGGTGTGCTGTCATTTTCAAGAAAACTAGAAATATTATGTCAATTTCCAAGGATCGTCAGCCGACCATCATTGGAAAAAACTGACTTTTTTCAAATACAGCCCCCAAATTACCAAATTTAGTTAGTCCACATTATGTTTGCAACCAGATTTGCATTCTTTAAAGGGTGCAAGCTTGCAAGACTCGTTCCCTGACCTGACAATTCCCCGACGTCTGTAAATTGCTCTGTTTTGTCTGAAGTAGGTCAGGGAACCAGAGCATTTTTTTTCGTGGTTTTCCAGCATCTATGAAAATATGCACATAAGAACATTTTAAACAGGTCAGTGTAACAATATTGAATATGAAATTCTAACCCCCAAGTACATCCATTTCTGAAACTTACAGCAAAAGCAAATGTTGTATATTACCTTAAAAGTTGCATACGCTGTGCTACTTAAAAAAAAAAATGATTCAACTAGACTCGAGTCCCTCATCAGAAGACTTGACCGGACTCGAGCGAAGGCTAATAAGACTCCAGTCCAAAAAATAAAAGCAAAACTAAAGTTGCATACATACCTCGCACAAAACACTATCCAGGATCGGATTTTAAACACATTTTCCAATTTGTTGTTTCATCATTGGCTTTTGGCAATTTCTTGTAAAGCTCTTGGATTCAAACCCTGATTAAATTTATTCCCTCCTTGTAAAAGTTAAACAGGTACATGCCCACTTTTAAACAGTCGGAAACAATTTGTATAATGCAATTTGGTTTTGATGTTGTCAGCGATCAGCGAAAACAATTCTAGACCGGAAGCCAACCAGATAATGACTGTGGGGTGCTGTGGTCCAATGGTTACGGTGTTCGATTTGTGTGCCGTGGTACATGAGTTCGAATCCTGACCGGGGGAACATGGTGCTTGTGCTCTTAAGCAAGGCACTTTACCATTATTGCTTCGTCCTTCGGATGGGACATAAAGCCGTAGGTCCCGTGTGTTGTGCAATGCACGTAAAAGAACCCAGTAACACTTGTTGCTGAGAGAAGGGGTTTGCCCCGGTGTTTCTGGCAGTGGCTGCAATATGCGCCGCAGCACCTTGTCAACCCTTATAAGGTGCTACATAATGGGTCTCATATTTCTCATATACTTTCTTTACCTTTCTTTAATAATAGACATAATAACCAGCGCCTTGAGTACCTAATTGTTGGTAGATACATGCGCTATATAAGACTCCGTTATTATTATTAGATAGTCTATACAAGATCGAAGTTTCACTTGTTGTTAACTGTTAGTGATACAAATGACTTTCTCTCTTGTCTTTATTTGTTATATAGTGTTCAGAGCTTTGTGACTCGAATTGACTCGAGCTAAATACTTGACTCGACTCGACTCGACATTCTTGACCAAATGACTTGACTCAAGTCACTTCTTTAAAATGACTCGACTCAGCTCGAGTCACTTCTTTAAAATGACTCGACTCAACTCGAGTCACTTCTTTAAAATGACTCGACTTGACTTGACTTGACTCAACTCAATTCACAAAAATCATTGACTCATTACAACTCTGGCTCGTGACAGACCTTACTTTTTTTCTCTTTACTTCACTGTTATGTAATAATAAGCTTGACAATGCAACCTCTCTTTGAACCTAACCATATCGTGGCTCTATTGATGTTTGCTTACTTTCATACAGTGAGTGTAAGACGATGGGTCAGCAGTCTTGGGTCATGAGTGCCATCATCTTCACTGAGTTCCTCATCGCTCTCAAGTTTGACCTGCCGCTCATCCTGAAGCCGTTTCCTCGGTACATCGCCATCTGCTGGATCCTGGGCATCCTCGCTGTTGTCTCCTGGACCGTCTGGAACTTCTGCATTCACCGCATCTCCTTCCGTTTCTTGCACTGGACGATGAAGAAACCAAAAAGCGGCAACAAGAAGGAGAAGGAAACCATGGCAACCGATGACGCTGATGGTTGCGAGGTCGATGATCACGAGGTATCAAATAACAGCCAACCGGCAGTCAAAAAGCAAACGGAGCGTCCTTACATGACTAGACTCCGAACACGAAATAATGAAAATGCTTAAATTTTGAAATCGACAATTATGTCATACGAGTGGGTTGCCTTACACAAAGTTTACGCACAGTGTTTTTCCCAACCGAAAAGATAATTTGTTTTGGTTGTTGATTTTGCTGGAATGTGTTGAATAAAGTATTTTAAATACTGTACACTTTCACCCATTGATCATTTTGCAGTAGAAAGTCATCTTTTAGAGTATAACTTTTGTATGTACATGTATGCTTCGACTGAGGTTGCATACGGTAAGCATGTCCATTTTCGAATAATTTAATATTTGATTGTTGAACTGCGTTTGGCCGAATATTCTAAAGCTTGAAACTTTGCGTGCAGTGATTGATGGTATGGGCCACTGGAATGTTGTGCAGTAAGTATACGGTCTAGGGCTTCAGCCTGCTAAAAGGATGTCAACAAAAAAAGTTGCTGACGCTGTTGAAAAACAGCAATCTGACAATAAAGTGCCATAACTTTACGATTAAAAAAAAGTTACAGTCGTCTTTCGAATATGTGAACCAGTAAAAAGTTATTCAAATATTTGGTTGATGACCGCATATTCTGGACAGCCCAGCATATAGTTGCAGAGAATCAGTGGTTTTCTTGTACCACATGTCTTGTCTTGTATCACATAACTCGGCACTCTTAGTTTTGAGAATCTAAAATTTGGTATTAATAACAATACAGGCTGTCCTTTAAGACACAAATCGTCTTATCTTGGAATTTCAGAACAACAAACAAATCCAAAGTTCTTTTCTTATTGTAATGGTGCATTTTCCTGATTACGACAGGTTTTCCGTCCAACTTTTGAGACTTGCCATTATATGTTTCTAAAGAAATGACTGCAAGTCAGGAAAGATTGCACATAAATTCCACTTACATGTAGCAGAGAATGACATGTTGAAGCTTAGAAGATGAAATTCACATCAAGGTGTTGTAAATTTGATATGAGGTTTTGCCCGGTTGAAGTTTATTTGTGACGTGCTCATGTTGGACTTTATTTTAAGCTGTATGAAAGTGTTAGAGGCGCGATCGGTTGATGTGCGGGATCAAGACATTATTGGTCGATTGCACTGCCACCAGTCGAATGCCTTTTCTTTCTACTTCATGGCCCTGTAGGATTTTTTTAACACGGTTAGTAAAGTCAGAGATATCCTACAGAGTGGACCGATAGTGCAGCATGATCAACCGATAGCACAGCGTGATCGAACGATAACACAGTAGTGTGATTAACCGACTTCGCATATTGACTGATCGTCCCCAACAAAAGAGAAGGGAGTGTGATTTTTTATTTTTGAAATTTGGGAATAATTATCGATTGAGGCAGTTAATTTGACTACTGTGGTTTTTTTTATATCGTTGTTTGTTTTTGTAGACTCTAGCTTATTAATGTTTATTTATTTTTTGTTCTTGATTGCGTTTGTTTTGTTTGCAGATTTAGTTATGTAAAATGCAGCTTTTGTTCACATAAATTGATTGAATTTGATTATAAATCAAAGATTTCTAATTTGTTTTTGTTTCATTATACTTTTACTTCTTGCGAATCATATGATGATATCTTAAAGGTCAATATTCATACTAACAGACTTGCATTAATTCATTTGACAATATTTAGGTGGATTGGTTGTGTAGACGTTTTTGAAATATTTTTATTCCATCAAATGTCAGTGATAGAACACTGAAAATGCCCATTTTATATAAAGAACTAATATTGCCTGATTGTTTGAAATGTACATTTAAAATGGCTTTGAAAGGGAAAGGTGTAATAATTAAATAATTAACGCTAAGAAAGCTTCGTTAACTCTTTTGACATTGTGTACGTGGATTGTTAATTTAAATAATTGGGAGCTGTTTTATTTGTTTATATTAACTTGTAAAATTCATTAAGTGTTGTATTATATGTTTTGGGAAAGATCTATTTTAATCACTAATAATCAGTAATGTTAATTTTTAAACGATAGAAATCAAAAACTTGACAAACTCTTACGCTGCGTATCATATTTAAAATATAAATTGATTTTGTTTTCCATATTAAGCGTTGAGCAAAAAACAGTACTGTTCAAAAATTCTTGAGACGTTGGGAAAGGTAAAGGCCTGAAATCTTGTCGTTAATTTAAGCTTTAAGTGATGTCTAAAATTTGCAGGAGTATTCAAAATTGTTTTACATTTTGTGCCAACAAGTTTTTTTTAATGTTTATGTGTGGGTTCATGGGCTCTTGGCATAACTATCACGGAATAGTTTATTTTCATACCTGCTTAAAACTAAAAATATTGAAGAGTGTTGTTTAGTTGTTAAATTAAATAACATAGTTTACAGTGGAAACATTAGCACCAAATGTAAATGTATGTTGAGCTCATGCATGACCTTGTGTTCCTGAGCAAGCTGTTTTACCACAATTAATCAATTATGTTCTCTTATAGTGATGTAAAATGTAATGTTAAAGGATGTATCTGATGTACTAACATAACTGAAATTTCGTGTGTTATATGACCCAAAAAAAGCTATTCAAATGACACCATTAATTGTGACTAGTAGAAAGCAGTGTTGTAGTTGAGTCCATCGAAAGTCCATCACAAGTCCATCACAAGTCCATCACAAGTCCATCACAAGTCCATCACAAGTCCATCACAGGTACATCCACAAGTCCATCACTAGTCCATCACAAGTCCATCACAAGTCCATCACAAGTCCATCACAAGTCCATCACACATCCATCACAACTCCATCACAAGTCCTTCACAAGTCCATCACAAGTCCTTCACAAGTCCATCACAAGTCCATCACAAGTCCTTCACAAGTCCATCACAAGTCCATCACATGTCCACCACAAGCCCACCACAAGTCCAACACAAGTCCATCACAAGTCCAACACAAGTCCATCACAAGTCCATCACAGGTACATCACAAGTCCAACACAGGTCCATCACAAGTCCATCACAAGTCCATCACAAGTCCATCACAAGTCCATCACAAGTCCATCACAAGTCCTTCACAAGTCCATCACAAGTCCATCACACATCCATCACAACTCCATCACAAGTCCATCACATGTCAATCACAAGTCCATCACAAGTCCATCACAAGTCCATCACAAGTCCATCACAGGTCCATCACAAGTCCATCACAAGTACATCACACATCCATCACAACTCCATCACAAGTCCATCACATGTCAATCACAAGTCCATCACAAGTCCATCACAAGTCCATCACAAGTCCATCACAGGTCCATCACAGGTCCATCACAAGTCCATCACAAGTCCATCACAAGTCCATCACAAGTCCATCACAAGTCCATCACAAGTCCATCACAAGTCCATCACAAGTCCATCACAAGTCCATTACATGTCAATCACAAGTCCATCACAAGTCCATCACAAGTCCTTCACAAGTCCATCACATGTCCATCACAAGTCCATCACAAGTCCATCACAAGTCCATCACAAGTCCATCCCAAGTCCATCACAAGTCCATCCCAAGTCCATCACAAGTCCATCACAAGTCCATCACAAGTCCATCACAAGTCCTTCACAAGTCCATCACAAGTCCTTCAGTCTCAAGTCAAGTCACTAGCTATTCCAATGAACTGTTACAAAAGCATTCCTTTGTCATTGTTCATCCTGTTACTTGTGACTGGACTTATGAAAAGACTTTTTGATGGACTCGACTTCATCACTGATAGAAAGCAACACAATTTTACTTCAGCAGTCGTATTCCCTTCATTTTTTTGAACATAAAATTTGGCCTAGTGTAAGAATTACCCAAGTTAGTTATTTATGAAAGACTTCGTCACAACTGGATACCTTCATGCATTGATGTAAAGTATAGATATCTTCTTATGAAAACTATTTAAAGTTGACTTTTCAGTTGCCATGTATATATGGGCAAGTTCGCGCAAGGACTATAGTTAACCATTGGTCGACTAACGCTTGCCCGAACTCTGTCTAGTCGACGATGGTTAACTACGCTAGTCGACTATTTGGAACCAACCTACTGGGGTTGGTTGCTTCGCTGGTAACCATAGCCGCGCGCGTTCATAACGTACAGCAGGGAGCCAGGATCCAGACGTTTTGCAATGACATTTTGACCAGCGTTTGACTAGAGACGTTCGCACTTTGCTATTAGTGCGCTATTAGTGCGCAGGCGTAAGGTACGTCACAAATCAACCACTAGTCGACTAATGGTCCTTGCCCGAACTTGGCCTATGCTGCAGAGTTTGTTTGCCAATCTTATGTCATCTTGATGTCCATCCTTAGTGTTTATTTTAAGACATTTAGAATGTCATGTTGTTCTTGTTTGATTTATTTGGTATTCAGATTTTGTACAGTTGGGTGTGGTGTTTTTGTTTTGTTTGTTTTTGTTACTAGTTTATGATAATTATTGCAAATCAATTTTGTGGACTACATTTCTGTTTGTGCTCGTTCAACAAGAATTACTTTTGAAACACTTAATGTCTCTGATGGAGATATAACATTTTGGTTATTTTCCATTGAAGTGAGAGTGCCTCTGAAAGTGTGATTGGGCAAAATTTCACAGAAATATAGATTTGAATTGAATGAAAAGTAGATATTTATGGATTGAGCTCTTTGTAGCATTATGTGAATAATTTAAAAAGGACTCGTACTGGTTTATGTGACTATTCGAATATGTTAAGATTATAAACATATGCGCATGATTTAACCTTCAAGTTGCTTGATCGTCTAGTGTTAATTGCAATTTCTTTCCCGAAAATTAGATTCTGTTTTTAAATTGCCATTTTTCTAACACGATACAAAATGTTATTCACTTTTGAATGATGAGACATCGAACAAAAAAATCCACCCACTTTTAGTTATGGAATATTTACTAAACAATTATTGAGGCATATCTTTTGTGTGTTGTGCAAATAAATGAGGGTATTTAGTGAGGGTTAAAAATGTCCAAAATAGACAAAATTAGCTTTTTTGCATTGAAATAAAGCCTTAAGATTGTAACTTATGAAGAAATATTGAATATTTTGAAGAAATATCAAATGTTTCGATTTTCAGCAACTCTATCTTAAAATGCAATGATTATGCACTAAAATTATGTGAAATAACCAAAGTTTGATGAAGAAATAAAAACACAAATTCTTGCAAATTTTGTGCCTTGTCTAGGCGTGGTATTTGTGTTGTTAATTTGAGATGATGATGATGATGGTAAAAAAATATATTAATTGCATGGATATTAAAGGGGTGGTTTAACATGTGAAAGTTTGATATTGTTCTGCAATTTGTTAAAGTTTAGTTCGTGGTGAAAGTGTTATATTATGGTGTTGAAAATTATGATTGAGGTGGTGAATTGTGAGGGTCGTTGTGGTGAAATAGTGTGATGTGGTGAACCGTGACGGTGGTATATGAAAGAACTTCATTATAATTTACTCAGAACTTTTACTTAGAGAAACATTTTTAAATTTCCCTCCACTTCCCAAAATGGATCCTTCCATTTCATATCGAGGCAACTCCGACTAAGGAGGTCGCCATGTTTAGTGAATCAACGCAACCAACTGAAATTCCTGTCCGTCTTCGCGCGAAACTCCACAGAAATCTCCCGGTTCCAAGGAACTGAACGCGCCAATATTTAATTCTTGTCCAGTTTAAGAAACACAGAACCACACAGATGCACCATGCTTAAGTTATTTTCCTTAAAACAGGAGAAAAAAGACGGAGAAGCAGCCGGAAAGAACGCGGGTGTCAATCAAAAAAGAGCTTCGGCGGCGCAGTTACGATTCACGAAAGGTAATGTACACAGAACGAATGTCGGACACTTCGCCCCATTTCCACGTCGCCCCATGTCTCTTCGCCCCTAACCACTTCGCCCCATCCCCACTTCGCCCCATTCTCACATCGCCCCATTCCCACTTCGCCCCATTCCCACTTCGCCCCATTCCCACTTCGCCCCATCCCCACTTCGCCCCATCCCCACTTCGCCCCAGCCGTTACATGTAAAAAAAAATATCTCATCTATTTTATTGGCTTAAAAAACAGTTTCAACAGATTCACTAATTGCTAACCAACGGAAAGAATTAGCCCATCACCAAATGAACAATTCATAACCAACCTCTCAAGCTAGGGTCTTACCGAGAAAAAAGCTTGAAGTAGTTTGTTCCCAACCCCGCTATACCAACCCGTCTCCCACTTATCTGAGAACAACAATACCTTTGACATCCTAATTTCACTCTTGGAGGAACCAATCTCATCTAAATGAAGTTGTAAGTTTCCTCAGTTTCTAGAATTGGGAGCATATTATCTGGGGTCTTTGGCAGTTTATTTGGTTTGCACCCCTAGCCTTCACCTTTTCATACTACATGGGGCGACGTGGGGATGGGGCGAAGTGGGGATGGGGCGAAGCGGGGATGGGGCGTAGTGGGGATGGGGCGAAGCGGAGATGGGGCGATGTGGGGATGGGGCGATCTGGGGATGGGGCGAAGTGGTTAGGGGCGAAGTGACATGGGGCGACGTGGAAATGGGGCGAAGCGTCCGACACCCCACAGAACACAGTGCAAATGTCATCGTGCACCCACACATTACATACATGTACGTCACTGTGGTATTCGTTTTTGTTGTGTCATTTGTGTAGACTGTTGTTCCATTTTGGGAAGTGATATCATTTCTTTCGGGATTCAAAGAAAACTGAGGCAAATTGAGTAAAAATCACTGATTTTATCAATTGGAAAATGGCAAATAGGTAGGCTATTTCACTTTTTTTAATTTTGAGGGGGGGGGGAGGCCTTTTCATTTTTTGGGGGTGACCTTTTTCAGTTTTCGAAGTGGCTATCGTTACGGCAGCCGTTGTTTAGCGCCCTCTACGATACATTTTTGATACGCACGTAGCTGGAGTTACCCAGCCCTGAGTTTTATCATTGGGTTGTCATCTAGGGCTGGAGCGCATTTTTCTCAAAACTTGTAGTATTTGCAAAAAAAATTTGGAAAATGTTCAATTTTGTCCCCGTTACACACTAATTGCAACTGCAACTCACCCCAAACTTGCCTGGAATAACCATTACACAGGTCCTTGAAGTAAAACACGATCCACGATGAAGATTCAGCCTACAATTGCAGTGAAAACAGGAGGAATAACCGCTAACTTGACAACCTTGCTGGATTGGCCAGGACCGCTATTGGTTTGTGCAAAAAAAAAATTGTGTACAATGAATGGCGGTCGATTAACAGGCACAGAGAGCGATCGCTGTCAACTACTCGGTTTTGCCGGCTGCGCTGGCTGTTGGCGCATGACGTCACGCGGAAGCGTAACACCCGATGACTGTTTCATGCACTATTGGTTGCGGTTCCAGTACCAAAGCTGTGATGCGACTGGTAAACCTTATACTAGTGCATGAAACAGTCATCGGGTCATACGCTTCCGCGTGACGTCATGCGCCAACAGCCAGCACAGCCGGCAAAACCGAGTAGTTGACAGCGATCGCTCTCTGTGCCTGTTAATCGACCGCCATTCATTGTACACAATTTTTTTTGTGCACAAACCAATAGCGGTCCTGGCCAATCCAGCAAGGTTGTCAAGTTAGCGGTTATTCCTCCTGTTTTCACTGCAATTGTAGGCTGAATCTTCATCGTGGATCGTGTTTTACTTCAAGGACCTGTGTAATGGTTATTCCAGGCAAGTTTGGGGTGAGTTGCAGTTGCAATTAGTGTGTAACGGGGACAAAATTGAACATTTTCCAAATTTTTTTTGCAAATACTACAAGTTTTGAGAAAAATGCGCTCCAGCCCTAGATGACAACCCAATGATAAAACTCAGGGCTGGGTAACTCCAGCTAATACGCACGCAGGTATATAATTATTTGTTTCCCCACGTTTTAGCGAGCAGTGCGACAGCTCAGTCGATAGGGTAGGCCCTACTAGATTTTGCACCGCGAGGTTGCGGGTTCGCATCTCAGTTTTGCACTCGAATTTTTTTCCTTTTCTAACCTGAAGCTTTGGAGGATTTTTTTTAAAAGGGAAATAAAGTTCGAATTTCATAACGTTCAAATTCACTTTTTTTCCTTCTAATTTTATATTTTCTTCTCATGTTTTTATAAAAGTTGCAGTAGGCCCTACTATAGACCCGTGAACGTGGACGTTGTAGTTTACAAGCCACGTTCACGGGTCTAGCCCTACTACTACTAGTACCGTAACTCTAGAAAATGGGAAATGCGTTACGGCTGCCGTAACGATAGCCACTGCGTTTCATTTTTTTGGGGTGACCTTTTTCTGGTTTTAAATTTTGTTTAATAAAGTCATGTTTTGTCATGTTTGTATTACTTAGCAGTCAAGTGAGTAGTGAGCCTTTCAGTTTCAAATTACTATTACTAACGGAAGTTAAATCGTGTCCAAATTATACATAAAAAAAAAATATTTGCTCAATCTACTGTGCCTTATTTTCAGTTGTCTGCTGAATCCAATGGAGTCCAACATGGCGTTAATATCGTCAGAACACCAAAAATGACGAGGATATGTTTTGACGCACTCGCATTCAATGTGTGTTGGATAATGGGCGCGCGTTGCAAGCGTTACCTGCGTCAATTATGGTGACTCGAGGATAAATGCTGAATCCAACATTTTGCATGAGGAATGTACACAAGGGGTTAACTGCTCAATCCAACAGGCTCCATCGGGGACATAGTTGGATCCTGTTGGATTCAGCAGGGTTAGGGTAAATACCGGCCAAATACATATATTTATTCCCATTCATCAATACATGTACCTTTTCAGTTAAAAAGTCAAAACAAGTCCAAAAAAATTAATTTCTGGCAATTTTGTTGAACAATTTTATTTCATGTTTCTCGAAACACCCCTCTGGTATATGTCACTTACACCATGGAGGTAGAATTATTCTACCTCCATGCTTACACATACGCTTACGATTTAATGGGAATAAGTATTAGGCTTCATTAGCCTTTATGACCCCATATCTCTTCCAGTACTCGTCGAGCTCATGTTTGAAAGAATTTGTAGTCTTGGCATTCACAACAGAACTTGGTAGATCGTTCCAAGTGTTGACTACTCTCTGGGAGAAAAAAAAAATCTTGCCTGCATCTCAGAGCTTTGTTCATCCCAGTTTTAAAGATCTTAATGTTGTGTCCTCTTGTTTCTGTTGTGTTGGAGATTTTAAAGAATCTTGTTGGTTCTGTATTTGTAACAACTCCTTTTATGGATATTGGTGCATGCGTGGTGCGTGGTGCGTACTGCATACATGTATGTGACACAGTATAAATTTAGTATTCCCAAAATACGGACTCGTTGGTAGTATTGCGCATGCTTAAAGTGGAGATTGTGAACGTTCAACCAATAAAAGGGTAAAGGGACCAGATTTCATAGGAGTCCAAATTTCATGTGACACCAGAAAAGTGTTTAAGACCAGCCAGCTAGTGTTTTATCAACGGTTTAAAACCAGCCATGTGATGGGCTCTCGACCAATAGGAATGGGTAAACTGTCTGAGGTATTTATGAATGTTATAGGGTAGGGACATTGGACTTGCTGTGGTATTTGTTGTTTCAATCATTTCCCAAATATTTCTTTGATTTCCACAGATATTAACGACCTTAACCTTCCCAAAACCTGCCGGATAGAATACCCAGATCCAGATGACATACTCAACTTTAAACTTGTAATTACACCAGATGAGGTGAGTGTTTACAGGAAAAAGATAATCATTTTGTTGCTGATAAAAGTTGTAATGGACTGTAGTTTGGCTATAATTCAAGCTCACTTCACGCTTGATCATGTGTGCCAAACTGTTTGTTTGCAAACATCGAAAAAACAAAACTACCAAATTATTTTGAAATACCTTACTGGACTGTTAGTGAACGACAGTCTCAAGCTTCCTGTAAAATCATGGCACCTGGTGTGCTGTCATTTTCAAGAAAAGTGGTATTTTTGTATCAATTTCCAATGCTGGTCAGTGGACCAGCGTTGGAAAAAAAACTGGATCGTTTCAATACTGCCCCTATTTTACCATATTTAGTTAGTCAGCATTTTGTTTGCAATCGATTACACAGCTATGAACGGGAACGTGCCTGCTAGACTGATTCCCTGACCTTACAATTCCCCGACGTCTATAAATTGCTGTTTCATCTTAAGTGGGGTCAGGGAACCAGACTATGTGAACATGATTGTGTTTCCAGCATCTACGAACACAAAACTTCAAATAAGTCCGTGTAAAATGCTACCCCCCCCCCCCCCCATCCATCCATTTCTGAATAATACAGCAAAAGCAAATATTGTACAGTCCCTTTAACTTATGACATGTGACCTGACCCATTGAGCTACAAGTTTCTGAAAGTGGCAGGGGGGGATTGCTTCTATTTCTTACCTCTTCTATCGCATATTGACTGTCTGATGCCACTTATCATAATCTATCATTCTTTGAAGTTATACCACTTCAAGAGATTCACCCATAAACCAGTCTAGTTAAGGCCAGGTCAGGCCAACCCACATTCTTTCCCAAAGAATATGTCTTTTTGTCTTAACTTGACTTGCTTCTTTTATTTGATTTCAGGGGTTCTACAAAAATGGAAGATTCTATTTCAGTTTTAAGGTAAATTTTCAGTATAGTTTCAAGACTTGATTTTTGTCTTTATATGTTAACATGTGAATAAACACAATGTGTGGAAACTTTAAAAGGTCAAAAGAATGCACGCTTCTCAAGGTTACATATCGAACAAACAAAACCATACAAAAAAGTTTGTCTTAGATCAGACCATGCAAACTGTGGAACAACACTTGTATGCATTGACACAAGTTCCAATAGACCATTATCATGTTGCGGCCATCTTGATTTTTGTCCCAATCAAATCAACGTAACCAAAGCGAGGCTGGAAGGAAAAATAGTCTGGTTCCTTTTTGCACAAAAAACATTATCATTCAGTACTGTTACTGGATACAGGGAACATGACTGAAATGGTGGCAGCATAGTAAAGTTCTATTACCCTAATCCCCTTGGGTGTGTGAAAAAGTCATATTAAAAATGGGAGGATTCAGGATTGTTCACAGGTCAAGCTGATCATGTCAACATGTAAACAGAAGCAATCATTTTAAACAGTTTAATAGCCGTCTTACTATTGTAGTGTTTTGTCATGTGTGTGCAAACTTTACCAGCAAATATATGTAAAACTTTTATCCCAGTATCAGGGGAGTGTGGCTTAGTGGTTAGGATTCATGACTCCTGATCAGAGGGTTAGGGGTTCGAATCCAGCTGCTGGTCATATTTTGTGTCCTTGGGCAAGCCACTTCATCCCCACTTGCCTTTCTTCACCCAGGAGTATAAATGGGTACCGGCATTAGCTGGGGATTAACCTGCGATGGACTGGCATCCCATCCAGGGGGAGTAGAAATATTCTCAGTCGTTTCATGCTACTGAAACTGGAGATAAAGGCCGGCCTGATGGGCCACATTGGCTCGTGACAGTCTTTACTTTTTATCCCAGTGTTGTCATGTCCATCACAGGTCCATACCAAGTCGTCCAGTCTCCCGTAGGGTCACATGCCATTCAAAGGACTTGCGACAAAAGCATTCCTTTGTTAGTTTATTTGTTATATTTCTTTCTGGTAATGAAACCAAGGATTCCTCAAAAGTGCCCTAGGCACTGTAGCTCGCAAGCCTGAAGAAACCTGTAGAGAGAAGACTGTGAGAAGAAATGACAGTTTTAGAGGTGGGAGGAAAACCCCAGGAATCAGATGGGGACTGAAAACCCAATCCACATGTGGTCCAGGCAGGAATCGAACCCGGGCCATAGAGGTGGAAGGCGAGGAAAGCAACCACTGTGCCAACCTGTTCATCCTGTGTGAAAGGACTTGTGATGTGTGATGTAATTGTGGTGGACAACATTCGTTGTTTTTGCTTAACCCTAACCCCCAACAGGTTTTCTCTAGGCACCCTGCCAAATGCAACAAAATACAACTTAGTTGAAATAAGAGCCATGATAAATGCAACAAATGTAACAGTTGATTCTGTTGCATTGTGCAGTGAACCCAGTGCATACCAGCCTTGGCACCAAGCAGTTACCCTGCTAAATGCAACAAAATGCAACGGTGGATTATGTTGCATTGTGCAGTGAACCTAGTACACACCAGCCTTGGTACCCAGCAGTTACCCTGCTAAATGCAACCAAATGCAGCAGTGGATTCTGTTGAATTGCCTTGGACCTTTGAGCAGTAACCCTGCTAAATGCAACCAAATGCAATAGTGGATTATGTTGTATTGCCAAGAACCTTTGAGCAGTTACCCTGCTAAATGCAACCAAATGCAACAGTGGATTCTGTTGTATCGCCTTGGCACTATGAGCAGTTACCCTGCTAAATGCAACAAGATGCAACAAAGCACGGGGACTTGAGTTGCCTGCTAAATGCAACAGTATGCAACAACGTTTTAGCTCTGTTGCTTTCTGTTGCATTTAGCATGGTTAGGGTTAAAAAGATGCAATTCCCAACAGCCTTTTATCATTTTTGTCGCAGATTGGACCCGGGTACCCTCACGATGCACCCAAAGTCAAGTGTGAAACGATGGTTTACCACCCAAACATCGATCTCGAAGGAAATGTCTGTTTAAATATATTAAGGTAAGAAGCAGCTCTTCTAAACTCGAGTCAACAATTTTGTTATAGAATGGAAGACTGGAAAATTGCTGTATTTAAAGGGAAGGTACAACATTTGCAAACATCAAAAAACGAAATGATCAAATTATCACGAAATACCTTACTGGATTGTGGCTCCTGGTGTGATGACATTTGCAAGGAAAATGGTATTTTCCCAACGCTGGTCGGCCAACCAGCGTTGGAGAAAACTGACTTATTTTCAAAACTGCTCCTAATTCTTCATATTTAGTTATTCTGCATTTTCTTTGCACTTGTTTACACACCTTTGACGAGGTACAAGCCTGCCAGACTCATTCTCTGACCTTACAATTCCCCAAAGTCTACAGATTGCTCTGTTTCATCTTGATTGGGGTCAGGGAACCAGACTACAAGAAAATGATTGGTTTTCTTGGTTTTTCCAGCATCTACAAGCCCTAAACGTGAAACAAGTCAGTTTAACAATATACAAATATAAGATGGTTTGAGGGTGGACAGTCGATATTCGCTCCCCGAGGTATTGAAAGATGACAAACTAGTTCCCGAGGCGAAGCCGAGGGAACTAGTTTGTCATCTTTCAATACCGAGGGGAGCTAATATCGGCTGTCCACCCGAAATAAACCATGTTATATTTGTTTTACTATACCTCATACCATGCTCATACATATTCAGCGCCGATTTTTGTTTTGTTTTTTTCGCTGCAGTATGCACCTCAAAAAAGTTTGTTTGAAAAACTTGTCCAGTTCACCACTAGAATCGTATTGCTCAAATTCACTAGTTCAGTTCGTACACAATACAGTGCAGCTGTAAATACAGTAGTTTGTGTACAACATTCTTTTGTACAGGATGCATCTCTTTTGTCCATAAATATTCTTTAGTTCGGCATCATTGAGCTCGTTTGGGCGATGTTCGCGCGTGCGTACTACACCCGTGCGACAGTTCCACGATAGCTTTGTAAAGCGCATGCGTAGTAGACTGTCGCACGGGTAACCCGTTCTACTACGCATGCATATTTTCTCTGTGCGCGAATCCTCGCGCGCGCACTTGGTGAACAGCAAAAATAACATCTGGCACGTGATGGTGAATTGACCAGTGAGAGTTCGGCTCTCGATCATGAATATGTATGAGGTATAGTAATATTTGCTATAACATTTTTTTTTTGCAAATCCATTTATTTCTGAAAATTGCAGCAAAAGCAAATGTTGTACATTCCCTTTAAAGACAAATATTCTCCATGGCCATGTTCAGTGGTCTTGGCAGACATATAAACTGAAGAAATTAAAGATGGTGATTGTTCCTTTCTCAGTAAAAGAAAAAGAATGGAGAAAAGCCTTACAGCAGAAAAAAAAAATTGTTTTACTTTGAGAAAGTCTGAAAATGAGTATTTTCTTGCTTAACAATGATCAGTGCTGTGAGCTGCACTGGAGTTCAGACTAAACAGCATGCGTTACACAAATCAATTTAACTTCCCGCACCCTTTAATACAGGAAGATGCCTGCACCTTTAATTTTGTATAAATCTGCCATGTTGAATTTCCCCTTCCTCAACTGAAAATCCTGTTGAGTTTGTTGACTTATTTTTAATGAACTATGTTAAGCAGAATACATGAGGAAGTTTGGATTTGTAATTTCGCGCTGAGTGAATTCGTAAATTAAGAATCCACACTTGCAAGTGTATTCTTCGACTTAAACCATTGCGTCAAAAGAAGAATTGTCATTAACAGTCCAGTGAGTGGAGATGAAAAGACTTGCATATCTCGTGTCAAATCGTGGCCATTAGGGTAATTTACAAGGGAGTTTTCGAGACTCTTATGCGTAATCGAGCATTATGGCATATGTATCGCCACATTCGTACAACCAAATCACTTTGTGTGTAGGCTCCTTACATCAAAATGGATAGTTCAGACGATGATTTCTTTCTGACTCAAAGTAGTTTTTGCAGTGACGGTGGAGAATCTGACAGTGAAGATGCATTGGTAATTTTCAAAAGGAAAGTTTTCATGCAGATGGTCCTATTAGTACTCATTATGAAGAACAATTGTCCGACATGTTCAAAGTAGATTCGTCGTTCCGAATCCACACTTTGTGATCAGTGAAACAGATTTGTAGTTCCGAATCCACACTTTTAACAATGGTGTGACGTCATAGCAATGGTTTAAGTAGTATGTAAGACACTCTGAAAGACTTACAAGGCAATGATTTGTCTTCTTTTTTGTCTGCAGGGAAGACTGGAAACCTGTACTCACAATCAATTCAATCATCTACGGACTTCAATTTCTTCTTTTGGTAAGTTGACAAGATGTGACACATTTCTGTCTAGCTGCATATGTACTCAGTTTTGATAAGACTACTGCAGCAGAAATCAAAGATGTTGTTTCCACACTATGACAACAAAATGAATAGTGTGATGATATCAAACAAGGTAAATATGACTTGGAAAAAAACCTCTCGGTTAAGTAGCTCCATTCTTTCAGAATTGACAATACTGTTGTTGACAGGCATGCAACTGGGAATGTTGAGAGAAAAAACGAGGAAATTCCAAACCACACAAGACTTTGTACAGTGTTTTTCAATTTGTAATGGCATTCATGAGAAGTGAAAAACGAGGAACTCAGCAGATCCGAAGAAAAGTTGCACGCCTGTGTTGATAGACGAATGCAGCAAGGTCCCTCAGACTTTTGCACCTCTTGCACCTTATTGCGTCAGAGGAGGTTGGGGTTCATTTGTTACTTTGTCATTCTGTGTTTTAAAGGTATACAAAACAATGTAGTCCATCATTTGTAATTTGTGCATTTTGTTCATTTGAAGCAACAAAAGTGCTCAGTATCTGAAGAAGGATGCTGAACAACCAATCTGATGAAGTTTCAGCTTTAGCTTCAGCTGCATTTTTCGAGAAAACCAACATTCTAGGATCTCGATTTCAAATCAAAAGTTGCTGAATCATATTTTGAATTGGGCTTGAATTCAGCATCTGAGACACGTTCTCACCGAGCCGATTGCAGCTATGGGGTGTCGTGCACTGATCCGACGAATTATAGCATCCGCGCCCGCGTGTGCATCGTGCCAATGCTTGCGCGCGCTTCGCCGAATAACAAACAAACTACTAATTTGAATTACCTACGGTGCTTCTTAAGAAGCACCGTTGGATAGGCCTTCTTTCATTGATTTCTTTAAAATGACAGCTTTCCAGAAAGAATAATTTCACAGGGAGTTTAGTCCCCTTACTATCTTTCAACCAAGTATGTTTTTCAACAATAATTACGCTAGTTACTTTTTGGATAGCTGCAAATGATGGACTCTGGCTTTAACCAACTGACTTTTTTTTTTTTTTTTCAGGAACCCAACCCAGACGACCCTCTCAACAAAGAAGCAGCAGAAGTCCTTCAAAACAACAGACGACTCTTTGAGCAGAACGTCAACAAGTCCATGCGAGGCGGATACGTCGGTAGCCAATACTTTGAACGATGCCTCCAAGTATGATGGTGTCAGTCTGTCTGTCTACTTCCATGTCTGTGTGTGTGTATGTCTGACTCTCATTGAATGGATAGATCCAGAAGCCACGCCCACTATGACATCACCAGGTGACTGACCAATGACATCTATGCTTGCACACTCTCCTCATTAGCCGTTTCATCCCACCACGAACCTAACTAGGGGAACGTACACCTGTGTCACATTTTCAGTATTTTGTGCAAAAATCTTGATTTCTCTATAAATTTGTCTAATAGATTAGATATTTGGGAGGGTTGACTTGGCACAATACTGTTGCTACTTGGTGGGTGTGGCTACTACTCGGATGTGGCCACATTGTGGGTGTGGCTAATTTGGGATGTTGCTACTCTTGTGGATGTGGCTACATTATGGGTGTGGCTACTCTGAGAATGTGGCTACATTGTGGGTGTTGCTGCTCTGTGTGTGTGGCCACTATCTAGATGTGGCTACATGTGGGTGTGGCTACATTGTGGGTGTGGCTACTCTGGGTGTGGCTACTCTGGGTGTGGCTACTCTTGGTGTGGCTACTCTGGATGTGGCTGCTTTATGGGTGTGGCTACAATGTGGGTGTGGTTATGTTTTGGGTGTGGCTACTAAATGTGACTACTCTGTGGGCGTGGCTTCTGAATCATATCATTGTCTCTGTATTATTAACGCTGCCCCTTCCTTAACCAAAAATCACCTATTTAAATGAGCCGTTTTTTGTTGGGTTGATTGTATGTATGTATATGTTACATAAAGTGTGTTCGGTTAGTTTTTTTATGTAATTTAAGGGGGTTTAAAATCGCTGGCTGCATGATGAAATTTGAAAATTACTTTTTAGGATAGAGCTTAAGTTGTGCGTTGCAGCACGGATCCTCCACACAAGGATAAAGACTCATCTGAGCTTGTGTACAAAATGTGCGGAACGGTTTGCCTACATGCGTGATATGCCGCGTCCGCGTATAGAACAACGCATAGAACAGTGTGCGCGCACCATGATCGCCGACAGCTGGCATCCTGACAGAAATTTGACCACTGAAAGCCTACAGTCGCGCGCCGAGTCTTGCGCACGCAAGACGCGCAAGTGCCATATCATGCCTCTAACCAGAAATTTGGGGAAGTCGTTTATCCTTGTGTAGAGGATTCGTGGTTGCAGGTATCTCAGAGAGTGTTCTTGGTTATCTTATCTAGTCATAATGAACGCAGAAATAAACAATTCATTGCCCTGTAACTTCACCTGAATGCCTCTATAGGGTCAATTAGCTATGAACACAATGTCTACGAGACGGAAATCTATGACCGCCATCAAGTCTGCATGGAACGTACTACTCTGTTGCATTATCCCTGGCCAAATTTGTTGATTAACAATCTTTGCAAACTCTTTCATAAAAAAATCTGGTAAAATGTGGTTATCCATTGAGTGTTTTCTGGCTAGCACTGATGAGTTCATTGCCTGGCATTGGATTTTGCTTTTCTGGAGAAATATGGTGTTTTTTGTCTGTTGAAAGAAAAACAAAGTTTTTTTGAAAGAAACTTGGAGAATGCTTTGTGGAGGTGACGGATATCTGTTAGACTTGTCCCTAGTCCGTTGTCATCATGAGTGCACTGAAGGTGATAAGTCATAATCCAAGTAACAATATTGGTAATTGGCATAGCCTTAAACTTAAAGGGAATATACAACATTTGCTTTTGCTGCAATTTTCAGAAATAAATGGATTTGGAGGATTAGTATGTTAAATAAAATATTGTTAAACTGACTTATTTATGTTTTGGGCTTGTAGATGCTGGAAAAACTAAGAAAACCAATCATGTTCTTGTAGTCTGGTTCCCCGACCCTACTTGAGATTAACAGAGCAATTAATAGACTTTGGGGAATTGTAAGGTCAGAGAATCAGTCTAGCTGGCTTGTACCGCTTCACAGATGTGTAATCAATTGCAAAGAAAATGCAGAATAACTAAATATGAAAATTAGGAGCAGTTTTTGAAAAAAGCCAGTTTTCTCCAACGGTGGTCGGCCGACCAGCGTTGGAGAAAACTGGCTTTTATTATTGAAAATGTCAGCACACCAGGAGCCATGAATTTACAGGATGCTTTCGACTGTCATTCCCCACAATCCAGTAAGGTATTTCGTGATAATTTGATGTTTGCAAATGTTGTATCTTCCCTTTAATGAAGATTTTAGACTTGCCACCAGTCCTTTGTAATTCTGATATTAATAAAGCACACTCCTCTGAATAGCTGAACAGGTGGACCTTAAATTATTTACATTGGTTAATCAGTAGCTGCTTCATGTACATGTAGGTTATTTACAATTGAATGTTGAAAATTGTAAAAAATAATCAAGTTAAGCATATGTTGAGTCCACTTGAAAGTCAGTGATTTACCAAAATGAATATCCTTATTGTTAGGGGATGTGGGGGGGATATGCTATTTTCAAAAAATTGGTATGAACTAGATGTTGTTTTCTAAAACCAGAAGCTCATATTGACAGGGTGAAATGCGACATTTTGTATAATTAATTACGGTGGTCTTTGCCCTGAAAACCAATCTCAATTATTTATTAATGATTAAATACATCACTGACTCCTATCAACCCATAAACATATCTTTGAAAAGCTGCCTCAACCAATTTTGCTTTGCATTATCTCATTTTATCCAATGGATATTAGATTTGCAAATTACAACAATCCTTGGGAGTGTGTATTTCTGTTATGCCCCAACTATGGCAATGGGCCCAACTACAGTTGGGACAGTCCCAACTACATGTGCTGTATAGTTGGGACTGTCCTCTAAGTCCCAGGTTCGGGACATCCTATAGTTGGGACGATACCATAGTCGGGGCGTAAGATTTCCATTGTTACAACCAGTCTGATTGAAGGTAGGGTGTAAACACGTTTTGCGCATCTACACATTTTCTGTTACGTTTCCAATGTCTGTCAATATTCGGCTATAATCATCATGTATTGTGCCAGTCAAGTATTTGTTATATTGGCCACACAGACAAAAAAAAAGTCTAGCAATGGATAAACTCACAACGCCTTAAAATTACTTATTCTGTATGTTGGCTTGAAAATGGTTTGTTAATTTTTTATGAGCAGTCCGCCAATTTTTTTTCTTAGCCTCATGCTATGTTAGCCCGTTTTCATGGCTCTGCTGTTTGCACCAAAAAATACACACTTGCTGTAGCAGATAATTCAATGCTTAGTGTGTTTCGTGGATTAGCGAGGAATTTTGGCTGATGCGCATGCGTACATCCCGTAACTACGGATTCTGTGCTTCAATGGGTGGCACAGAATTGGCGCAGAGTTTTGCAGTCAACAGAGTCATGAAATTGGGCCCTCGCTAAAACTTGGCCTGAATTTACTGCATTTTCCAACAAGGCTTTATCTCGTTCCATACCGGGGCTATGCAATTCTTTTTTCCATGTTTACGTTGTGATGTTATTATTTATGAAAGTACCCAGATATGTCTGTATTGTAATAATGTACCTCTTTAAAATAGCTTATGGTTTGGAAGTAGGGCAAGTCCAAGAATTTGCGCACGTTATGTCCCATACGTAACCAAAGTATAACCCTCTAAGATATTCATGGATTTCAGCGTTTTTTTATTCTACTGTTGGGCATCTTGAGGAGAATACCCACAAGAATGTTTATGTTTAGTCTCTGCGATGATTATGTTATTTAAGAAAACATGGCGTTACGTATGGGACAAAAGGCGAACTTTTCTTGGACTTGCCCATGAACGATGTGTTCCCACACCTTTTACAGCCACGCAGAAACAACAAATTTTTAAAATTTGTTGGGTTTTCCGAGATTTTTATTTGTATTGCCATCATGCCTTGCTGGTTTTGCTTGCTAGGGGTTCAAAAAGACATTCTTTGGAAAGAACGGGAAATTGTCTGTGGAGTGGCCTCATGAGATGAAATTAGGGTATGGGTAATCAATTCTGCGATTACTCAAATACTATCCAGTCAGATTGGTCAAATAACTTCATCTCACTAAACCATAATTATTTTACTCAAAATGTAATGTTGATATTGAAAATTAAATCTGAAAGTAATTCGAAACTTGAAAAAGGTCGAGTAAAAGTTGAGAGAGGGGTTCTTGTAAGTAGCCTCAGGCTATTCAGGACTACCAAGACTTGTGTTAAAACTATTTGATTTGCAGTTAAGTTAAAATTCAAAGTTGAAACTTAAACACTCAACTTTTTTTACCCACATAACCAGATTATTTATCCAGACTTCAAGAAAATTGATTTCAAACATTTGCAGCATGCTCACCTAGCTTTTTTTTTTCATGATTATTTTATTTAAGGGGCAATGTAACATTTTAACAAAAACGTTTTGAAATAAAAAAAATGTATAAACTATTTTGTTGTTTGTTTGTGTGTTGGCTGTACAGTGTTGGCCCTTCAAAACAAAACGGTTGAATTTTTTTCTAGAAATTACAAAAGGTAAGGGGTTAGCCTTCCATTTTTATCAAAATTGGGTCAAAATTCTAATTTGTCTATAAATTACATAAGGTAAGGGGTTAACCTTGCATTTTTATCAAAAAAGGGCAAAATTCAACTTTTTCTAGAAATTAAAAAATGTAAGGGGTGAGCCTTGCATTTTTATCAAAATTGGGTCAAATTTGACTTTTAGCGGCAATTACAAAATGTAAGGGTTTAGCCTCGCATTTTTATCAAAATTGGGCAAAATTCTAATTTGTCTTTGAAATTACAAAAGGTAAGGGGTTAGCCTTGCATTTTTATCAAAACTGGGTAAAATTTAACTTTTCTGAAAATCAAAAATGTGAAGGGGTTAGCCTTGCATTTTTATCCAAATTTTGTAAAATTTGACTTTTTGGGGAAATGAACAGATTTGTGTTTTTTGGGGTAAATTAACAAATGTAAGGGGTTAGCCTTGCATTTTTATCAAAATTTGGTAAAATTTGACTTTTTGGGGAAATTAAACGTAATGGGTTAGCCTTGCATCTTTTGCAAAATTGGGCAAAATTCTACTTTTTCTGAAAATTTCAAAAGGTAAGGGGTTAGCCTTGCATTTGTATCAAAATTTGGTAAAATTTGTCTTTTTGGGGGTAAATTAACGAATGTAAGGGGTTGAACCTTGCATTTTTATCAAAATTGGGTCAAAATTCTAATTTGTCTAGAAATTACAAAATGTAAGGGGTTAGCTTTGTATTTTTATCAAACTTGGGCAAAATTTGACTTTTTCTGGAAATTACAAAATATAAGGGGTAAGCCTTGCATTTTTATCAAAATTGGGTCAATTTTGACTTTTCGCGGCAATTACAAAATTTAAGGGGTTAGCCTCGCACATGTCATCAAAATTGGGCAAAATTCTTTTCCTGGAAAATAAAAAAATGTAAGGGGTTAGCCTTGCATTTTGATCACAATTTGGCAAAATTTGACTTTTTTAGAAGTTGCAAAATGTAAGGGGTTTTGCAAAATTGGGTCAAAATTCTAATTTGTCTAGAAATTACAAAAGGTAAGGGGTTAGTCTTGCATTTTTTATCAAAATTGGGCAAATTTTGACTTTTTCTAGAAATTACAAAATGTAAGGGGTTGGCCTTGCATTTTTATCAAAATTGGGCAAAATTTAACTTTTTCTGGAAAATCAAAAATGTAAGGGGTTAGCCTTGTATATTTTTTTTAATTTGTGCAAAATTTGACTTTTTTTCTGGAAATAACAAAATGTTAGGTATTAGCCTTGCATTTTTATCAAAATTGGGTCAAATTTGACTTTTTCGCGGCAATCACAAATGTAAGGGTTAGCCTTGCATTTTTATCAAAATTGGGCAAAATTTGTCATTTTTGGGTAAATTATCAAAATTCAACTTTTTCAAAAAAATTCAAAAATGTAAGGGGTTAGCCTTGCATTTTTATCAAAATTGGGCAAAATTTAAGTTTTTCTGGAAAATCAAAAATGTAAGGGGTTAGCCTTGCATTTTTATCAAAATTTGGTAAAATTTGTCTTTTTTTGGGTAAATTAACGAATGTAAGGGATTAACCTTGCACTTTTATCAAAATTGGGCAAAATTTGTCTTTTTTGGGGTATACTAACAAATGTATGGGGTTAACCTTGCACTTTTATCAAAATTGGGCAAAATGTGTCTTTTTTGGGTAAATTAACAAATGCAAGGGGTTATATCGTGTAGTTGGTGATGTTATTTTCAACGTGCATTACATGTTTTCACGATCAAGTCCACGCCTTCTCAAAAATACTCCTTTTCTTTCCAGTTTGTTCATATTAAAATAAAATGTGACACTGCATATTAGCGGGCCAGATTGTAACATTTTAACTTTAAAAAAATTGTGTTTTCATACTCACGGGGAGACAAATTGATGCTGTTGTTACCCCCAGACACCACATACGAGAAGGGAAGGGCCGACGAGCTTCACAGAATCTTGTGAAGGAAGTGACCTATGACCTATATATAAAGCATCTGGCTGCAGCTGTTCAAGACCGCAGTTAGACAATGCGCGCAAATGCTATCCGAAAACTTCCCACAGAAATGCAAACATTCCCAATACCGGATGTGATTTCTTTTTCATTGCGGACTATGTGGACAAATTTTGAGCATCGCATAATGCAATCACGATCATTTACAAAGCCTGAGCAAGTGACGGGAATCGCAAATTTACAACACAGATATTAGTTTTACAGATTTTTCTACATTATAACGCTTTTCAACGAAACAAAAGCATTTATGAAATGGAATAAAAGAGTAATGAATCGGTCTTAACGGCCGTTTGAAACCTTGCAGGATCGTGCTTGTGATGACTTGCAGGTCACAGGTCACTCAAAATTTATCCAATCAGAGCCTGAATTCATCAGCCCTTCCCAGCATCCTGTTTGCAGGGCGGTGGGTACGAGCGAAAACATTCAATTGTAAAGTGTATGAGCACGAAAGGGCGCTGCTCCCACAACAAACATCAAAAGGTCAAGAATTTCAGAACAGCACATTGCGTACAATTCCCTGGTGTAAAGCATCAATCCCGAAGCAACCTAGGCGCCAAAGCAAGGTCACACAAATCAATTTATACATATTGGAAAGAATGTAGTATCCAGACACCACTTCAGATGTTATGTACAAAGTCTATGGAGAGTCAAGAAAATTTTTCTAACAAAATTGGAAATGTTTCTCAGTCCCAGATTCATGTCTTATCATTTTTGCAATAACTGACCTTTCTTATTGAGATGATATGTGAAGAAAAAAGTGGCGTCAGGTTAAAAATTCTTTCCTAGATATTTTACCAAAGATTCAGGATGAACAGGAAAAGTACCCAAGAAATAACAATGACACAAATTTATACTTTTTTTCCCCCACTGTTTATTACAACATTATTGTTTGCTTACACACTTTTGACCGGATGACAACACTTGAAAGTCAACTTTTTGAGTTTTGTGACATCAGATTCCAAAACAGCGAATAGTTTTGGAATATTAAACGTTGTTCAATGATAGAACTCCCAGCATGATAACCAAAGAGAAATGATTGGAAATTCCATGTGAGAAGCCGCACACGAGACAAACATGTTAACGGTAAGATTTCTGGTAGCGAGCGCGGGGTCCTGGTCCACCAAACTTCTTGGGCTCGCATCGTCTAGGATCGGCCACCAGCAGCGATCTGTCGTATTGGATCAAGATGTCCTTGATCTCCTTTTTGGAGGCTTCGTCAACATCTGGAAAAAAAACCACAAGAAATGTTCATAACTTTGAGTGCTTTTCTCGAGTTATAAACACAGTGGAATGCCGCTACAACGAATATCGTGGGATCCAAAGAAATTGTTCGTAATAACGATCGTTCGGTATAGCGATTTCGAACCACCGGTACCCCCTTTTGACCAATAGTGAAGTCACTGTAACTGGCATTTCTCACATCCCGCCGCCGCCGCACGAGGAGTTGTCACAAAACTTTAGCAACCGGTGGTTTTCCCTTTTAATCCTTGGGGAAATAATAGCCATCTATTGCTCTTCAACATTCAAACACGATGTAACCATGGGTGGTTTGATATTCGGGAATTAAAAGTGGCCCAAACAGTGTTTAATACGCGTACAACCGGTAGGTTTTTTGGTTAATCTGTTGACTTTTTTAAAACAACAATGTTCGGTTTGTTTTGTACATTAAAACCGGGAGCCAAGGATGATGTTCGGTATAGCTGATGTTATGGGCATAATTTTGCCAAAGTCCGTGTCAAAAATTAAACCTTTAGATAAAAGAGGAAGATGAACCCTTTTCAACAATAATTTTGAAACTTTTTTTCATCCTACTGCTTAGAAATTTTTAATTTTTTTTGAGTGGACCCTTTTACATAATAGATCTGAATTGTGCTGTGAAGGTATGCTGCGCGTTGCATCCTGGGACAGTTTGCGTGACGAACGGGGATTTTTTGCAGCGCAAATTGTTCAAGAATACCGCGTAACATACAAGGGCATAAATCCCAGGGGATTGGAAGGATATATCCCCCTCACTTTTTGACTGGGTGGGGGGGGGGGGGGGGGGGGGGGGGGTGGGGTGGGGTGGGGGGGGATGGGACCCAAATTTTTGTGATGACAACCCCAAAATTTCCCATTTTGAGATTATCTTGTAATTTTCCAACGGTCTTAATTTATTGAAAGTTTTGAAAAACAGAACAGAGTACAAACACACTGAATGCACTGTTTTATGTAAGGTTACGGGACGTACGCACAAGCATTACATGTGCATTTAGCGTCACATGTTGTCCCCCCCCCCCCCCCCCCCCATTTCCAATTACCATGACCGGGAAGTGTTAGGATATTGGTCATCCCTCCCTCCCCCCCCCAAAAAAAAACCCTTCACAGATTTATGCCACTGGTAACATACAAAAACTACTGGGCACATCTTGCTGAAATGAAGACTGATCAACACAGAAATTCCTTTGCAATCCAGCCATACTCTTTGTTTGGCCCAAAACAGTGATAATGTGTACAACATTATGCAATTTATGACAAATGGTACCGGAAAAAAGTTGCACTTTTGTATACGTGCAAGGTGAGTGTGAACCACAACTTACATGTATACAAATGTGCAACTGTTTTCGTATCATTTGTCATAAATTGTATAAATTCGTACACATTATCACTGTTTTGGGCCAAATAAAGAGTATGGCTGGATAACTAAGGAATTTCTGTACTGATTAGTCATTATTTGAGCGAGAGGTGCTCAGTAGTTTTTGAGTTAGACAGAAAAGTATTGAAAGGGGGAATATCTTTTTTGGTTGAGTGTATATACCTTCACTAACCCTTCCCGGTCTGGTGGGAACATCATAATGGGCCAAGTTCGCGCAAGGACTATAATTGACCAATGGTTAACTAACGTTTGCCCGAACTCTGTCTAGTCGACGGTGGTTGACTACGCTAGTCGACTATTTGGAACCAGCCTACTGGGGTTGGTTGCTTCGCTGGTAACCAATAGCCGAGCGCATTCATAACGCTAGCAGAGAGCCAGGATCCATTAGTTTTGCGATGACATTTTGACCAGCGTTTGACTAGAGACGTTCGCACGTTGCTATCAATGCGCAGGCGTAAGGTACGTCACAAATCAACCACTAGTCGACTAATGGTCCTTGCCCGAACTTGGCCGACGATGGACTTACACTTCTGGTAGTAGGAGACCAGAGACTTGGAGATAGCCTGTCTGATGGCATAGATCTGAGCGATGCGTCCACCTCCCTTGACCCGGACTCGGATGTCAACGCCTCCAAAGCGCTCCTTGCCAAGCAGAAGGAGGGGCTCCATCAACTGTCAAGCAAAACACACATTTAGAAGTCAAGATTTATGGATCAATAACTCCCTAGGCCTTTTTGCTAGGATGCAGCGTCAATCCTGCAAAATCCTCCAACTGGCCTCAAGGACAAATAGCATATAACCTCAATCCTGCAAATTCCTCCATTCTTTCTTGAATATGGTCCGTGGAGGAGTGACCACTGCCTGAATCCTGCAAAATCCTGCGGCAGTGACTGTCAATATGTTGAGGCTCGGCCAGTGACATCCTGGAGCAGTACGGAGGATTTCAAGCATAATCCAGGCCTATATTTATGCATGGCTGAGCAAAAACACATACAGCATACGTACGAGGAAACAACTGAAATCTCGATAAGTCAAACCTCAAGGGAACAGGTTCAACATTTGACTGAAGCAGAGTTTTGAGTTAAGCAGGGTTGTATATCATTGTTATACTACTGAAGGCAATGGATTCTTTGTTTGACTTAACATTTGTTTTGAGTTATCAGAGTTTGACTTATCGAGATTTCACTGTAGTCCATATATATAGGGCACTCTTAGATGAGTACACTATACACATGTACAGACTTTCTTCACCGTCAATCGCTTTCTGTAAAGTCGCAAACTTCAAACTTTTCATTACACAACTACATGTAACAATAACAGCTGTTCATCCATTCATGCTGTTGTACAACATTACTAGAGTTTTAACATTTTTCAAGTTATGAGATACACTAGATTTTTTTCTTGTCTGCAACATTAGCATGATTCAAGACTCACCTTGTACTTGAGGACTTGAGGCTCAATCATCTCCAGTGGTCTGCCATTCACTCGCAGGACTCCCTTACCACGCTTGCAGTGGGCAACTGCCGTGGCAGTTTTCTGTCCAAATGAAACAAATTCAATCCGCATTAAAGCTATAGTCCATCATTTGCAGCTATCCGAAAAGTAACTGGCGTAATTATTGTTGAAAAATATACTTGGTTGAAAGATAGTAAGGGGACTAAACTCCCTGTGAAGTTATTCTTTCTGGCAAGCTGTCATTTAGAAGTAATCAACGAAAGAAGGCCTTTCCAACGGTGCGTCTTAAGACGCACCGTAGGAAACTTTAAATTAGTAATCGTTTTGTTATTCGGTGCAGCGCGCGCAAGCATTGGCACGACGCACACGCGGTTGCTATAATTCGTCGGATCAGTGCGCGACATCGCGTATAGCCACAATCGGCTCAGTGAGAACGCGTCTCGGATGCTGATTCAGGCCCAATTCAAAACATGATTCAGCAACTTTTGATTTGAAATTGAGATCCTAGAATGCTGTTTTTCTCGGAATATACAGCTGAAGCTGAGCTGAAACTTCATCAGGATAGTTGTTCATTATCCTTCATTAGATTTTGAACACTTTTGTTGCTTCAAACAACAAAATGCACAAATTACAAATGATGGACTATATCTTTAACACAGGTTTGAATAGATGCCTGGGAACTAGGGATGGTGTTTATGTGAAGTGAATCAGATTGGATGAGTCGCTGTCAATTTGGAATTGAGCTGAAAGTGATATGCACATCTAGCTTGGAATACCCAGCACTAGGCTCATGACATGTGAGACTCACCAGTAGCGCTGGGACTGGTCCTGTGACTTAGGTGCTAGCCTAACCGAACTCAACCTATCAAAGTTCAACAGCAGGTTTTGTTTATATCTGTTGGGATAGGTACAGTACCCCTAAACTGATGGTCTTTTACACTGGGGTTGGCATACCTCCAGAAACTAAGTCCAACAGTGTGTGTGTACAATTTCCCATGTGGGTGTTGGAATTTGCCAGAATGGATATGGTTCCTAGTAAATTAGGCTGGGGAGTTACATGTAGGGTTAAGGGGCCTTGAAGCTAACGGTGGTTTGCGGTTACCAGCATCATCATGCCTGCCAGACAGCAGCTGTTAGATGATGCACTGTAAGCAGTCATGCATTCTCCTTAGACTTCTTGCGGTGTTAACGGCAAACCACTGTTACTCGTTAGCTTTGAATTGCTGTAAAAATCAGGTATGCAACTGGGAATTTTGAGCAAAAAAACGAGGAAATTCCAAACCACACAAGACTTGTACAGTGTTTTTCAATTTGTAATGGCATTCATGAGAAGTAAAAATGGAAGAAATCAGCGGATCTGAGGAAAAGTTGCATGAAGTTTACGTACAAGCGCCCCACAATGCATAAATCCTCATTTCGGAGAGTATAATTTTTTCCAGACCATTCCAATCAAAAGCTTCCAAAAATCACGCAAAATACTTAACAAAAATACCTTTCAAAGCACCTACTGGCTTCTCCACATGTCAAAGATGAAGTAATGGGGCTTCAGTGATACTCACGATTATTTTTGGGGTTGAAAATCCGTGAAATTCGACCAGTTCAGCACAGACATCCGACAGCAAAACGCCACCAGCTAGAGTCCAACAGCGCATTGTCTATGGCTGGCATGGTGTGTGTGAGAAACAATTTCGTTCAGCTGATCGCGAAAAAGTAGTCACATGACCGCGCACGTAATGAACGCTGCAGCTGCAAATTTGGTATTGCACTTACGATCCGGACATGAGGAGTGTCTGGATCGTAAGTGCGATACCAAATTTGCCGCTGCAGCGTTCATCACGTGCGCAGTCACGTGACAACTTTTTGGCCATCAGCTGAACGAAATTGTTTCTCACACCATGCAAGCTTACATGTTTGTATGAACGTCTATAAACAATGTGCTGTTAGACTCTAGCTGGTCATGCTGGTGGCATTCTGCTGTCGGATGTCTGTGCCAAACTGGTCGAATTTCCAGATTTTCAACCCCAAAAATATTGGTGAGTATCACTGAAGCCCCATTACTTCATCTTTGACATGTGGAGAAGCCAGTAGGTGCTTTGAAAGGTATTTTTGTCAAGTATTTTGCGTGATTTTTGGCAACTTTTGATTGGAATGTTCTGGAAAAATGATACTCTCTGAAATGAGGATTTATGCGTTGTGGGGCTCTAGTATGACAGACCACATCCCAAATGTCAAAACAGGAGTTCTAGCGCCCCAGTTAGTGGGTCTAAAGTAGGGCCTATATTAGCCCAGGTTGGACTCCGCTGTGTACACGCACAGAGTCCAGGGTATGAATCTCTCCTGCCATAGCAAAAAAAATATAACACATTTTTTTTCATATTTTTAGCTGACGGAGGAAGTAGAAATTATGCTTACATATTCCTTGTGTCCAGAATTATGCCTGCGCTGGGTTTAGAAAAGGCAAATATGTCCGCAGGCGGCGTGTTTACCAAAAATAAACTGCAATTCCACGCTTTCGTTGAAAACATTTTCAGTACGAACTCTACTCCTAGAACTATGAGGCTCCGCGTGAGCGGAGCCTCATAGATCTAGAAGCCCGCAAAATTGTCTGCAGCACAAAACACTAATAAAGTACAAAAACGTCCATCAAAATGCAGACATTTCACACAGAACCGCTGCACAGTTTGCCCCTATACTCCGTACTTTACCTCTTGACATACTCACGTATCATAAGCAGAACTAACATAGGTGGATTCTGTCGGTTTTTAGGCCAAAATGATGAAAAATATGCCCTTTCCGCACTGAGCCAACCGAACACTTGAAACGTGCACGCATATGATCGAGCGATGATTTTCGGTTCGCTCGGAGCGCGCCGCGGGGGGTACGGTACATGCACTTGTATGCATGCACATACTATCATTTTGCCTTTTCTAAACCCAGCGCAGGTACAATTCTGGACACAAGAAAATATGTAAGCAAAATTTCAGCTTTCTCCGTCAGGTAAAAAAATAAGAAAAAAATGTGTTATAATTTTTTTCGCTATAGTGGTATAATTTATACCCTGGACGTCAGCTGTAATGCAATGAAGACGTCGTCCAACTTGGGCTAGGCTTACATGAACTAAGCAAAATACATTGTATTTTGTATCATGTTTACATCTTATTTCACAAGAGGGCGCTATAATCGTATGTAACGTGAACGGACGATGATTCTTTACCTTGCGCCCGAAAACTTGAACCGACTCAACCGGAGTCTTCTGAGACATGGTTCTGAAAGGAAATGCACATTATGATAGCTTATTATTTCAATTTTCATACTGCTTTATTCAATTAAAAATAAAGTGACAATTTCACCGTTTTTAAATCATTTATTCTTGGGGTATGTTACGGCGAATTTACCTTTCGTGTGTGAAAAGCAAAAAGAGGTCGTTTGCGTGACGGGTTTCTCTGACTTAGGTCAATACCTAACATTACAAAAATTTTGATCGATAATTGAATTAATCAATAAATGTTTGACTAACAAATTGAAAATAAATATTTGATTTAAGATTTTAATATTAATATAAAAGTAAAATGAGCCAGTATTGATAATAGAATTTACAAATTATGATTATTTATATATTAGTATGTGAACGAGCATTTTATTCATTAGAGGTCAAAGGTGGTTATTTATTGACCAATCAGAAACTTTTGCGGGAGATTTGGGTTCGCGCTTTTGCAAAGCGCGGGGAAGATTTCGCGCCACACTCGTCAGTTTGTAAACAAACACGTTCCGAAGCAGACGATTATTTAGCAAGGGATTTTCACTGCAAGAAAGAAAGGTATGGTGTGATTTGTTTTGTAAAGATGCAGAAATGGTCATAAATTTCTATGATATGTATGACGAGAATCAGAGAAAAGGACGTTTTGTAGTAAAACTGTTCAGATTTCAGTTTTTTGTGCACAACTAGCCCCATAAATGTGGCCTATTTACTGGACTGCCTCCGTAAACAATAAAACATAGGCCACACATCCACATGTACAAAAACGTGTCGACTTTGCCAAATTTTGATTTTCACATTTAGGCTTACTTTGTAGGTTTTTTTTGCTTTAGAAGCATTCTCACCCTCTATAATTTTATAGGCTAATCAGAAAGTGCTGCCTTTTTCAGATGTCTAATTTTTGTGAAATTTCATGTTGAAATTTTGATACGCAAACGTGTGCAAATGTATCTGGAAATTTCACGAAAAATGGACATCTGAAAAAGGCAGCACTTTCTGATTAGCCTATATAGAGGGTGAGAATGCTTCTAAAGCAAAAAAAACCTACAAAGTAAGCCTAAATGTGAAAATCAAAATTTGGCAAAGTCGACACGTTTTTGTACATGTGGATGTGTGGCCGGTTTATGGCCTATGTTTACGGAGGCAGTCCAGTAAATAGGCCACATTTATGGGGCTAGTGCACAACTTATACTCCTAGAACTATGAGGCTCCACGTAGTGGAGCGGGAGCCTCATAGTTCTAGGAGTAGGCCTACACAACTTAAGTTATACTTATAGGCCTAATATCAAGTCAAATTTAGCAGGGAAAATATTGAATTATTTACTGAGCAAACACTTTTATTAATTACAGTGAGACTTACATGACTTAGGCCTCGGGCTAGGCCCTTTGATTTTCCAGACCAGTCTCTTAGTTTGTTGTACACAGGGTGTGATGTGATGGCCAGGTATGGAATTCTTTCCATTTACTTTCTGCGAATGTCTGCACTCTGAAGATGTCCACTTTTTCAAGTACAAAAAATATATCTTTTCAATCACTTTTTCTGTGCTTGGCAAAATCAGACAAAATCCAAATTTGAATTTAACGTTAGGCCTAGAAGATGTTTTTTAATGACTTTTCTTGGGAAAAAATGTTGTAACTTGATGCCACTTCACTTAAGCAGTTGTGTACAAAGTCTATGGACAATGGAGAGTCATCAGGTCATGAACATTTTAAGTATTTTCTAACAAAAGTTCCAGACTCATGTCTTAGTACTCTTATCATCATTTTTGCAATGATTGACTGGCCTTCATTGAGATAATACATGAAGAAAAAAATGGCGTCATTCAGTGTCAGGTTGCAAAATTGTTCCCTTTTCTCACCTGCTCACAACATCAAACATTGTCAAATGAAAAACAAGCATTATTCCACAAATTTATGACTTACAACAAATGTAAGACTCTGTATCTGATCAAACATGTCAAATAATCATGATTGCTTTCGACAGATTACAGTCAGTGCACTGTGCATATATTTCTCTAAAGACTTCTCAATCTTATCTTTCAATAGAATTTACAAAAAGGCAACCGCAAAGTAACGAAGATCGCATTATTAACAATGGCAGATACAGTCCTCATGGAAACAGGAAAAGAAAATGTTGATGCCACAACGAACACATGTGTGGATATCAAAGATGCCACCACCAGCCCTCAGGGGAGTAAACCCAAGAAGATGCACGTTGAACCACCTCATGATGAGCTTCAATACCTGCAGTTGATTCGTCGAATTATTGATGAGGGACAGACTAAGGAAGACCGTACTGGGACAGGAACGAGGTCCATCTTTGGTGTCCAGAGTAGATACAACCTCCGAGGTTTGTACAAATTTCTTTTAAGCAAAATAAAAAATTAAACCAGTTGTTGTCCCCGCCCGCTTCCTATTTCCCGGCGACCTCCTTCTCTTTTTTTAAATCATACATTTGCAATATGTTTTGTCTTTTATAAGCTCCCAGCAAAACTGTAGCTAGGTCCCCTATATATCCAAGTTTAGAATCTGATAGAAAGGTTGACGCCCCCTTTGGACACTAAAGTATCAGCAAAAGAGCCGAGAAAATAAAAGAATCAATCTTGGAAAAAACGCCATCATGTGGAAAAAAGGGCTGCCTCCTTTTTAAAGAAAAGGCTGGACGGGAAACATGTTACTTGGCCCTGTCTGATAATTGGGCTGAATTTGGCCTTCTTTTTTCTTTTGTTTTTAAAGAAACCCGTCTTGAAATATGAGGATAAAAAAATTTGTCAATTTCGCTTTATTTTTCCATCTCAGGTCAATTCCCTCTCTTGACAACAAAGAGAGTTTTCTGGCGTGGCCTTGCGGAGGAATTACTTTGGTTCATCAGAGGATGTACCAGCGTCAAAGCTCTCGTTGATAAGAACGTCCACATCTGGGATGCCAACGGTTCCAGAGATTTTCTTGATAAGCGTGGTCTGAGCCACTATGAAGATGGTAAGATGTCCTTAAGTCGGTCACGATTTTGTCTTCCAAGTTTCCAAACTTACTCAATTCTTGTAGTCAATGTAGAGTGAAATGGCAAAGTAATCTTATGACTCAAAATCTTGTGGATTATTCCACAATTATTATTAAAACGTTTGAATTGGCCATTAATTTTGCTGTACAGGGCGAGTAAAAAAAAAAGGAAACCCAAATGACAGGACCATTTCTTAATAAAGTTCTGCATGTAGCACTTTCAAAATCTAGGATATTAAAGCCTAATTAATACGCTTTCTTTTAGTACAAGAATCAGTCAAATCACTCATGTACTTTTCAAGTTGCGGAACTTTAAACACAAACACCGTTTTAAAGTTCTGTCAACTGATCACAAAAAGGTGTGTTATTTCAGCAAAACGAAAACAATTCACACACATTGTTAAAAACCCAGGTTACAATTCATTGTTCACTAGGACAACAAAGTGGACATCCAAAAGGTTTACAAGCATTATCGTCAGTTCAAGATTATGTTTGAAATAATATAATAATAATCGGCATTTAAGAACGCTCTTATTAGTAAACTAAATCACAGCGCTTACAGTATTATTATTAACCCTGATCATTGGGCCAATTAAACATTCCAAATACCATCTCAGCTCCCTGGGGAGTATACAGCTCGATGCTGCCTGTTAGGCTCAAGCAAGCTTATTCAATCACAATAACCATCTCTGCCCTCATAGGTACCCATTTACTCCTGGGTGGAGAGAAGCAATGAGTGGCAAAGTGCCTTGCTCAAGGGCACACGCACCATGACCCCGTCAGGACTCGAACCCAGAACCCGCAGCTTTACCCACAGACCACTAATCCAGTGACCTTAACCACGAGGCCACAGCACTCCACGAAAAAAATTGAATCACTATTTTATTTTCCATTCTTGTCTAGGCGACCTGGGCCCTGTGTACGGTTTCCAATGGCGACATTTTGGTGCCACATATAAAACCATGCATGACGATTACACTGGACAAGGTGTAGACCAACTTGCCAATGTGATCCACAAGATCAAGACTGATCCTACAGATAGACGCATCATCATGAGTGCATGGAATCCTTGCGGTAAGGAACTTGTTACAGAGAGAAAGCATTGCCATCGACGTTCTCAAAAGAGATTCCTTAAATATCTTTTATATTAAATTGTAGTCAGTGTACAACTTCTAAAGGTGGAAGCTTATGTCAATGCTTTCACAGTTTCTGCATGTGCAGACTACTGTTTTTTTGGCATGCAAAGTTTCAGAAATTGTTTTTTGAGAATAACAATTGTTAACTTTTGTCTGGATTTAGATCTTGATAAGATGGCCCTTCCACCGTGTCACGCCTTTGTCCAGTTTTACGTCGTCAACAAAGAACTGTCTTGCCAACTCTACCAACGATCTGGTGACATGGTAAGTATTCTTTCTACTGTAAATACAGAACACTGCATATTCACAGCTTCTAAAGCCCAGGAGTTTATGTCTTGATATTTGTTTTAAGGGAATATACAACATTTGCAAACATTAAAAAGCAAAACTACCAATTTATATTGTAATATAAGTTACTGGACTGTTAGTGAATGAGTCTAAAAGCATGCTATACAATCGTGGCACCTGGTGTGCTGTCGTTTTCAAGTGTTATTTTTGTATCAATTTCCACTGACCAGTGTTGGAAAAAAAATGGCTTTTTTTTTTCAAATACTAAACCCCCCCCCCTCCCCCCAAGAAAGAAAAATCCATATATTTCCATAGCTGCCAACTGTTACTAATTTTTCGTAATTATTACGAATTGTTTGTTAAATTACGAAAATACGATTTGCCACTAAAACATTACGAATTTCCCATTTTCTACCTAATGAAAAAAAAATACTTGTAAAGTATCGTTTTTGACCGAAAACTTCTGGCGAAATGTCGCGATAATGGATGGACTGGTGACAAGTCTAATAAGAATGCAGTCAAGCACCTGATAGACATCAATGCAGTGTGCGCAGTGGAGTACTTGAGGACCAGACTAAAACTATTTTTCAATGGTGTGTCATTTGTGTGCATCTCGTGGATGTGTGGTTGTGTGTACTGTATGTGAGTACTTTTCAGTGACGATCGTGAGCACATTTGGTCGCTTTTTGCCGGGTTGAGACCCATCAGTGCGACAATTTAATCATGGAATTTAATAAGAGTATGGTTGGAATAATTGGTATTACAGTTTGAGTTTGTCACAACGTCCAGAAAAGATAAATCAGCATGCGTTTGCAAGGTGTGTTGGCGGGATATTTCTATTGCATACGGTCATGACGGTGGCCCTAAATCATTGTGTGTAAAAACATTGATACGAACTCGAAACTCCACATCGATAGCATGCATCTCCAAAAAAAATATGCGCATATGTGACCCACTCCGCAAAAATGAGTCTGTTGTGGCAAAACTGACATTTTGAGTTAACTACATTAATAAAATGGGAATGAAATAAGATTTCATTTGGTATATCATGGACCTTTCTAGGACGTTTGGTTGCACTGTTGTACTTGTTTCATTCTGTAAAGTTTTTGCAAAGCTAGAAAGGTCTCAATGGAGAAAAAAGGCTTTGAAAAATGACAAATACACTGTAACTAACCAAGAAAAGCACCAAAGATTCCTAATTTTTTTTCTTTTTCTTACAATATTTACATTTCTGTGTAAGATTTTTGAACTAAAACTATCAAACAACCAAAATAAAACAAAAACAAAACATCCACATTTTGAGCAAATTTTTACTGTTTCCATTTCAAAATGGCAAAAGCTTGAATTCAAATTATGCGACATCAGACTCATTTTTGCAGAGCGGGTCACATATTTTATTATTGTTATTATTTATTTGACTCCAACAAACAAATACAGACATTAATTTTTTTTTTTTTTTTAATTTTTTTTTTTTAAATTATCTTTTGGCCTACATTACATTATTATTCACAAGAAGAAGGGTATGCACATGTATGTGTACATGTAAACCATGTACCTGTACTCGATGTTGGTAAAGCTTTTGATAAAACGAGCAGTTAAAAATGACCGCGCGGGTTGATTACTAATTGGGATTTTGAAATGTTGGCAGCTATGTATTTCTGAAAATTACAGCAAAAGCAAATGTTGTATATTCACTGCAGGAATTGTTGGTATCAAGTTTATTCCATGTACATGTACAATCTGTATTGGACATTCTCTGTGATTTCTTGCAGGGTCTAGGCGTTCCGTTCAACATTGCAAGCTACTCCTTACTGACCTACATGATTGCGCACATCACTGACCTAACGCCCGGTGACTTTGTACACACTATCGGCGATGCGCACGTCTACAAAAATCACATCGATGCTCTTGAAGTACAGGTGAGAACCATCTACAATGACAAATAAAACGCATCTAAAGGTTTCTTCCTGGATTTTTTTTTTGTCCTGGTTTTTAAATGTCTGCATAAAGTAAACGTTGGGACTAAGTTTTATAAGTCTTCAAATGCAATTGTTTATTGATATGAATACAAACATGAGGCTTTTCAGACTTTCGTGTGAATTCAGACTTTTTGAATCTGAGAGAAAGACATCAGTATAAAGAAAAAATGCATCCAATATTCCGCTCCAATACCTGGCCATCGCTAATTTTTCCCTGCAGTGACCTATCAGCCATCAGAAAGTGATAATATGTCCTTAAAAGTCAAATTTAGCAGGGAAAATATTGAAGCAGTTACTGAAAAAAATCTTGGAATTTTTCAGACCAGCCTCATAGGGTTTGTGCACAGGGTGACAAGTGATGTCAGGTATGGAAATTTTTGCAATGCATCTTGCAGACATTTCATCCAAATCCAGACTTTTCAAAATCGACAATCTCATTCCTGTGAATGATTCCAAACATGAATTATTCATATAATTATTATTCAGTTATTCATAAAATATGCAAATGTTTCTTTGCAGCTTCAGCGTGAGCCCCTTCCCTTCCCAACCCTTCACATCAAGAGGAAGGTTGAGAACATCGACGACTTCACTATGGACGACTTTGAAATCCGGGAATACAAATCACATCCAAAGATTGCCATGGCAATGGCTGTTTAAGAGGCTGACTATGAATAATTTATCAGATGAATTATTCATAATGTAAATACAAAATCCTTTTTGGTGTATATGCAAATTGCTTTCTGGAAGTATTGGTCTTCAGGAAGTTAGTTTTGGATTTGGTGCGAGGGAAAACTAATTTCAACTACATGTAAACGTCATGTTTTGTATTCATTTCTGATACCATTTGTTTGAAATTGCTGTTAAGTTTTATACAATGTACTTCATTGAAATATGCACAAATGACATTTTATATGCATGTCAAGGTTGTCATTTTTTTGTATTTTCTAAATCATTTGATACATTCATTACTATGCAAATGTGGGCCTTTATTGTGTTAATAATATGAAATCTTAATCTATGCAGACGTCAGACGTTGAAGCGTATGTAGACATTTTATTTAGCCTTTCTACATGTATATAGTTTTGTATCAAAGGTGATTCCTTGAAAGTGGAACATGAAAGTTGCTTTGAAAAGTTCATTTTTGTTTCGGTGGCCAATCAGATATTTTAGCTTTAACAGTAGCATGTGTTGACAAAACAAAATCGAGTATAATATGAGTTACCGCTTTGAGCTCATGGTTTCAATATTCAAAGCATTCAAATCTCAAAGAACATTGCATGTTTGAATATTTGTTAAAATATTATTCTCGGAAAAACACCATGATATTGTCCCAATGATCTGGGGCCCAAGTTCACAGCGCTGCTTAACAGTTAGCAGAAAAGTTGTGCTTAGCATAGCAGAAAAATTTGCTAACCTTGAGCACTATTTCACGGCGCGTGTGTGCTAACGGTCGCTCGTGCATGGAGATTTCTATTGATACATCACTGAGTGAAGCAAATTTTTCCTCCAAAGTAAGCGTGCCTTTTGCTGTGCTTATGCTTATGGTCTCCATGAAATAGACGGAGGCTCTGTTAGCAGAAAATCGTGTGCTTAACAGCACCGTGAAATTGGGCCCTACACAAAGAATTGATGCTCATTCTTAGCATCACTGTTGTACTATAAAACAAAGCAAGTACCAAGTACAACCCACGGCGGTTCCAAGAACAGCACTTCCAAGAATTTTGCAATAAGGCGTGGTCTAATATGCAAATTAGATACATGCGTAAAGCTGCAGGTATTCCATAGAAGCTCACAGGCAAAGCTGTGATACACGCGTGGCATGGAACAGTGTAATACACCCCGAGTAAACTGTCCACTAACCCACCAACATAAGCAGCTCGTGTTTCACACCGCCGTGGGAAAAAGGGCGAGCACCATAGACGCGTCATTTGTACATACAATGTAAATGTATTGATATTATACTAGGAGTGACAATAAAAAAACGTACAATGTATTCTTTTTACTATACTTTTTGAGATTTATTTATTTTTGTTGCTTTGCCGGTTTGTCTTCTGTACCAGTATTTCTAACCTTTACAATTTTTCTTCTGTCCTGAAAAGACAAAATCAAACACTAGAAAGGAAGTCCATTCAAAGTGCATTTTCTTACGACTCCATGCTCAAATTTTTTGACATTTTACGCAGACAAAAATGAGCAATTTAATTTCATCAGTTTATTTTTTTACATCTACCAGGAAAGACTGTTTCCTTTAAAGCACACAATACTCTAAAACAACATTAATTGAAATAAAATCCTACTTTGGCTATAAAAATCCATAGAAATAAGCTTTTCAAGCTCAACATAAATTTCAAATAAAATTTATTCAGAAAATGTTCAATGTTACACCCAGAACACAAATTAAAAAACTTGCACCTAAAATGATGGAATTTTTTGATATGATTGTTTTTACCAAATAATGCTTCAGTAATGCGAATGTTATCTGTAATGGTGACTGACAGGGGATCTCCCTGAGCATTTTTAAGTTATAAAAAAGTTTTGATAAACAAGCGTTCTAGGTGTAAACGAGACATGTAAGCAGTGAATCTCAGCTGCAAAGAAATAATGCCCAATTGAAAGCGAAACAAACAAACAGCACCTTATGCCATCATCTTCAGAGACGAGGATATAATTCTTTGTTGTATTGCATAAAACTGAATGAACTGCTTGACACATCTATTTAATACCAAACTGCAAATCTGCTCGCACCATCAACCAAACTAACAAACACTGCTTCACCTCTCCATACATGTGGCAATTCAATAATATTGACAATTCCACAAAATTTGAAGACAGTTTCTTCTACTACAAGAGGACATGACATTATGAAAGCTTGTGACCTTTCACTCATGACCCTGACCTTGGCAGTGACCCCTGCTTCAAGATTTGCACTCCAAGGGATCATTGTTCAAAAGCCCTCCGGTGTCCAATAGTCTACACGTTGGACACTTTTTAAAATTTACTAGTTGATACCGTCTAAATACCGCCCTCTATGTACATGCACAATTCAACTAGTTTCCTTCAGCACTTCATGATTTATCAAAGACCAAATGCTCGAAACCTCTGTTCATGAAGCCTTTGCTCAGCGCTCTATCCGCTCCGTTCACAAGTACCCCCTCACCGGCAAAGAAAGCTTAGTTGGGGGTGTCCGGCCGATGCCATCTTGCCTGACTGCAATTTTGCCGCGACGCGCAGCCATCATGTTCGTAGTACAGATCCCCTGGTGTACGTGCGTCACACACAAGGAACGGTGCGCATCAACCAGCTAAATGTCACGCCCATGGGCCGTCGTTGCTAGGTAAAAGGGCGCCCTCTTCTGTTGGCGCACGGAGCCTATAGTCAAGCACAAACAATTCAAATCGACCTGATCTTGGTGCATGGATCAAGCCTGGGGGGCAATTTCCCTGCGCTGCTAACCACAGCATTCTGCGCTTACAATCACCATTCTGTGCCATCAGAGCTAGCAGAAAAATTCTGTGCTAACCCTGTAAGCACAGAACCTTAGTGACAGGATGTACGCATGCACACGGAATTTTCTGCTATAGTTAGCAGGATTTTTTCGCTAACAGTAAGCAGGGACATGAAATTGGGCCTGAATCACCACAGACATATAAACACACAGACCGCCAGGTCCTATTCGAAACTACATGCGCATTCCGTGATTATGTTGCGCCTGACTAAAATCCAAACTATGGGCAAATTCACCTCTCGGTATAAGGATTTGACAGACAGTTGAACTATTCCATTAAAAAAAATCTATGAAGTTATTTTTCGATTGCGTATCGGCATTGAATGCGCATCGTGTGGTTAATGCGCGCTGTCAACAAGCATTTTGTCCATACTTTTTCAAATCACAGTTTTACGCGCATGACTGGTGGTCTATGCGTTTATATGTCTGTGGGCTTAACCTATCAAAGAGCTCCCTCTTTGTCTAAAACATTGTCCATCCAAGGTCACTGACCTCTATACAACCAGCTGACTTATTCCGAATCGGTTTATGACTCTTATCCGATTCATCAATAGCGCCCTCTAGCATGTGACATCATCCAATACACAGCCTATCCTATTTCTGATGACGACATAATGACCTACACATGCTCCTGCTCATCAGTCTGCGTCGCTGTGCTAAACAGCGCCCTCTGTGGCGTCTGGGTCCCCCGAGCCCTCCTCTCCGGTGCCGACGCCCTCACACCACTAGAGGGCGCTGTTGACGACGGTGCATGCAAGCCCAGATTCCTCAGCCCAAACTCTTGGTACATGTAAGTGTAGCTACGTCGACGATGGACCAAGTCATGACGGGGGTAGTCATCTAGGGGGGTGTAGTCTGAGCGATAACTCTGGTCCGTGGACGTGTCATCCGGGGCTGTGAAATTACTGGAAAAAATCACACAAAAAATCACTCTAATTCAGTTTTACTATACCTCATAAATATTTATCAGGCAACCACGGCATTTCATTGGTCTATATTCCAGCAATTCAACCGTGTGAAAGTTTTTACTATCACCCCGCGTCTTTGTGACGCGCAGAAACCAGGGAGGTGCTATCACACACCTGGGTTGCACCCTTAGATGTGTCAGGCTCTGTTCCATTTACACCTATTAAAGTTGTTGCATTTTCAATTTTCAAAAATAAATCCAGTGTTTGCGTGAATGTTGAAGTTAAATGACACAACTTTCCATTCTGTTTGTCTCCTTCAATTAAAATTAATGTTTCAGTTTATCCAAATACTGCACACGATCACAAACATGGTACCAATGAAATACCGCAGCTGCGGATGAATATGAGGTATAGTAAAACAAATACAACATGTTTTTTTGCGGGGAAAATAGTGAAAACAAATGACCCCTCGGTGTTGGATGATTGGGACTTCGCCTCGGGAGATAATTATCCAACACCTCGAGGTCATTAGTTTTCACTATTTCACCACAAACCATGCTGTATTTGTATAATACAGACTTGATTCATTGTTGGATAGCATCTGATAGTAACCAGAATGGGAGTAAGAATTAGCTTGGTATGTACACTTCCCAAAACTAATATGTTTTTTCTAAAAACAATTTAGAAGATTTAAGAGGCATTCTGGCAAATGATACAGAACTGGGCACAGGCCATAATGGAGAAAAATGCAAAAAAACGAAGGGGATTTTTTTTTTTTAATTGCAGGTAATCTTAGATATATGTCTACTTCCCATATTTTAAAGAAAATTGTGTGTTTTTATTAAAAATCATTTAGCATCTTTCATTGTCACGAATAGAAAATTTGAAACTTTAAAGGCCTTTATCATCATTATTTTATTTTCTTGACATGTCGATAAATGCGAACGTTAAACTGCCATAATGTGTCAACGAAATGTCTGATTGAAGTGCAACAAACAGTATTGTAAGGGGAATTTTATTCTCTTTCCTAATACCTGCAAACCCTCGTTTCGACCTCTGCCCAGCTCTGTCTCATTTTGCCACAACGCCTTACATTTTTTGAAACATTTTCTCCAATTAAAAACATTTTCTGCCAATCAGGTCCTCCAATTTCATCACTTCAAAACAATTTCTAACCAACTTTTTTTTATGAAAAATAATAATCAGCATTTAAGAACGCTCTTATTAGTAAACGAAATCACAACGCTTACAGCATTATTATTACCCCGATCATTGGGCCAATTAAACAGTCCAAATACCATCTCAGCTCCCTGGGGAGTATACAGCTCGATGCTGCCCGTCAGGCGCAAGCAAGCTTATTCAATCACAATAACCATCTCTGCCCTCACAGGTACCCATTTACTCCTGGGTGGAGAGAAGCAATGAGTGACAAAGTGCCTTGCTCAAGGGCACACGCACCATGACCCGGCTGGACTCGAACCCACAACCCGCAGCTTTACCCACAGACCACGAATCCAGTGCCCTTAACCACGAGGCCACAGCACTCCATATATGAATATGAAAAACTAAATGTACTTACGCAGGGCTGCATATCCTCAGATCGCCCCGATTTGTTCCATAGACTAGTCCTCCCCCGGGTCGTGGGATCCACTTGACGGTGTTCACACTGACATGATGCCGACGTTCCTGGTCACTGCATGTATGATCAACATCACACACATACAGCAAGGAGTCCTCCGATGCTCCTTCTTTATGCAGCTTGTAGATCATGCCCATTAACTAATCGACAGAAGGGAAAGACAAGATTTCAAGAAAAGGAAAATAAACTGTTCTTGAAGTACGATCAGTAGAGTCAAGCCTAGCAATGAAGGAACGTGCAGTGCACTTACTTCTTAATCTAAGTGCATTTTTTTTTTAATTCTCAGTAATCTTTTCTGACAAGGGCAGATCCAGACCACAATTTTTTTTGGGGGGGGGGGTGGGGGCCAAAAAAAATTTGGTCCCCAAAAAGTCTGTAAAAAAAAACTAAGGCGTGGGGTTCGGGGCCCGCTTAAGGGCCCCGTTAATGAAAGTAACCTGTGGAATGTTCCTACTTTTTGGAGCAAAAAAATAATTGTATGCGCTTAAAAACTAACCTGAACAGAGAAGACAGTGTTTTTTCTGGTTTACCTGTTTGGACGCCATGTGTAGGTGTAATCTACGAGACGCTAAACCCACAATAACAAAGCCGCTCAAAGGCGAAATGTTGACTGTGATAGCATTAGGACCTGAAACAAACAAAACAAAATAGTAATAATGATATTAATGTGATGCTTATATAGTGCTTTATACCAAAGGTCTCAAAGCGCTTCACAATTATTATCCCTGTTCATCAGGCCATGTGACCAGTTTTTGCAGCAGCTCGAGATCAGCGCAATCTGGTTTCTACCTTCACATGTACCCTTTCATACTCCTGGGTGGAGAGAGGCAATTGAAGTAAAGTGTCTTGCCCAAGAACACAAGCAACAGCGCAATGTGGTCTCTACCTTCACAGGTACCCGTTTGTACTCCTGGGTAAAGAGAGGCAAAGTGTCTTGCCCAAGAACACAAGCACCATGTTCTCCCATGGACCCCAGGGAAAAATGAAGCTCTTATGCACACACCCTTGAGGGCGCTGTTTCAATAGGTTTTGTGTAGAAAATAAGAAAAAAATTATTCATTTTAAAGATCATTCCCCATGCTATTTTCAAGTGTTACTTCAAAAAATAGATATTTTTTTTTTTCAATTGCTCTTTTTCTAGCGATAAAAGTGATTTACTTTTGAATGAGACATTGAACGAAAAATCCACCAACATTTATTACTGAATTATTTCTTCACAAAATATGAATTAACTGCTGTGAGACAATAATTCGGCTCTTATAGGGCAGGTTCATTTGTGAGGAAAATGAAATCCCTTTTTCAGATTGTTGCAGATCCCAAAATCGGAATAAACTATTTTTGGGGGTTAAAACTAAGCAAACATTGGAAAAGTTGTTAGGAGAAAAAAAAATGTTTCTTTGAAGCGCATGGGGTAAACATCTTAAAACTCACTCAAATGAAGTCAAATTTTCAATACCCAACTACAGAATAAATATTAACTGTGACAACATTATGACCTGGATCAAATAAAACAGGGACCCAATGAAAAAATGTAGCTCTTACGCACACACGCTGGAGGGCGCTGTTTCAGACTGTTTCATATTGGAAATAAAAAATTGCTATTGCCCAATTTTTATAACTTTTTTTAAGCTTCAAGGGTAAATCTGTTTACAGTTAAGTTTTAAATCCAATGTCATTACTGAGAAATGATTGGAACAAAATTTTACCAAAACTCTTGGTGTAGAGCACGTCACTGAAGTTGTGCGGCATGAGTGAGTAGATAGCAAGGACTCCGTCGTCAGGGAAACCGAGAGGACTAGGGACAAAGGCTGCTAGGTAGCGGCCATCTTGAGATACATCACAGCTGGCATCGTTGTGTATTTTGCAATGAGGGACGATGACGTTATGGTCCGCTGTGCATAGAATGGAGATAAGCAATGCTAACCCTTTAAACACTTGTGCTACATTGTATTGCATTGTATTGCATTGTATTACATTGTATTACGTTCAACTACATTGTACTTCATTGTATTACATTGTATTACGCTGTATTACATTGTATTATATTGTATTACATTGTATTACGTTGTACTACATTGTATTACGTTGTACTACATTGTACTTCATTGTATTACATTGTATTACGCTGTATTACATTGTAATACATTGTATTACACTGTATAACGCTGTATTACATTGTTTTACATTGCATTACATTGTATTACATTGTATTACGTTGTATTACATTGTATTACGTTGTATTACATTGTACAATGTATTACATTGTACTACATTGTATTACGTTGTACTACATGGTATTACATTGTATTATGTTTATTTATTTGTATTACATTGTATTACATTGTATTATGTTGTAGTACATTGTATTACGTTGTATTATGTTGTACTACATTGTATTACATTGTGTTACACTGTAATTATTCCCTGAAGAATTAGTAAAAAGAAAATGGTGCTTAAAGGTACAGACGATCATTTGCATTTGTTGTTATTTCATGAAATGGACCGATTTAAGGGCTATTAATTTCTAGCAGACATTAGCCACAGCCAATAGACTTGTCCAATAAGCCCCGCCCAAATGGTGCTCCGACCAATCACAGCCATGATTTATATCCAACATGCATGCTTAAAAGGTCCGACATGTGTGCATGCACACATGACTGGCGCGACTGGAACATGCAGTGTGGCATAGGAGAGGTGCACATGTTCTTGCCCATGTGTGCAGGGGGCGGGGCTTAGTGTACAGTGGGCAGGGCTTAGTGTGCAGTGGGGGGGGCTTAGTGTGAGTGGGCGGGGCTAAATGAATCGATCTACTGCTGCACATAGGCATTGGTAGTGTATTGCAAGGGAGTGGTGGGAGTATGCGCGAGGATGACAGATGACAGACTTACGATCGCTGATATCTGGAAGTTCAAACTCAGAGAAATCCCACCACTGCAACCTGTAGGTTGTGTTGCCGATGTTATTAGCTACAGCCGTCTCCCCGCGACCAGCGAATGCACCTGAAATGAGAGACATCAAAAAGGAATCTTAAGCTGCATCCCAATTACTTAGCTACATGTGTACATCTGGCAGTAATACATGATTGCAGTAAGTGGCTTTAGATGCTTCCATGAGTGTTTGTGTAATAGGGCTCTCACTGACGCAGGTACTGGAAAGTCAACATTGCCATCCTAGTAGACAAAGATTGTACAGTGCCGAGCTCAGTAGGTAGTAGACAAGCTTTCAAAGCTGTGAGAAAAATGCGAAGCCAACACCCAGTGCTGGGTGGGCGCGATTATGACAACACGATTATGACAACGCCATTTGATAAAGAATTGGCAATTATTTTATGCGACCACTTCTCCAGCATTGATTTTCCACACATAACAATAGCACAGATGAGCAGTGAAGAAGAGCTCTCAATAGACTGGTTCCTGCCTCTTTTTACTAAAGACTAGAATGTAATAAAGGGATCAGCAACCAGACTTAACAGCTCTTGATGTTAAGTATAAAAGTAGAAAAGTCTGTCATGAGCCAATGTGGCTCATCAGGCCGGCGTTTATCTCCAGTTTCCTTGGCACGAAACGACTGAGAATATTTCTGTTCCCCTTGGATGGGATACCAGTCCATCGCAGGTTACTCCCCAGCTAATGCCAGTACCCATTTATACTCCTGGGTAGAAAGAGGCAAGTGGGGTGAAGCGGCTTGCCCAAGAACACAATGACCAGCAGGTGGATTCGAACTCCTGAACCTCTGATCATGAGTCACAAACCCTAACCACTAGGCCACACTGCCAGACTTGTTTAGGTTGCATCCAAATTCCCTGGCTATGGCTACAATCGCACACGCCCTTATGGAAGCAGCCGCAGCCGCAGCCGCTTCCATAGACGCATGTGTCATTGCCAGCCACATAATTCAGATGTAGGCGAAACCCTGTCTTCCCTGATATGCACCAATTTCCAAATGTAAACACAAGAAATGCAAGTGTCCTTCATTCATCCTCACAGCCAGATTACAATAGCGCCCTCAATGGCTCATGCATGGAGTCAATGACAATGCATCAGTGTACTTACTAGCGATGGCCCTGTTGATAGTAGCATGGATCATGGGTGGAGGCGGCTGATAACTCTCATCAAAGATGCTGTTCCTTGGATGATGATGATGGCCAGAAAACTGACCAGAGAATTGACCAGTTAACCTGCTGCAATGGTGAAAGCATAGAGCATGGGGAATTATGTGGATAAATTCCAGGGAATCATACGTCTCTGAAGATTACCAATAATTCGGGCGATTCACAATGCTGTGCGCCACCAAGAGTTTGCCATGGAGAGTTAATTTTTCCCATTGCATTGTGGGAGATGGTCGACAAATTCGCAGCGAAGGACATTTGAAATTGCTGCTTTTTCTGGTCAGTAGTTTCGTAAGCGTATGATTCGAGTATATATGTTTGCCATTTTCTTTTCTTTTCATCACTATGTTTTTTTGTAAGGCGGCAGAACGCTATGCCCCAATCTATAACAAATTAGCTCAAGTTGTCTGCTAACACTCATTCAAATGGGCCACATTTTGTCGATCGTAAACTTGAAAACTGGACTCTCCATGGCAAACTCTTGGTGGCGCACTGCATTGTGAATCGACCGAATTACTGCATGTGAATACAGTCGACTCTCGTTTATACAAACTCAACCAGACCAGGCCAAAATGTTTGTTATATCAAGATTTTGTATTAAGTGGAGTGCTGGTCCATTCATTGTGCACATAAATGCACAGTCGGGACCAAGGCTTTATGTTTGTTATAACCAGACTTTGTATTAACAGTGTTTGTATTACCGAGAGAGGACTGTACATCATTTTGATCTTGAGTCACAAGATTCTAATTGAACTTGTGAGCTCTGCAATACCTAGCCTTTAGTCAAGGCGTGCGTGTCTACCCGGACGCGTGGCGCCCTAGATTCTGGCACGAAAAAAAAGAGCAGTGCGAGTGGCAAAGCCACGAGTGCCTTTACCATCTCGTCGAGCTAATCATTATTCATTTTTTAAGTAATATGAATCATGCATGTATGCAGATATATATCACCACAAACAAGCCATTTTTGAGGTGATGACACGCACGCGCGTCTCTGAGCACGCGTGCCACACGCTTTCTAAAAAACAAGACACGCACGCATTCACAACATATGTCATGCATTATGCATGAAAAGTTGTCCACCACATCGGTAGACAAATGTAAAGAAAAACATAAGCGCTCTCTACGAGATGGTAAAGGCCCCAGCGGCTTCGCGAGGGCCTTTACGTGCCAGCAGCTGGGGTGCGTCACATGTCCCAATAAGCGCGTGGGACTTGACTAAAGGCTATGCAATACCATGAACATGGACAAGAAATTTGGGAGACTGTTCACAAATGGCCAGGCAGCTCAGTTGGTAGAGCGTTGGCAGGGAACTCTAGAGGTCCAGGTTCAAATCTAACTCCAGTTAATCTCTTTGCTCCCCTTCATATGGATGAACCGTAACCCAGCCAGACGCAACACAGTGCATCAGGTGTACTAGCCTACTGGACCCTGCTGCATTGAGCTATCGACACCAGTGCATAAACGGCCAGCTCTGAAACAATGAGAGCTAGTCCCATTGAACAATGCCACAGTTGTATCCTGCTGCAGTTGGTGATCACAGACTCTGAGGCAGTTTGGCCTTGAGATTTTTGGCCTGATGGATCTTGTTACAGTGAGCAGGCTTGTCATCAGTGGCGTAGCCACGGGGGGGGGCGTGGGCCCCCCATGAAACCTTGTGGCCCCCCCCCCAGTCGTCCCCCCCCCCCCACTGAGATTTTGAGTTTCTAAAAAAAATATCATTGATCTACATGACGCCCCCCCCCCCCCCATGAAATGTTCCAGCCCCCCAGCGCCCCCCCACTGAAAAATTCCTGGCTACGCCACTGCTTGTCATTTTTGACAAGTGTTGCATGCTGCTGTGTTTGGCAGGGTTTCTAGCCAAAATATCCAAGGGGGTTAGGTTAAATTTAACTGAACGTACACAGTTTTCCTTTTGTGGTTTATTTGAAGATTTTAATTGTTTGAAAGACTGCTCCTACCCAAGCTGTGCACGTAGAGGTCCTTGGCGTGACTGTCTGAGTAATCGACGTTGTACCCTAGCAGCCATGTCCATTCTCTCTATGTCTGTCATCTGACGAGACGGTTGATTGAAGAGGGCTAAGTGAGGCTGTCGGCGAGTGTGTAGAGGTGCAACACGACGAGCACCGTATACAACTCCAGCTGGAAAAACAAGATAATCACAACAGCTGTAAAAGGGTTCAATAAGAGAGTGTTTCTAAAAACTTTGAATTGTAATATCAAATCTGGGCCCAATGCCTTGGTGATGCTAAGCACACGATTTTCTGCTAACAGCAAACAGAGTCTGCGTCTATTTCACGGAGACCGTACGCAGTAAGCACAGCAAAGGTGAGTTTACCTCAGAGGAAGAAGTTGCTTAATCCTTACTCCCTACTAAGTTTTACTATGTGGAAGACCATGTCCATCAAAATCCACCCCACACCCTCCTTTACGTAATGCTTCAAGACCAAATCCGTTGAAATCCACCACTGGTGCTGGTGGATTTTGATGGACTTGGTACACATGGCTTATCAGCCAAAATCCCCTAATATGGAGGGACGGAGTTTGATGGCGTTTGATAAGGTTATGGTTAAATCAGTGATGTTACAAAAGAAATCTCCATGGACGCTCAATTGTTAGCTTACTAGTGCAGGGCCAGTTGAAAATGTGCGTGTTCGGAAGGGGCAGTTGAGAACTGCAGCTCGTGCAAACAACGCACATTATTCAATGGTGTGAACGCACACTCGCAAGTTAAACGCACAAAATGTCGTCACCCCCTGGCACTGATATTTACCCCTACTGGACAATATGGTATCGCCCTACAACTGTAGGGCGTAGTGATGGTTGCTTAGTTGACTACAAAATGCATGTGCCCGTGCATGCCACTCACATATATGTACGTACGAAGACATGGTGTGCAGTGCTATCGCCCTACAATGTGCCCGTCCTTTTTGCACTGTTTGCGTCATATTGAGCATGCGCGCTTTAGCTCGAACATGACGTAAACAATTGAAAAGAACCCCATGATGTGCCCGTCCTTTTTTCCATTGTTGCGTCATATTAAGCACGCGCGCTTTAGCTCGAACGTGACGTAAACAATTGAAAAGGACTGCGCGTGTTCTAGGTATATAATCTGCCACGTTGAGGCTAAAAAAATACTGCTTTTTTGCAGCTTTTTCGAGAACCGCTCGTCCAAACCACTTCAAACTTGGGACTGCACATTCTGCTGTCCCGAGCAATATACCCGCCGATTTTCGACTTCATACGGCGCCCGGTTCTGGAGATAATCGGCGGACAGACAGACAGACAGACAGACAGACAGACAGACAGAGATTCCTTGAATTGTAGTATAGATATCAACGCCATGAACTAGTGCTTAAGGTTAGCACAACTTTTCTGCTGTGAAACACCTCTACGAAATTTGCCATTGACCCTTTAAACAAGGGTCTTCACAAAAGCATAGCTGCCAACTTTTCAAAATCCCAATTAGTAATCAACCCGCGCGGTCATTTTCAACTGCTCGTTTTATCAAAAGCTTTACAAACATCGAGTACAGGTACATGGTTTACATGTACACATACATGTGCATACCCCTTCTTTTTGTGAATAATAATGTACTGTAGGCCAAAAGATAATTAAAAAAAAAAAAAAAAAAAAAAAAATAATAATATTTTTTTTTTTTTAATTAATTTTGTTTTAATGTCTGTTTTTGTTTGTTGAAGTCACATAAATAATAACAACAATAACATGTGCGCATATTTTGTTTGAGATGCATGCTATCGATGTGGAGTTTCGAGTTCGTATCATCAATGTATTTACACACAATGATTTAGGGCCACCGTATGCAATAGAAATATCCCGCCAACATACCTTGCAAACGCATGCTGATTTATCTTTTCTGGATGTTGTGACAAACTCAAACTCTATTACCAATTATTCCAACCATACTCTTATTAAATTCCATGATTAAAATCTCGCACTGATGGGTCTCATCCCGGCAATAAGCGACCAAATGTGCTCACGATCGTCACTGAAAAGCACTCACACACAGTACACACAACCACACATCCACGAGATGCACACAAATGACACACCATTGAAAAATAGTTTTAGTCTGGTCCTCAAGTACTCCACTGCGCACACTGCATTGATGTCTATCAGGTGCTTGACTGCATTCTTATTAGACTTGTCACTAGTCCATCCATTATCGCGACATTTCGCCAGAAGTTTTCGGTCAAAAACGATACTTTACAAGTATTTTTTTTTCGTTATGTAGAAAATGGGAAATTCGTAATATTTTAGTGGCAAATCGTATTTTCGTAATTTAACAAACAATTCGTAATAATTACGAAAAATTCGTAACAGTTGGCAGCTATGCAAAAGAATACTGACTGGGTCCCTTCAAGATGGAAATTCCAGTTTGGTTCCTGCCTCCTTCTTTTGCAAGTCTACAATACAATTGACCAGGAACCGGCCTGTCTTTACTTATGTTGGTAGACTAAACACTGCCCTCTTTGGATCATGCACACAGCCACTAAATGATGTCAACTGAACTAACCACGTGGTTCATCTGCCTGGTTGTCACCCATCAAGGAGTCCCCGTCCCTCAGGTCTGGGTTTTGAGTCAACCCTCCAGTACGCTGTCGATGTAATCCTGGACTTCTCCACAGATTGTACCGACGATATCTAGATGCTGCGTCGCTCACGGGGAAGGGGTTGGACGGTTGCAGACTTGTGAGAGGTTCTGGTATTGGTTCGGGAACGGAAGAGGATGCAAGTTCCTGCTGTCTGCTCATATAAGACCCCGACATGTGACTCATATGCCCTGCGCCACTTGTGTGGGTAGAGGTCAATACTGGTGCATAGGGAGGTCTGGTTCCCTGTCGGACATGAGGGATGGACAGATCTATTCCCTGAGGAACTGGAGGCTGGAAGTCTGTTTGGTAATGGGACCTGACTGGTGATTCACGGTTAGGTCTGGTGTCCTGTACTAGTCTGGTCTCTGATTGATGATCGTTCGCAGAGCTTGACTGTGAAGGTGCTTCAGGTGATGTTCTTCGGCGGAAAGCTTCTTGGATGCTATTCCCTGATGATTCCAAATGTCTCTCACCGAGCGGCAAATCTTGAATGTTGCTTCTAACCTCCGTGTGACTTGAAGTCGGTGATCTCGCAATCGATAGATCTAAAGGGTTCAGGTTGGATCCAGAGTTGATTGCAGATCTGGAACCAAAATGCAACGCTCTTGCACCTCCTTGGTATCCAAATTGAGGCGGTCGTGTTTGTTCAGCAACGACATTTGCGTAGTTGGTTGATGAGGTTGGCAAGGAGATGCTGGCTATAGATGAAGTGTTAGTTGAAGAGACAGTGTCAGATTGGGATATGCGATCTACATGTATTTCAGAGGAGATATCTAACGAGTGAGAGTCGTTTGATGAGTGTGAGGTGCTGCGCCTCGTCGAGGTGTCATCAGAGTCTGAGGTTCTCTCTGGTGGAGCTGTGTGAGGTATCGTCCCAAGATGTGCTGTGAATGCACGAGGCTGATCTATAATACCACCAATGTCACGATGCATGACCGTAGCACGAGGATGCGCGAGGGTCTGTGATTGAAGAGCTGGTTGCATCTCAGTGTCTGAATCAGTTGCTGCTGCTTCGGAAGATGAAGATTGGACTGTCAAAATGCTGTTTGAGTTAGCGTCTGAGCTCTGCAGTCTTGTATCCTGACTGCTTGTACTGCTGACTATATGTGATGAAGCAACAGTCTCTGTAACTGGGGATTCGCCATCACCTCGTGGCAAAAGTTCCACATTTTGAACAACACTTGAAACCTCAGCATCGGAGAAGGATAATCGCTGACGTGCTGAATGTCCAGGTTTTGCTGATCTTTCACCCCTACTGGAAGATGATGGACCACTTAAGGAATGCTCATCATTATTTTGACTTGTGTCCTTTACACTAAGTGTTTGGTCTTGGCTGTTTAAGTCTGGGCAGTGTCGCTTGGCTTCTGGGGAATGGCAGTCCTTATTTTCACTGTTTGATGGACTAGAACTCTGAGTCTCATTATTTTGAGAATCTTGTTCATGCTGAGAGCTTGTCGAAGGTAAGATTCCATATTTCTTTGATGAAACCAAATCTAGAGGTCTCAGTTCGTTGCCAGGAGCTAAACTCCTTTGGTCAGAAGCTGCAGCATTCTTGGTGGATGTTGACACGAGTTCCTCTGAGGTTCCGCTATCAGCGTTCATGGGGAGTTGTTGCAATCTTGCTACATGGCTTCCACTATCAATGTTTGGCGTCTGCGGAATAGATAGTGACGTCCTTGCGATCCTAATCTCATCTCCATTTGTAACATCCATATTCACGTAAACTGGTGCCGAAAAGTTTCTGCTTTCCTCGATGGAAACATTAGACATTCTGTCAGTGCTCTGACTATCTTCGCTCACAGCATCATCACTTGATCTCATGTCGCCTCTGGTATCATCGCTGCTTTCCCCAAGATCCCAAGAGCTAATCCCGCTTCTGCCACCGTTTTCGCCTCTGACTTCAGGAGAGTCATTCTGGGTCCCTGCATTGCTGTGAATGACACTCGCATGCCTGGCCCCTCTCGAAAAGATGCTTTCACGTTCATCAGACTGCTCATTGGGGAGGTTTTGCCCACCCGTTCGCGATCCGTCATAGGAATAATCATGAGCTAGATTTCTTGTGGGATTAACTCTTCGAAGTCCTAGTGCCGTCAGCGTGACAGCTGCTGCATATTCTCTGGCTTCTTCTAGAGTCTCGTTCTGAATTGGTGACATGGGCCTCCTAAGCCGAGCAGCAGCAGTGAAGCCTTGAGAACTGGGTAAGCTGGAGGGGTATGTTCCTTGGAGGGTTGGGTCTAAGCGTGGAGGTCTTGGATAAGGATTGAGATGTTCTGGGACACCATGGCGGGAGTGTCTTGTTGTACTCTGGTAGGCTTCATGCTGGACATCTCTGAGTAAGACAAACCGAAAACATAAAATGTTCTTATTAATCCTCTTTAAACAAATTTTAAACTTTAATTGCAAGGGAACTTTAATGATATGAGAAAGTCTTAGCAATGTTTCCAGCAATCAACCTCAATGCCAGTGGTCGAAAATTTTCAAAATTACTGAAAAATAATTTTCCACAAACTAGGAAAATCTCGAAAGTAAAAAGAAAAGCACAAGAATGAAGCAACAGAACAAGCAGAATAATCTTACAGATTTTCGTATTCCGGTTCTTCCTCATCGACTGGTGCATTGGCGATGCCTGTTAGAAGATTGTGACCCAAGGGACTAAACCTGACCAACCTGTGATTGTAGAGGACAAATAAAAAAAAAACATCAGTGTATTCTTAACTACCAGCTAAAAAAGAAAACAAAATACGCAAAGTGACGAAAATGACTTTATTGTCCATTATTAAAGGGGCACAAGGTCCTGAAATCCTCGAAAATTTCATGTTTTGGATTGTTTACTTAGCCTATTTCAAACATCTGGTTGAAAGGAAACCAACCTAATGTCTTATCGTTCCCGGTGTGTCTCGGGAACAGCGGTGACCAATCACCAATGCAAAAAAAGTGGTTTCTTTAACGTCCGCAAAAGACGGACACTTCACGAATGAAATCACAACTAGCGTCCAAACAGCTCGAATTTATGGGGTTGCAAAAGTGGACCCCGAAATTCATTCTCGCACGCATAATATAGGAATTACACAAAAACGCCCAGTTTTGAAAGGAGAGTTGTGTGGATGTTTATATCCTACTTTTAAATGTTTTTTCCGATTAAAATCATTTCGTTCAAAGCGCGTTTTGTAGCCCAATCGGGCTGTTCCAGGACCTAGTGTCCCTTTAAATGTACTATCATCTGGCAAGCAACCACTTTCAACAACGGCTGAATTTTGAAAAGCAAGATTTCGGTGTTTGTTTATTTTGTATGTAAATGACCGATAAAATGGGTCCAAAACTGCGTGTATTCAATGGTAGGTATTGGAAAGACATGAAGAAAACCCCCACTCAGCTCAAACCACAGCTGTGAGATTAACCCTAACTCCCCAGCGTCTTTTACTAGGAACTGGACCAAGTCCATGAAAATCCATCAATCACTGTGCGTCCACCACTGACGCACTGGTTGACATTCATGGACTTGCTGCACATGACTTTTATCACAATAGCAGTACAGGAAGCTAGGCAAAATCAATCGGATACCCCTAGCACAGCTTCAGGCCATTAGGCCCAAGTCCATCGTACTCCATCAATATTTAGTCACGCCAGGCCTTCTGGACCAAGTCCCCCAAAATCCACCATGGGGAGATGGATTCTGATGGAGTTGGGGTGGTTAGGGTTAAGGCAAAGGTTTAACAAAATACCTGACTTTCTCCAGTGGTGATGAAATTGCAACGGAAGCAAATGGCACGGGTTGACGCCAATCCCACAGTAAAATCTGATCTTGCGTTGCAATGGCTAGGACTTGATCTCGTGGATGGAAGGAGAGAGACGCGATCATGGAATGATTGTCTGACTGCCAGACTTCACTCCTTCCCTGTATGACCAAGAAGAAGTGAGAAGAATATAAGGTTACTATGTGGAAAGTCAATATTCAGAGCAATATGTCAAACCCTTTAAAACCCTGCAGGACAGTTTCAGGTGAAGGGATATGAAGTGTTAAAGTAACTGTGTCACACAGAGAGTCACTGCACACAAAAACAGCACTGTGGAGAGCAGTGAAGCGTGACTGAATCTGCCTGCTTGCTCTGAGCTTAACCACACAAATGAATTGTGCAGGGATTTGAAGCGTTATCCATACTCCACAGAAAATTACCTCAAAGGAATCTGAGGTGTGGGTGCTAAGTTGAAGGGTTGTGAAGAGCAGAAGGCTAAGTTAATGAGGATTGATGTCACAATTTGGTTCAAGTTCAAAGAATATGCCAATGGATGACTGCATAATGGTGGGTTTTGAATTTTCCCAACCCCAAAACATGTGGGGTGCTGTGGTCCAATGGTTACGGTGTTCGACTCATGTGCCGTGGTACATGGGTTCAAATCCTGACCGTGGGAACACGGTGCTTGTGCTCTTGAGAAGGGCACTTTACCATTATTGCTCCGTCCTTCGGATGGGACGTAAAGCCGTAGGTCCCGTGTGTTGTGTAATGCACGTTATAGAGCCCAGTAACACTTATCGCTAAGAGAAGGGGTTTGCCCCGGTGTTTCTGGCAGTGGCTGCTTAATGCGCCGCAGCACCTTGTAAACCATTATAAAGGTGCTTCATAATGGTTCTCATATTTCTCATGTACTTCATGTACCTGTCTCTAATAATAGACATACATTGTAATTTCTAGCACCTTGAGTGCCTAATTGTTGGTAGATACGTGCGCTATATAAGACTTCGGTATTATTATGTAGGGTTAGAGCTAATTAATTGAAACTTAAATTCACTGCCAAAGAAGGCTGAATGAACTTCATTAGAAAAATTAACTTTATTAGAAATGTTGACAGAACAGAAGCAGTTATTAGGCCTATATCTAACCAAATAGATTTTTTTTGTAAACATGTTTAATTGAACCAGGAACCAAAACAATCATTTCTGTGAAAAAAAGTAAAAGTTTGCTTAAATTTACCACCTGGAATTAGAAGAGCAAGAGCCATGATAACCAATCACACTGTTGTTCTGTGCTTGCTGTTCTAATTCCAGAGTATTTGTAGATCAAACTGAACAAAGTACCTGTAAGTCCCAGACTCGGACTTCACCGCCCAGACATCCAGACGCAAGGATCTCATTGCACGAGGGGTGAAAGGTCACGCACCACGGACTCCGTGGGTGACCAGTCAGGGTTCGGATATGCTCACCGGTAGTCAGACGTGATATGTTGAGAGTGTGGTTACCGTGGGAGGAGGCTACCAGTTTGTGGTCATGACTGAAGGTGACAAGGAATGTGCAACGAGACCCTGGCAAATTACAGGCCTGCGGAAAGACAGAAAGAGAAAATTCACTTTAAGTTTGTTTTTGAAAGAATAGTCCTCCAAAACCAGACATTTTGGCATGGTGTTTCTGTTATCTTGAGCAGGCCTGGAGATTTTAATTAAAAGTGTTGGGTGTTGTGTTCTTCACTTCGATTGAAAAAATATTGTCAAGATGACATCCATACCATGGCATGGGCATGGCTAGCTTGAGAAACTCCAGCTCCAATGTTCATCGGGAATTCAACATTTAGAGCTGGAGGTCAATGTACGCTGTAGCCAGGGGTATAAAAATGGCTGAGGCCGTGAAATTTGGCCTCAACACAGTCGCCGAAATCATCAATTTTTCATATTTTAGTCAGTTTTGTTCTGTTTTCTCATCATGCTCATCATCCAACACATCCGTTAAACATATCAATTTCCTGGGAAATGGAATTTTCTCTGGAATATTTTACATCAAACGGACAAAATATAAGAAAAGCACTTAGACCTACTTATATCACGGAGCAATAAAAACAGGATGAACAAAAAAATGAAACAAATCACGACAGTTTTCATGTGTAGCCTCGACCCTCCATAATTTGCGCAGGTAACGCTTGCAATGCGTGAGTACATAGAAATAGGACCACATAGCTTTAGGGCATAGGGGGTCTCACGATAAACAAACATTAACCCTGTTGTTAACATGATTATTCGGATTAAGATTTAATCAAACATTTTTGTCAAATGTGTAATGTAACGGATTTTAAACAAAACAGGAAAAAAAAAACCAAATTTATATGGGGCCTACTCCTGAACATTGATTTGTAAGTATATTATAGTAATAATAGTAATTAGTATGAAGACTCTTAAAAAAATATATTCTGGGTTAACAATAACATGAATAATCCGTCCCATGTCCCAGTCGAATCTCACTTTATTGTCAGTTGAAGAGGTCGCGGCGATTTCTTCTGCAAAATGCGACAGGATATGTCGCCGAATGCGCCCCCCAAAACCGATTTCTCGGCCCTTGAGGCTCAGGAATACGTTCTTGTGTTGATGCACCATCCTCACACCAGCTTCAGATCCCTGGAAAAAGACGAAATATGGTTGAAATTTAATCACATCCGTGGCTAGCCAATTTCCTCTCATGCACTTCTTTCCAACATCCGATCCGAAGTCCAATAAACTAGTATACCGCCCTCGCGCGTTGAACTGTTGGATCGCCGACAGTGCATTGACCTTTACGCTGACAAAGTGATCTAGTCCCGGACTCGCATTTGCTGCATTCATTTTCACGCAATTTATACACAAAACTTGAAAGCTGCGTGAATTGTTGACAGACTAAATTGTGACGTCATTTACAAAATCATAACATTACATCTGGCACACAGTGAACAAACTTCGGACTTTATTTTGCGACATTCTCAAGAACAGGAGTTGAAAAACGATAGATTTTTGCGTCAGTGTGACATAAGATGACATAGTTTCCTATTGGTTGTACCTGAGGTATGTAAGAAAATGATGCCTTGGCATATTTGTCGGAAGAAAATGTAGGATATTCCAAATCGTATTGTCACTGATTTGATTGTAAAGTAAATCGGATGTGTACTCGCATTTAAAATGGAATTCGTTCAAATGATTCATCATTGTTCATCACATGGTACGCAGACTGCAACGCATTTTTTTATGACTCATTTATTTGTAATCAGCTTACAATGTGCCATCTGAATATTTGTTCACAGTAAAGGAATTTCTCTCAATCATGTCAAATGCTTAGCCTACATGGTTTAGGCCTTCCTCTTTTTTTTGTTACCAACTTTTTTGTTTGATTTGTATTTTATTGAAAAATGTTGGCCTAAAAACACATAGGCCTACGTGACTTTGTCTCGCAGCAATGTCGCACATTTTTATAAAGACGTACAAATCAATGAGTGTGTTTATGTTTATGCGACAAAGTTGTACAAATATTTCACAATTTTTCAATCAAATTCGAAGTGATTTGGATGCACACGTATTTTCACCTCGACTAAAAAAAACGCACCACCAGCGTCTAAGATATTGCCGCACGACAAAGTCATTACGACAAAATTGCATGGTGCTACAAAATTGCATATATGTATATAGGTCTTTAAACTGTCATCTGATTTGTGCAGTAAATATTAATATTAGTATTTTTATTATTTGATATACATGTAATTACATACATGTACTTAGAAATATGGTATCTTTTTGGATCTGTCTATAAAAAACAAATGAAGCATTTAGCCAATCGGAAATGTAGATTTTGAATGGCAGAAAGCGTAGCATACATTGTTAGAGTTTCAAGTCAGCAATCAATATAATAGTGCTTCAGCACTGTGATTGAACAAAAAGCAGCGTGGTTGGGCCATGTGGTTTGGCAGGGCGGCATGGCAGCAGCTGTTGTGGATGGGATGCCAGAGGGATGTCGTCGCTCCGTGGGCCGGCCAAAGATGCACTGGGTGGACGACATCCGTGAATGGTCTGGGTGTGACACCAACGAACTGAAAGCAGCAGCACTGGAAAGACGGGCTGTGGTGGGAGCGGAGCCAGTGATCCCAACTGTGTATAATTTGAGGAGACTGAATCAATAATTTGAATGAATCAATATCACGTTGCATCTTTAAATTAATTTGTCCCTCTCTCTATCTGTTTGTCCATCTTTCTATCTATTTGTCTGTCTTTCTGTCTGTTTGTTTGTCTGTTTTTTTTCTATCTGTTTGTCATTGCAGTTACTATGAATCATGATGGCCAAGGGATCAGTCGAAGAGCCGAGTCCATTACGCATCAGCCCCGTCTCAGCCAGTAGCAGTAACTTGAATGACAGGGAACTCCGAGATCTCAACAAATTCATCAAGTTTATGGCATTTAAGGTGAATAAAATCCAATTCCCATAAACTAGATGATAAATCCCACAAAATCTAATGCAAAGGTTGTGTTGGACAGGTTTCGTCTTTTTGTCGTTGGATATTACAAAATTGTTTTGTTCTATTCTTTCAAGTCTTCATCATCGTCATTTTGTTACTGTTCAATTCATGTAATCATCTATTGTTTATCGTTTCTACAGTCCGTGCAGGTTATTGTACAATCACGTTCCGGCGAAAAAATTGATTCTGCATCCAAAGCCAAATCTGATGGTACGGACTGGGTAAGTAGTTAATAGATACCTCGATATTGCTCCCCCCCCCCCCTCCTCCCCCTCCCCCCATTCTTCAAATTCAAGATTCCTAATATGTCCCCAGTGAACAATAATCAATTAACCCTAACCTTCCCAAATCCTCCATAATCCTCTTTGCAAAATCGAGGATTAATAGAGGCTTTTGCAGGATTGAGGCTATATGGCAAAAAGGTGTGGCTTATTTTGGAAGATGCACTGTGTCAAGGTCTTGGGCCGGACCTTGTTTTGTGTATGCTCAGCCGGGTATCAATTTAGGCCTAGATTATACTTGAAATCCTCCGCACTGCTCCAGGATGTCACTGGCTCTGCCTCAACATAGTGACAATGACTGCTGGAGGACTTTGCAGGATTGAGGCAGTGGTCACCCCTCCAAGGACCACATTCAAGAAATAATAGAGGGTTAGGGTTAGGGTTAGGGTTAGGATGGACAGCCGAACATGCAGGCCTAGGACTTTGACGTCATAATCTTTAAACAAGTTTAGTACGCTTGAAAAAAATCACGGTGGATTTCACCCGAGATGCCTAACTGGACGTTTTAGGTTTCAACACTCATGCTCTTAACTGAATTCTGCAAACTTAAACATCCCTCTATCCTTATTTTTTAAAACAGGATTGAGGCTGTATGCAATTTTTTAATGCATGCAGTTGGAGGATTTTGCAAGGTTGAGGTTGCATCCTAGCAAAATTACCTGGAGAGTATAGGTTAATGAATTTTTCTCTCTTCGATTTTTGCACACAGTTCAATCTAGCTATTTATGACAATCCGACCACCAAAAGTAATGTCAAGAAACTCCTGGCCCAGGAGCTACCTAGGGTGGGCTCCCCCTTAAATGTGGAGGTTTCCTTGGAAACCAGTGAGGTAAGACCAATCACTTTCTTTCATTGTACTATTTTTATGGCAATTCCAGTGTTATGTAATCTCCATTGCGAAGTTTGGAATGTGTTTTTCAAATCTTATACATCCATCATCTAGTAATGGTCAAGGAGATTACAGACTAGGAGTTTGGGATCATTTCTCTGAATCATTAATTACATTTCAATGCTGATTGGCTCTGTCTCAGACATTGCACTTCCTTTCATTATGCTGGAAAATGTGCCCTTTAGTAACAAAGTGAAAATGAGAAGATGTGGTGTTTGGCTTTTCTTAACCAGTTTGCACCAGGAGAATTAGTGCCGAAAATTTTGATTTTCTTAAAAAGGCAAAATTAGCAGCCAACTTTTGATATACAGCCAAATGCCACAAATACTGATTCGCAAGAGTCATTTCAACAGTATTTGTACAATATTTCTTATCGCAACCTCATATTTTTCAACACTCCGGGGTGTGCCCACGGGGTGTAAATTGTACCATAACAGACTTTTGTGTTTGTGTACAAAACAAATAGGGGAAAGTATCCGGAGGTGAGTCGTGGCACGCTTGACGTTTTAACCCGTCAGCCATGCTTGTGTAAAATAAGACAGGGTTTGCCCATGAAGTGTAAATTGTAACACAACAGGCCGTGCACAGCGGCCTTGTTCAAGTTCAAAACATGGTCCGCCTCCACAGACTTCTCAGACTTTGTGTGTGTACAAAACAAATGGGGGAAAGTATCCAGAGGCCAGTCGAGGCATGCTTGATGTTTTAATCCGTCAGCTGTGCCTGTGTATAAAAACAGCCACTGCGTGTTAACATGTCATCCAATGCGAACTGGTTATGGTCATAGGATTGTGCAAGTGGGTTTGAAACAATGTACATGTAGGGGGTTATTATCTGATGTCCATTGGCAAGACACTTTACTGCAATTACTTCTCTGCATTGAGGACCAAATAGTTAGGAGTGGAGTTTGGGTGGCATGGGTGGCTTGCCCCTCACGGATGTGGCCCGGGTTCGATTCCCGGCTCGGGTCATGTGTGAGTAGAGTTGTGCGTTGATTCTCACCTGTGCCACCAGGGTTTTCTCTGGGTTCTTCGGTTTTCCTCCCTCTGCAAAAATCAACGCTTTTGATCTCTGGCTGTGCTCTGTTGTCACACATGGGTCATATGGCCACTGCCTAAGGCAGCTTTACATGCCTTCGGCTCGACCATGTTGCAGCTGGGTCCTTTGCTATTCAACTTCTGCTGCAAGTAAAGAGGATTAGCCCCCCCCCCCCCAATTTTTGTTGTTCACATTTTACAGATAAGAATATGAAAATAGTTCCCAGTTTAAATTAACAAAAGAAAAATAATGATCACTCTTCTAATTATCCAGGGTGACAGAATGGTGTTGGAATGTTGGAGTCTAGTTCTAAGCGAGAACATCGATCCCAACGCCAAGATCCACTACGCCGTCTACAATCGCCTTGGTCTCCTACTCAAGTCATTAATATGTATCTCCAGGGTCACCCCAGCGTATCGCATTGCACGGCACCAGTTAGGAGCAGACTACCGGGTTATGTCTCGTATGTACTACGGCGAGATGAAACTTTCCCTTCTCGGTGAAAGTAAGATTATATACCTTTATAATCAATCTTAATCAATCTTAATCTTAATCGTGTATAAAATGTCACCACTAGGAACCATACCCATCATGGCAAATTCCAACACCATATGGGAAACTGCACACACTTATTTCTGACTTTGATTCTGGAGGTGTGCCAACCCAATGTGAAAGACTGTCAGTTTAGGGGTACTGTACCCATCCTGACAGGTCCCAACAAAACATTCCGTTGGGATTTGATGGGTTGAGGTCTGTTAATGTTGTGTGTTAGTTTAATTTTTTAAAAACCTCTTATTTACTTAAAATATTTGTTTTCTCTTTCACAGACTTCCATTCCTTGAATGTTGGCTCTGTAGCCACTCCTATCGGTTCAGTTGTCCTGTCTGTAGCATACAGGACAAAGCTCACATTATCTGTCCAGTAAGTAAACGATCACAACAATCATAAGAATCTTTTGTGAGTTTACGAGTTTCTGAAAAGAATCCCTGAAACTCAACACTTTGGACAATTTGCACTGCCTGTCATCAGGAGAATGTCCGAAATTTTGAGTTTCCCCAATTCTTTTTACAACTTCACAAACTCATGAATGAGATTGGTTACATGGTGCAATCGTAAACCTACACTTATTGCTCTCTTTACTATGTAAACCTTCAAATCTTATCCCACAACAGTTCTTTATGTCAAAGATTTCTATATCATAAGTTAAGCAAATTGCCGAAACTATTTCTAACAAATTTGCCTAAAGTAGTGCTTAATATATTTCATATTATGACCTGAATTTCTTTCGTTCATGTTGAAATGATATCGATTTCAAAATTAATCCACAGCTGGAATTCTTGAATACAACACTGTCTTCAGGCAATATATATGTTAATCCTAACCACCCTGAATCCTTCAAAATCCTCTTGGCCAAAGTGGAGGAATTTGGAGGATTGAGGTTACATGGCAAAAGTGCATTACTGATTTTGTAGGATGCACTTTGTCAAGGTCTTGGGCCGGACCTTGTGTTGTTTTTGCTCAGCCATGCATACACATAGTCCTGGATTATGCTTGAAATCCTCTGTACTGCTCCAGGATGTCACTGGCCAAGCCCCAACATATTGGCAGTCACTGCTGCAGGATTTTGCAGGATTTAGGCAGTGGTCACCCCTCCATGGACCATAGTCAAGAAATAATGGAGGAATTGGCAGGATTGAGGCTATATGCTATTTTTCCATGAGGCCAATTGGAGGATTTTGCAGGATTGAGGCTACATCCTAGCAAAAAGACCTAGGGAGTTATTGTTATACCGGTAGAAATAATAACATGAATTTATATAGCGTACATATGTCAACCAAATGGGTTATCATGGCACAGTGCAATATTATTACCCCTGCTCACTGGGCCAATGAAACATTCCAAATACCACAATAACCATCTCTGCCCTCACAGGTACCCATTTTACTCCTGGGTGGGGAGAAGCAATGAGTGACAAAGTGCCTTGCTCAAGGGCACACGCACCATGACCCCAGGCTGGACTCGAACCCACAACCTGCAGATTTATCCACAAGATCATGAGTTCAATGCTCCAGACCACAAGGCTACAGTGCTCCACATTTATCATTTGCATGTTTTCTTTGTCTGTTTTTGCAGTCAACTACAGAGCAGCAGTGTCAGCCCAGTCTCGGTGCGAGATGATTACTACAGCAGCTCAAGTCCTAAGCATAAAAGTCCAGCAGCAATGAACGCCCCAGGCCACTCTCCGGGGTAAGATGAGACTATCCAACCTGGTTCCTCCAATCAAAGTGTTTGAGAGAGAAACTCAGCTTTCTGCCAGTTCTCATCCATATACTGCTGCTATACCTACATGTAGATGTAGAACAAAAGGATATTCCAATAGCTTTTCCCCACGTGCTGCATCTCTTTGGAATTCCTTGCCTGGTGCTTGTTTCCCTCCAACGTATTATCCGTCCTGTTTTCAAGAGGAATGTTAATTTCTACCTTCAGTTTTCCTGAGTACCTACTCTTCATTTTACATCTCATGTAGCCCTGTACCGTGACTGGCTTTTAGCCTTGTTCAGGGCGAATATGCAAAAAATTAATAGAAAGTGTTGTTTTCCTGTCCAAACTGATCTTATATTTCCTCGACAAAAATTAATAAATATATAAATCAACTTGTTTGGCATGCTTGTGCAGGATGTATCATTGGTTTGTTGTGAAGTTTTTAATTGAGGCTGGGTCAGAAAGGATCCTAGCAAAAATGCATGTGGATTAGGACCAAAAGAATAACTTTTTTGATATTTAACCACTTTGCGCTGGTATTATTTTTGCCAAAAATTTCGATTTTCGCAAAAGGCCAATTTTCCAGCCAACTTTTGATATACAGCCAAACGCCACAAACACTGATTCGCAAGTTGTACAATATTATTTTGCTGAAACCTCATATTTCAATACTCTGGGGTGTGCACTGGAGCGTAAATTGTACAACAATAGGCCGCGCACAATGGCCAATTCAAGATCAACACACGGTCTGCCTCCACAGACTTCACAGAGCTTGTCTTACATACGCAGTGTGGACTTCCGAACAAAAGACGTCCACATAATGTAGGTAGCAGCGACGAAGTGTGGACTTGCCCACGTCCACACAGTGTTTCCCCATTTCTGGAAAACAGGTTTAGAGGCATTTTTGGGTTAGGTTTATCTGTAGCAGAATGAAGAGAAACACTAAAGGGAATCATTGAAAAAAAATTGGGTTGTAAGAGTTTTCACAGTTTGAGAAAAATGAGTTTTTCCACTGGTGTTCCTTAACTACACGAAAAGAAAGGAAAGTCCACACTAGGTATGTGAAACAAGTCTGGGTGACTTTGTGTGTGTGTACAAAAGGCACGAGGGATTAGCGTGTTTAGATGTCACCCGGAGGCGAGTCGAGGCAATCTTGACGTCTTAACCCATCAGCCATGCCTGTGTATAAAAACAGCCAGATCGTGTTAACACGTCCTCCTAAAAGAACTGGCTAAAAAAGATCTTTAAAAAAAAAAACCCACTGAAATAACCCTTTTCTCCTACCTTAGTAGACCTGTGCCTTGTTTGTCTTATAATCGTTTCCTTTCTTGACTTTGTCCAGCAGACTGGACGACTCCTCAACAATGGATGGCTCTAGCGATCTCTGCGCAACCTCCTTCTCTACCTCACCGCCAGAACCTTGCATCTTACAGACGGAATTTACAACCTTGCCCCCAGGCAGGTCAAAGGTCGCAGAAGAAAAACCAAGAGGGTAAGAATAAGGAAATTATTACAGTAAAAATAAATCAAAGAAACTCAATTTTAAACATTCAAGGAAAAATCAGGGAAAACTCGGGGAATTTGACAGTGACCCGGAAGAGAAAGGTTTTGCCAGTTTGGCATATGTGCGTCTCGTGCCATGCGTCCAAGTTGTGTCCATTGACTGACTGGCTATGCTGGATTTTTTTAGTGTTTATGCAGTGTGAATATAACACACCTCTCTGGACGATAACAATTGGCTGTGCTACACCACCTCTTGACTTCCCAGCAACCTCGTTAAAATGAAAATATTACTCATGGAATTTTGGAAATACTCGGGGAATGCTCAGGGAACTTTGTTTTCATAAAGTGCTGGGGAATCTGTTCTTTGTTTATCCTGCAGTGGCAGTCCAGGTCTGGGATCTGATCTTCTCTCAGGGAAGCTTGGTGCCTTTGCATCACCCAAGCATCAAGCCGATCCGGTAAGACATAGCCGCATCCCAATTACTTGGCTGTGGCTGGATATAACACATGGGTCTATGGGAAGTGGCTGCAGCGGCTACCATAGGCATGTGTGTAATTTTTCTAGCCACAGCTAGCTATTTTGGCCTAGGGTTACTCTAGCTAATTCAAATCTTACTTAAGTCTGTCACAAGCCAATGTGGCTCATCAGGCCGGCATTTATCTCCGATTTCCTTGGCATGAAATGACTAAGAATATTTCTATTCCCCCTGGATGGGATGCCAGTCCATCGCAGGTTACTCCCCAGGTAATGCCGGTACCCATTTATACTCCTGGGTGGAGAGAGGCAAGTGGAGGTGAAGTGGCTTGCCCAAGGACACAACATATGACCAGCAGCTGGATTCGAACCCCTGACCCTCTGATCATGAGTCAGGAACCCTAACCGCTAGGCACACTCCCCAAACAATTCAAATCATGAAGAAGACAATTATCTCTGGAATGGTAGAATCGAAAGCACCTTCCCCTGAAAAAAAAAATGGTTTACTCCAACCAAACTTTTCATAAAACTTTTCCCGCAGAATATTCCACAATAACTGTAAAGCATTTTCTGCAATGTCCAACATTTTCTGGAAATCCGGTCTACAAAGTTAGCTACTCTTCAAATTGTTTATAAAATCCTCCCCCAAATAGTTTGCTGTTTCGTAACAGCAATAGCAAAACTGAAACAGATGAAGGAACTTTACACGTTTAATTTGAGTACATTACAGATTTTTTTGCTCTTTTTTTTTTATTTGCCCGACTAGAGTGATATCCTGACGGGTGATATACCGTTCTCATCATTGCTACTAGAAGACACACCCCTCGATAACTCCAGTAAGGACAAATCTAGCTCCTCAGAACAGGTACAGAAAAGTCTTCATATCATTTTGACCTATAAATTGTCTCCAATTATCAAAACTGAACTGTTTAATTTTAAAGTTGACTGGAGCGAGGTTTGAACCTGCGACCTCCGGATTGCTGTTTCTGTGCTCCGCCAACTGAGCTATCCAGCCCTATGTTGGCGGGTCCCCATTTTGGCAATGTCTTTGTTCAAGGAGCGCTAGTCAGAAGCCGTAAGCCTGTATATGCCGCACCGGAACGGCAATCCAGAGGTAGCAGGTTCATACCCCACTCCAGTTAATTTCTTTGTGCATTTTTAATTTTATTTACTATTGCAGTGCCCTTTGAAAATTTGCCTGTTTGGAAGGTGCAAATTGCTTGGCCGCTGGTATTGGTTGCTTGCAGCGTTTTGAGAACTGCTCATGCAAACAACGCACACGATTCAAAGGTGTTGTTTTCACAGGTTGAACGCACACTCACAGGTTGAACGCACATTTTTTTGCATGTGGACAGACACAAAGAGATTCCTTGAATTATAGTAGGAAAACGTGAGGAAGAAAAGTGTGCTATTGTTTACTTACCCATTGTCGATAATGGAATAACCCTTACCCCAGTCAAGTACCCATTGTTGATCCCCCACCTCTATGCACACACACAACACGGGCCAAATCCACTGTAGAGATCAGTGGCCTATGAGACAATGCGCGTCTCTTTTGTTTACCAAACTCTACGCACGTACATGTTAATTGTGACGTCACTCAACTCAGTGGCGCCATACGCATGCGTACACAGGCCAAATGTTTGATCTTTTAAGAGGAAAAATGGGGCAAATTTTCCATTTTTTTTGCCACTTTTTGAGAACCGCTCGTCCAAACCACTTTGAACTTGACACTGCACATTCTGTAGTCCCGAGCAATACACCCGCCGATTTTCAACTTCATACGGTGCCCGGTTCTGGAGATAATCGAAGTACAGACAGACGGACAGACACACAGACATACAGACACACGGAGATTCCTAGAATTATAGTTAGATGCTCCTTGTCAGTTTCTCTTTGTGGTTTGAAAAACTTTTTTTTCCTTATTTTAAAAAAAAAATGCCCTGCAAAGTCATTAAACCTCTTCTATTTTGTAATTTGAGACACTGGAAAAGCAATGAGTTTGAGTTTGAGTTTGAGTGAGTATGATGTGATTGTTGCAGACGTTGTCCGATCAGCCTGATGGTCAAGCCTCATCGTCTTCCCAGCATTCCAAGGAGTCCACTCAAAGTCAACACTCTGTCGCTGAAGACTTTGTCATGGTGGAATTTGTAAGTTCACAAAATCAAAAAAAAAAATGGAAAAAAAATAAATAAATAAATAATAAACAAATTCTTTGGCCAGTTCTGCTTAACAGCAGTTGATCTCTAAGGAAAAAATTGAGGAACCAGTTTAAAAGCAATGTAGATCTAATGAAATATTGACAGGAAACCAGCTATTTTACTCCATGCTGAGCAAACTTGTTTATCTTAGCATAGCAAATTTGCTAAATAGCAAAATCAAATTAGTTATGAGCATTTATGTGTAATGTCTGTGACAGAGCCTTTAAGAGCTCAGTAAATAAACCTGAAAATGTAAATGAACGACAACGATATATGAAATTTGTTGACAGGGTGATCTAAAGTGGGACTCTACCAGTGGGCAATTCCAGTGTTATGTAATATCCATGACAGTTTTTAAGAGCTCAGTGAATAAACCTGAAAATGTTTTTTTCAAATCTTATACATCCATCATCTAGCAATGGTCAAGGAGATTACAGACCAGGAGTTTGGGATCATTTCTCTGAATCATTAATTAGATATCATGGTTAATTGGCTCTGTCACGGACATTACACCTTTCATAAAGCTGGAATTGCCCTTATGAGTTTGTTTACTTTATTGTCAATAAGCAACATCCAGAGTTTTTACGTTGAGTGATTGATATTTAGCCTTTGATGTACTCCGTAGAATCCGGCATTTGCCAAGCCGGAGAGGAATAGCGATGTCGTGAGTTTCTATCGGCAATTCCAAATGGCGCCCCCGTTGGTCATGTTTGACAATCAGCCCTCCCTAGAAGAAACACTGGTAAGTCGGAGTTGATATAATGAGACAGAAATACAAGTGCGCCCTCAACGGTTATAAAGAGAGAGTTGGGGCAGACCACTGATGACGCCTGATGACGCCTGATGCTCACATGAAAATGCAACTTGTTTGCAAACTCAGAATAAAATAAGCCGTTTGTAATTTGTGCCATACATGCGCAAACCAGTACCTTCACCAGGGTTCGAAATTAGCGGTAGCCCGCTAGCCAAATGCTAGTCAAAACAGCGGCGGGCTAGTCAAACTATTCCTTAAGTAGCCCGGCTGGCGAGTCAAAAATTATTGGGCTAGGAAGAAATAAATCATTAAATTCAGAAAGCAAACCTCATCAATTTGTCTAATTTTATCAACTGTTTTAAAGGGTTAAATTAGATCTGTTTATTTAAAACACTGACAAAATTGCCTCAGAATTGAGCCTGAAAATAGGCACTTTGTATTTGAGCTAAAAAACCAAGCGGGCTAGTGAAAATGCCTGCGGGCTAGTTAAGAGTCTGTTTCAGTAGCCCGGCTGGCTAGTGAACAAAAAAGTTACGGTCGAACCCTGACTTTCACGCTAGACCTTACAAAAGTAGTCAAAAAAGCGCAATCTAGTGTTCGTGAACGGGATTCGTACCAACCAGAAAGCTTCAGTAGTTGTGATTTGAACAACATCTTGTTTGCTTGCATTTGTGTCATGCGCTCGCAGAATAAGCCAGTTTTGTATTCCAAAATTGTCTGGTGCACAGATTCGACAATTTTGTTTTCGGGATAAACGCGGCCGGCAGACAAACGCAAACAAGGCTATGGGGGACGTGGTAACCAAATCTGCATTCTGTGCAATTTTTCGTGCAATCGTAAAGAGATGGGACTCTCGTTCACACAAAACTTTTGACACAAAAGACAAGAGAAACACTTCGCTGTCTAAACTTTTTTAGCAAAATGTTGTATTTCCGAACATGATGATCTCTTCAATTTTCTTGTTACCCCACAACGCTTTTGCACGCGTATTATGAAATTTGTATCCCGAAAGAAAAATCGGCAAATCTTGATGTACACATGCGCAGTTTGAATACCCAACTCGCTTATTGTCAACCTAAGGTCACATGCTAAACAAAATCTGACTGATGAGTTTTCAAAGAAAGTACAGGTTATCAGTGCCTGTGGATAAGGCTAGACCTTCGATAGAGATATGTTTTAGGACCATGATTTTTAAATGCATGTAGAGTCATTTGCATTTATCCGAAAAGTAGCCCGCTGAATTATTATCAAAAAGCTTACTTGGATTAAAAATCATACTGGTACTAAACACCCCGTGAAGTTATTCCGTCTGGCTTGCTGTCATTTAGAAGAAATCAAGAAATGGAGGTGATTTTTCTAATGGGACAGATTTTTGGAAATTAAAACGAAATCCTGTTTCATGATCAAAAGGTTGTGCATGCTTTTTCATTATTTTCTCGAAAAGTGTAATATCCACTGAGCTGAAAATTCAACAGGTTAGGTTTTGAACATTCTTCTTTGGATTTTGAGTGGTGTTATTATTGGCAACACCAATGAACAAAATGCATGAAAGGCAAATGGTCCTGCATGCCTTTAAAAAAAATGTAATGCAGGAGAATAATTTACTTTACGATTTTCTCCTCAGGAAATCCTGCCCACACAAATTGCCAAGTTTGAGGAGAGTCAAGTAGAGTTTGACAGCTTCGTCCAATCGCTTCAGCATGACAGCGATGACAGTGATTGACGACTGCCTGTCCTCAGTCTAGTACTATTATTTATTTCAATACTGAGACTGTAAGTACCGTGCTGTACTCCAGTGATTTGTGTGTCTGACTCGTGTCTGTAGGATGTGGGTTCGAATCCAATCAAAGTCTTCATGTCCATACGATGATTTTAAAAACAATGTTACCTCTTTCCTGCACAAAAAGGAATGGAAACCTGTGCCTGCCATTCATACATCACGTGATAGCAAAAGCAAAGTGACAACACAAATTCAATCTAATACTTTGGTGGCGTTACCCGCTGCTATATCAGATTTGAATCAGCCAGCCGACCCAGGCAAGCTCGGTGGTCGAGTGGTAAGACGTCTGCACTAGTAAGCAGGAGGTCGTGGGTTCAAGTCCCATCCGAGTAGTTTGTGAACTTTTCTCACAATCACTCGGGACAACACTGATTATTCAGTGTTAAACAAATACGTTGTTGAAGGGCAAAACAAGTATTTTATTTACATCACCCCAACACAAATTCCATCTTATGAGTAGACTTTCACGACATCAACAATTGAAGTTTCATTGTGAAGTTCGCCGTTTCCCTAACAAATTGGCTTCCCAATGGAATTTGTGTAAAGCATGAACTGGTCTCAGTTTGTGCCGAGTCAGCACTTTGCAGATTGCAGGTTCGAACCCAATCTGAGGATCATGGCAATAGTGTCCTTATGCAGGATAGTTTACAATAATAAATTCTTACTTGCACAAATGGAAGTGCTTGCCGTTCACTGGACACTGATTAATGTACTAGACCAATGATCTGGTGCTGAGCACTTTGCAGATTGTGGGTTTGAATCCAACCTGAAGATCATGGTGGTAGTGTCCTCAAGCAGGATAGTTTACAATAACTAAATTCTTACCTGCACAAATGGAAGTGAGTTGGTGTTCTTCTTGTTCCTGCCATTCACTATACACTGATTAATGTGTTAGACTAATGATCTGGTGCTGACTGAGCACTTTGCAGATTGTGGGTTCGAATTCAACCGGAAGATCATGGTGGTAGTGTCCTTTAGCAAGAAACTTTACAATAACTGTATTCCATCTGCACAATTGGAATAGACACTTGTGCCTGCTATCCATTTGACACTAATAATCAGACTCTTTGTTTTTGTTGCCAAGTCTGGCGATAAAGGGTTCGAACCCAACCATAGTATCTCGATGGTAGTGTTCATAGGCAGGCCACTTTACCATAAGTTGCCTCCCTGTGATGTACAGGGATGCCTGCCTGGTTGGAGTTCATAAAATTTATATGAAAATTGTGTGATGAATGAAAGATTCTAAGAACAAGTTATAAACCATTACTGGACCAAGCCCAGTGGCTTTCGCCAACCTGGGATTCCCGGATTCGTATTCATGAGCACCCTACTGAGATAATGGCTTCTCAATCAGTTAACCACTATAAATATGTTTGCACATACGGCGGCAGTGCATGGTTTGTCCTTGATCATACCATGGAGCCTTTTTTATAGCTCCATGATCATACAGTCAGGCTATCCCCAATGTATGTGCGTCGTTGTCCAGATCCACCTGCCTCCAATCAGAATTTGAGTGACGAACCAGTTAAGTGCTGGAGAGCTACCTACATCTAAGAAAGCCACATTAGACTGGGCTCGGTCCAGTAATGCCCTGAAGGAGTTAATCTGTTTAAGTTATTGGTGGGTAAATGTACAAGATGTAGTAGGGGTGTGCATTTACGGGTAGTATGGGTACCCGACTGAAAAAAAACCCAAAAATTGAAATTGAAATCTCGGAAGTTCTGTTCAGATTGTTCATAAATATCGGTGCGTCAATGCTGCAATTCATATGTGTGCAGTGAACTTCATAGCTTTATGGTGAAAACTGCAACTTTCGCGAGCGTCATAAACATGACATCTGTTTTGTTTTTCCATGTAGCCTGGTTTCACTTTGAAAATTCCTCCAAACTGGCATTCAAAGCCTTTTCTTTTTCATTGTCTGAGATGTTACTAAGTAATTTGTAAAGTTGGTTACGGGTACCCGATCCCATAATCTGGAACCGGTGTCACGGTCTCACTTCTCCGGTGTGCCAGCTTCTCCGAAAGGGAAATTTGGCTCCAACACGCATGCACAAAATTGCGCAGTAGTGTACATTTTCGTCAACTGTATTAGCCTGCTGAGTGCTTCGGGGTTGTACTGGTGCAGGTAAGATCTTAGGATATTTGTATGCATGGTTACAGGGTACCAGTCCAATCCAGAATTTTCGTGACGCGCACAACTCCCAATAACCATGGAGGAATAAGAACACATGCAATAACCAAACTAATTTATTTTAGGCCGTGGCTGCAAAAATAAAGACAAAATGGACCACGAACGAGCACGGAACACGGACCAAGAAGTTCGTTCTTAATTATTCCTCCATGAACACACACACATGCATGACGCTGGAAACACAAATCAGAATGCTACGGACCATCATGAACATGGAATGACTTGACCCACAGGAAGTATTACATAATACATTCTTAGGTGTCCCTCACTGTGTTATTAATGGGCTTGGTAGACTCGGAATACAGCTCGAGGAAAAGTAAGCATAGCGGACACATGGGCACGAATCGTGCTTACGTGACGTACACTGTAACGTGCTCAGTTATCCGCCAAATCGACACGGAGAAGCTAGCACGCCGGAGAAGTGAGACCGTGACACCGGTTCCTGACATCAGCAGTCGGGTACTCGGGTACCCGGGTCCGATGCACAGCCCTACGATGTAGACATGAACATTTACAAGCACCATGTGAAGTGGAAACCTGCAATGTAACTGTACTTTATCACTGTCGGTATGTTGGGGGCAGCCTTGTTGTGACACTGCCACACTGTTAGCAGGAGTTTGTCAAAACTTGTAACACTTACTACTGCCTGTAAATCTGTTCTCTTGCTGTTCACACTGTTTCATCGAAAAAAAAAAATCTGGGAATGCAAGATGTACCAAAAGGGGAACATTAAATCACGGTGATGTTTTCAGAATTATTAGAAACTCGGCCACTCCCAGCTGAAATCTTGTTCCAACAAAACTTATTGATGCAGACTTTTATATCATAAATGCTAAACATGGTTAAAGTAAGAATTCAATACTAACTTGAGAAAGAATGTAGCATCCAGTATACAAGTATTTCCTAACAAAATTGGAAATGTTTCTCAGTCCCAGAATCATGTCTTTCCAACATTTTTGTAATGATATATTTGGCGTCAGGATGCAACATTCTTTCCCTAACATTGTTCTTCTAGTGTATTAGTACATCTGATTTGTTGTACTATTAGTGTCGAAGTCAGAATATCGGGGGCAAAAAGTGATTTTTCTTGCACATTAGACCGAGTAATAACATTTATCGCATTGTATTGTCAATTATGCTTTGAGATAATTTTCGGTTGAAATAATTTATAGACTTCTTTTTTTTTTTTACTGAAAGTATACTCGGTCAGAATAAGATATGCTGAAACTTTGTTTTTTTCTGTGATGTATTTTGAGGAGCGATTAGGTGAAGAGTTGATTGTCATTTTGTGTGCTCACAAAGATTTTATACTGTCTGTGTATATTGTGACATTGATGGAAAAGGTGAATAAAACTAAATCAAAATGTGTAAATAAAAGTTAACATTTTTGCCGTCAAAATTTGTATTGTCTCTGTGACTAATCACAAAGGAGGGAAAAACTGAGAAAAATCTTAAGAAAAAACTTTAAAAAACAAGGAAAATTTAGGAAGAAAATTGACATGACTACTGTGGCATAAATATAGACATGATTTTTATTTCACATAAATACAAAGTACTTCACATCATAAAAAAGTTCTAGTCAAATATTCAATGATCAACTGAATTTCAGACATGAAATAGCTGTGATAATATTTTTGATAAAAGTCAACAGATACATGTAGATATAACAGCTTATAAACTCTGAAGTGAAAGCTATAATTAAAAGCTCATTTCTCATTGGTCTGATGTTACGTCTTTTACAAATCATTGTTGCCACCACGAAATGATCCTGAAGTTGGAAATTGCCATTTTGCAGTACAGCGGGGCAAAGCCAAAATTTGAAAGGGTGGTCAATTTGTTGTTTTCAGTAAGTCCTGTGCTACCTTCGCCCATTTTTTGTGCTGTCAAACATCTTTAAAACATCCGGTTTTATTAGTTGACTGTTCATTCACTGTAATACAACAGTAGGATTTTTAAATGCCATTTTCTAAAAAAATGAGTTGTACAACTTTAATCTAGTCGGTGTCAGTGGTCTGTATCCTTCCATCGCTGAACTCGGTACCCACGAATGTGATATTTTGAAAGCTCTAGTTCTGCAGAATGCAGACATATAAATTTCTCAATGTTAAAAAAAAAAATGAGTTTCTGCTAATTTGTTGCGACAGGTCACAAATAGGAAATTTAACTTAACCACACCAAATTACCATACTCTCTTGTATCTTTGCAACACAACTTTCTTGCTCCAAAATCTGCAGTCAAGTTAACACGAAAGGCCCATTTTCACCAAAATCCAACAGTACCTTTGACATAGCTATTTTGACGGATTTTGAGCAATTTTAACATTTCAAGAATTTTATTGGCACTTAATAAAACAAATTGAAAAACAAGATATTCTTTGCCAAACTGTAGTTGGCACCTTATTATTGAATTGTTGAAAATACAAAATAACCAACAAATGCTACAAAAGACTCCTTTTCTTACATAATGGGGGTGTTAATAAGCGCTAGTTAGGGGAAAATTTTAAACCAAGGCTTAAACTTATGCCCTAGCGACAGCCCATACAAAATGGCACTCATTGTTTACAAACGAAAGCAATATCTACATTACAATGAGTATCAAATTCTGTGCATGATATTGAGAGATAGTCTCATCATCAGACTGACTGTGACTGGCGCTGCTGTGATGACATGACTGCTTGTCAATCTTTCTACTTGTGTTGGGAGAGGTCTAACGTTCTTGATAGCCTAAAGATTTGCGGAAGCATTGAGCTGAGTTGAGCAAACAGATCGTCAGAAATACCCTGAAAAGACCAAAGACAAAAAAATCAGTAACAAGTAGTTTTGGGCAATTCCAGCGTTATGAAAGTGTAACGTCCGTGCCAGAGCCAATTAACCATGATATCTAATGAATGATTCAGAGAAATGATCCAAAACTCCTAGTCTGTAAATCTGCTTGACCATTGCTAGATGATGGATGTATAAGATTTGAAAAATACATTTTCAGGTTTATACACTGAGCTCTTAAAAGCTGTCACAAGTGGCGTAAGTGGGGGGGGGGGGGGGGGGGGGGCTGACACCAAATTACACTACGGGATGCTCTTCAGGATATAAATGTATATCAATATGTATATACTGGCATCAAATAGGTGATTTTAAAAGCTTTTGTTCTTCGTTTCAACACTTTTCAGTGCTATTGAATACAATTTGGTCAAAATCAACTCTTTCTTTTCTCATCACGAAAAAGTGGGAGGGGGGGGGGGGGATGATTCAATAGCCAATCCCCCCCTCCTCAAAAAGTGGGGGGGGGGATATATACCCCCATTCAAACCAAAGCAGGTACATGTATTGTAATACTATGCCGATATGTTAAGCTCCACCCCCATGATGTCTTGACCAATCACAGCGCTGACTGCACAACCAAAATATCCAACAAAAATCTGACGTGTGGAATTACGCACGACGCACGCGGCTGGAGAATGCGATTCAGCACTAAGGAGACGCACAGTGGATGGAGCTTATGTGGCCAAAATGGGATTGGTCCATTTTACCTTTGGGACGACAAACTGGATGGTTCGACTCTCACTGCCTCCCCACTGAGCCATCTCCATCATGAAACCCTTGATGCATTTCAAGACAAGCTCCGCCCTCTTGACACACCAGGCAATGGTCATCTCCTGAATATATGAATACATTTCAATAAATTATACATCATCTGTAGCCAGCCTGCAATGCATTTCAAGATAAGCTCCGCCCTCATGACATGCCAAGCAATGGTCATTTCCTGAATATATGAATACATTTGCATATATAATAATATCATCTATAGCAAGCCTGCAAGACAAGCTCCGCCCTCTTGACACGCCCTCTAGTCTAATTCCATCAACAGGCAAAAGCGGGTAACTGGTAAGCACAGCTGGCTTATCAATCTCCTACAGTCAAAGCATAGCTGCATCAAGTTACATAAACAGTCACAGCCAGTCAATCCTGCTTTATGTAGGCAGGGAGCACATAACTGTTAAAGCTATAGTCCATCATTTGCAGCTATCCGAAAAGTAACTGGCATAATTATTGTTAAAAAACATACTTGGTTGAAAGATAGTAAGGGGACTAAAATCCCTGTGAAATTATTCTTTCTGGCAAGCTGTCATTTTGAAGAAATCAACAAAAGAAGGCCTTTCCAACGGTGCTTCTTAAGACGCACCGTAGGAAATTTAAATTAGTTCGTTTTGTTTTTCGGCAAAGCGCACGCAAGCATTGGAACGACGCACACGCACGCGCGGTTGCTATAATTCATCGGATCAGTGCGCGACATTACGTAGCTGCAAACGGCTCAGTGAGAACGTGTCTCGGACGCTGAATTCAGGCCCAATTCAAAACATGATTTAAACAGCAACTTTTGATTTGAAATTGAGATCCTAGAATGCTGTTTTTCTCATATATACAGCTGAGCTGAAACTTCATCAGGTTAGTTGTTCAGTACCCTTCTTTAGATTTTGAGCACTTTTGTTGCTTCAAACGAACAAAATGCACAAATTACAAATGATGGACTATACCTTTAAACACAGTCACTTGATTGATTTTGACTGCTGGGATGGCTTTGTTGAAATTGCCAGCCAGAGAGGGAGGGTTCTAAGAGCACACCCTGATACCAACCTCGTACATCTCATACAGCAGGAACAGCGGCAACGTGACGGCATGGATGTCAAACTGCACACAGCATTTCAGGATATTCCTGAGTGCAAGGATACACGGATGACGTGAGTTGATATCACCGCTGCGTAGGATATCATCGACAACCAGATGAAACACGATGTGAACCTCAGCAAGGTTGGAGTGCTTGCTGATGTAGAAATCTCCTACAAAAAGCAAGTATTTGAAACAAGTACTTTTAAATTTTTGATATTGGTATTTTTTTGGCATTTATCAACATGTTTTCTAGACACTGTATACTCGGTGTTGTTTAAGGGCTTGTGGGAAAAATTCACAAGCTTTCTCGGGTGGGACTCGAACCCATGACCTTTTGTTTACTTGTGTCAAGTACGACTGTTAATTTGTTCTGGCATATACTTAAACAACACTGAGTAAACGTTATCTATAAAATACGTCAATGAAGGGTAAAACCTTGATATGAAATGTATGCCTCTGCTCTCTCTGATGCAAGTTCTATCTTGTAGATATTTAGAGGTCATGGGTTCGAATCCTGCTTCACTCAGTTGAGTTACAATTGATTAAAATCAAGCATGCTCATTTTTGAATCAATATTATTGTGGAGCAACTTGTTTCTGTTTATTTATTTATTTATTTTTTTGGGGGGGGGGAAGGGGGTTGTCAACCATCACATGCACAGAAGGCTACTCAAAGTTATAAGAGTGAGAATAAGATTATGAGGGAAAACAGAAATCGATCTGCTCATATTTTGAACGTAGAGCTCAATAGGACACTTAATAAAACTCAGGAACTCTATTCTGGAGGACATAGTTTCAAATGATACTTTGGTCAGTTTTCTTCCTTCCGTCTCAACTTGGTTATAAAACCTAGTCATTTCCCTAAAGTGGCTTATTAATTGATTGTTGTTACTAAGGATTGGAGAGAGATAGATTCCCAAAGTTGGTAACAAAACCAATTATTAATATTTAGATTACACGTCAAAAAATTCCATTGATCATTGTCGTTAATTTACAGATAGTATTGTTTACCTGTCTTAAGATTGGATGTGATTTCTCCTTCTTCTGATGATTGTCGTGATTCACTTGATGCGACCGATCGACGATCCCCGCTACTGTTACTGGATCCTATTAATGAATAAAACATGAACATTTCAACCCACTCGATATCACTTTGCAAATTCTGGTACTTAATAAAAAATAAAAATTCAACAGTGAAAGCGTCAATGAAAGTTATCATATGAAATTTTGGTTGATGGAAATTGGCACTGTGATTTTATATATATAACAAAGTAATACGTAATAAATAATAAAGGCAAAATGTTGAAGTAAGTTTTGATGTCAGGAATATAGCTTCTAGGAATATTCAAAAATAATAAATATCTAAATTTTGTAAATGTGATTCACAATAGTTAAAGTTGCGTTCCTTGTGCTCTTCAAAAACTTCAAATTGTTTTTCTATCGTTTTATTTCAACCAAATTTTGGATGTCTGCAAAAGTTTGAGAAAAAAAAAAAAATTTTGTTTTGGGTAGAAACAGATCCACTTTGCCAGCAGACTGGCGTCCGGTCCGTACATAATCGATACTGATTGTGGGCAGGAACCAGCCTACCTCACAAGAATGGAATGATTGTTTGTCAGCCAATAACTCAAAATTGTATAGTAATAAATCAATAACTAATCATAGCTGGTTTTAAAGTAAGCAAAATTTGTATTGCTAAAAAAATAGCAATTTAGAAAAGGAATCTATTACTTTAGAATGAAACTCGAAAACAGCACGGGGAACACAAATTTAACATAAAAGAGCATAAAAGAGTTGAAAGAAGAGGGTTTAATTTGCATTGATGACTGACCGTCTTGGCTGATTTTCTCGGCCTTTCTTGCCCTGCGTACGGTGTTTGCCTGTACAGCATGTTGCTGGATGACACGCAGCTGTGTGTCAAGGTCAGGGAAGTGGAAATCTGTCGACTGCTGACATACAGCCGCAAAATCTGTCAACAAATAACAGATAAACATTTAAAGGGAATAGACCCCATTTGCAAACATTCAAGAATGAAACTGTCAAAAATCACACAATATCATACTTAATTGAAAGTAAATAATAAGATCAAACATCCTGTAAAATAATTACGCCTAGTACGCCGTCATTTTCTAGAAAAGAGGATTTAACATCATTTCCTCACGATGGTTACGAGCAAAAATAACACTTTCAATGGAACCTACACCTCGACTATTAATCCATAAAATTCAAATATCCACATATTTCTGAAATTTTGAAATTAATATGTTGAGTGGGAGGATGGGCTCAACGAGCGAACAACAGAGGGCGCTTTTCACCACTTTGGAGAGTCCACCATGTGGTTAGTGCACGTATAGCGCACAGTATGAACAACTAATTTTATGCTGAATGTGCAGAGCGTCTTTGAATGTCTCTCCCAGTGGTCTCCCCCAACTCTCCCTTTCTTACCGTTGAGGGGGTGCTTGTGCACGGAGCCCACAGGCTAATTGTAATGCATATCCATAAAATCAACATTATGCCTCAGTCATCCAATATGACAAAATCTTGCCAAAGTTTCATAAAACAAAACAAAAACAGGTATCTTATAACATGTTATGTCAATATTCTTCTTTATAAAATTTAAAAAAAATTTCAATGTTATTGGAGATTTGTGCCTACCTCGCTTGATGCCGGTGTAGGAGTTGATCCTGTCATCCACCATGAGAATGAGGCCGGACAGTGAACAGGAGAACAATGACATCGCTGTCTGTAACCTCTGGGGTTGAGGTTGTAGGGACCCCCTGTCAAGAGGTCAAAGGTCAAAGTTGTTAAAAACTAACCATACATGCCTGTATTGAATGGATTTCTGGAAACAGTTGCAAGTCTCCAAAATATATAAAGGCTTGGATATTGTTCAGTACCTCCCACCCAAAAAATGTAATATCTTTTATACTATCCACTGTCATTTATCTACAGAGACAAGGAAAAGAGCCCAAAACCAAAACTGGGATGTACTGTACGTAGTCCAGTCCATCGCAAGTCCCTCCAAGTCCCTCCAAGTCCTCTAAGTCCCTGCAAGTCCATCACCAGTCCTCCGGTCCCAATTCAACTCAATTCGAATGAGCTTTGACAAAGGCATTCGTTAATTACAGATTCTTGTGACTGGACTTGTGAATGGGCTCATGAATTACTTGTGATGGACTTGTGATGGTCTTGACTTACATCTGAAAATAAGTCATTCATGAGCCCATTCACAAGTCCAGTCACAAGAATCTGTAATTAACGCATGCCTTTGTCAAAGCTCATTCGAATTGAGTTGAATTGGGACCGGAGGACTGGTGATGGACTTGTGATGGACTTGTGATGGACTTGTGATGGACTTGTGATGGACTTGTGATGGACTTGTGATGGACTTGTGATGGACTTGTGATGGACTTGTGATGGACTAGTGATGGACTAGTGATGGACTTGTGATGGACTTGTGATGGACTTGTGATGGACTTGTGATGGACTTGTGATGGACTAGTGATGGACTTGTGATGGACTAGTGATGAACTTGTGATGGACTTGTGATGGACTAGTTATGGACTTGTGATGGACTAGTGATGGACTAGTGATGAACTTGTGATGGACTTGTGATGGACTTGCGATGGACTAGTGATGGACTTGTGATGGACTTGTGATGGACTTGTGATGGACTTGTGATGGACTTGTGATGGACTTGTGATGGACTAGTGATGAACTTGTGATGGACTTGCGATGGACTAGCGATGGACTAGTGATGGACTTGTGATGGACTTGTGATGGACTTGTGATGGACTTGTGATGGACTAGTGATGAACTTGTGATGAACTTGTGATGGACTTGTGATGGACTTGCGATGGACTAGTGATGGACTTGTGATGGACTTGTGATGGACTTGTGATGGACTTGGGATGGACTTGGGATGGACTTGGGATGGACTTGGGATGGACTTGTGATGGACATGTGATGGACATGTGATGGACTTGGGATGGACTTGGGATGGACTTGGGATGGACTTGGGATGGACTTGTGATGGACTTGTGATGGACTTGCGATGGACTAGCGATGGACTTGTGATGGACTTGTGATGGACTTGTGATGGACTTGGGATGGACTTGGGATGGACTTGGGATGGACTTGGGATGGACTTGTGATGGACTTGTGATGGACTTGTGATGGACTTGGGATGGACTTGGGATGGACTTGGGATGGACTTGGGATGGACTTGTGATGGACTTGTGATGGACTTGTGATGGACTTGTGATGGACTTGTGATGGACTTGTGATGGACTTGGGATGGACTTGTGATGGACATGTGATGGACATGTGATGGACTTGTGATGGACTTGTGATGGACTTGTGATGGACTTGTGATGGACTTGTGATGGACTTGTGATGGACTTGTGATGGACTTGTGATGGACTTGTGATGGACTTGTGATGGACTTGTGATGGACTTGTGATGGACTAGTGATGAACTTGTGATGGACTTGCGATGGACTTGCGATGGACTAGTGATGGACTTGTGATGGACTTGTGATGGACTTGTGATGGACTTGTGATGGACTAGTGATGAACTTGTGATGGACTTGTGATGGACTTGCGATGGACTAGTGATGGACTTGTGATGGACTTGTGATGGACTTGTGATGGACTTGTGATGGACTTGTGATGGACTTGGGATGGACTTGGGATGGACTTGTGATGGACATGTGATGGACTTGTGATGGACATGTGATGGACTTGTGATGGACTTGTGATGGACTTGGGATGGACTTGTGATGGACTTGTGATGGACTTGTGATGGACTTGCGATGGACTAGCGATGGACTTGTGATGGACTTGTGATGGACTTGTGATGGACTTGTGATGGACTTGTGATGGACTTGGGATGGACTTGGGATGGACTTGTGATGGACATGTGATGGACTTGTGATGGACTTGTGATGGACTTGTGATGGACTTGTGATGGACTTGTGATGGACTTGTGATGGACTTGGGATGGACTTGTGATGGACATGTGATGGACATGTGATGGACTTGTGATGGACTTGTGATGGACTTGTGATGGACTTGTGATGGACTTGTGATGGACTTGTGATGGTCTCGATTACATCCCTGATCAGCCAATGGACAAGGGACACCAGAGATTCAGAAATAAAAATTGTAAAAACTCTGTATTAACAGCTGAGCTCACCCTTCTCTGTTTGGTTTGTGCTTGCAGAGATCCAAGACATCTACAGACATGAGGCGTATGTTATGCATGGTCTTCATCTGAGCACCTGAAGAATAGTAAACACATGGCATAAAATGAGCTACGATGGCTCCATTCAGATAATCATGATGCTATTAGAGAAGCAAAGTGCTGCAAGCTATGGCATGACCCGGGCCCAGTTTAACATTACTACTAAGCTGAAAATATTATTTTCAAAGTCTGTGCTCAGCAAATTCGACAAAAAAAGCAAAACACAGAGACATGCTTCACAAGACTTTTGGCCGGTATTTTGATTTGCTATGCATCCTAACTGTTCTTAGCTTATGTGATTAGCAGTTTTGTGAAATTCGTACTAATAAATGGTGTCTGATTTTCTGATCCAGCTAGTGAGTGCACGTTGTCTATCCACCCACTAAAACTAGTGCTCTTCAACAAATTCAACCTTTTTTCTAGTAATACATTTTCAACTTTTTACGTTAATATTCCAACCAAAACACTTTTTTTTCCTTTTAGGCCTTTCCTTTCCATAGGCCTTTTTCAATCCATTGTCTCATTCAAATGTTGATAACTTTGTAAGTGCTAGAAAAATAGCAATTTTAAAGGAATCAAATAATTGGGATGAAACTCAAAAATAGCATGGAGACTGCGTCCTGAAATTCTTGCCTTACCGAGATGGATAGTGAAGCTTTCCTCCAGCTTCGGTTCTTCCACCACGACTTCTCTCCTTGGTGCCGGTACCAAGTCAGACATGGCTCGTATCCTACGACTGACAGGTCCTTCAGTGCCATTCTCCATATCATCTCGTAACTGCTCAATCCAATTGCGGAATTCCAATCTCTGAGTGTCTTGAAGATTCTTCAATTCACTGTCCCACTTGGCTTCCTCAAACTGTACAGAACAATTTAATAAGATGGGATTTTTGTTTGCGTTGGGGTGATGTAAATCAAATTAGGTTTTGCCCTTCACCGACGTATAAACACTGTATACCCAGTGTGTTACCTCCCAAGTGAAAGTTGGAAAAAAAAAATCACTCGGGTGGGACTCGAACCCATGACTTCCTTTTTATTAAAATCCCATCTTATGAATAGTTAATGCGGTACCCGCTGCTATGTATGTTAGATTCGAACCAGCCAACCGATCCCGTTAGCTCGGTGGTTGAGTGGTAAGACATCTGCACTAGAAAGCAGGAGGTCGTGGGTCGTATCCCACCCGAGTGATTTTTTCCAACTTTCACTCGGGAGGTAACACACTGAGTATACAGTGTTTATACGTCGGTGACGGGCAAAACCTAATTTGATGTACAGAACAAACAAATCATACCACTTTCCTGAATGATTCAAGATTCCAGATTTGACAATAAGCTCTGCCCACCTTGGGTTTGTTTTAGGGATAAGCCCCACCCACGTTGGGTTTGTTTCAGGGATCAGCCCCTCTCACCTTGGGTTTGTTTTACGGATAAGCCCCACCCACCTTGGGTTTGTTTTACGGATAAGCTCCACCCACCTTGGGTTTGTTTTACGGATAAGCCCCACCCACCTTGGGTGTGTTTCAGGGATAAGCCCCACCCACAATGGGATTGTTTCAGGGATAAACCCCGCCCACATTGTGTTTGTTTCAGGGGTAAGCCCCACCCACAATGGGATTGTTTCAGGGATAAACCCCGCCCACATTGTGTTTGTTTCAGGGGTAAGCCCCACCTCACTTTGAGCAAAGATTTTCTCATTAAATCGGAAGGTACATTTTCCAGGTAATTGCTTACCTGTATGTTTTCGAAGTGTTGCGCTGCCAGTCTATTGACTTGCTGGTCGCTGTGAGTGTAATCCAGATTCTGTACTGCTTGCTGGATCTGTGCTGCTTGCCTGGATATGAAGACAATATGCGATATAAATATCACCACTCTAGCAATAGTATTACAACTTAACTCTTTCAGTGCCAAAGTCGTACAGTACATGTACGAGGTATATTTGTTAGTTCGAAATCGCCAACCTCGTACATGTACGAGGTAATGTTCGTACTTAAAATCGCCAAACCTCGTACATGTACGAGGTAGAGTAAGCATGTTATCACAAGGGGGCGCTCTCCCTCTTTCTAATAATATCATTTTCATTCAGGTAAGACCTGTATTTATTGTTTCATTCGAGTTCTTGCGAGAGGGCGCAGCACTGACACTCGTATTTTCTGCAAAAAGTGCGAAATTCCCCTGTGTGCAGGACAGTGTTTCGGGGTGTATCACTATGTACGTGACTACTATTGACTTTCCAATGTACCAAGGATATACCAGAGAGCAACAACCACAAATTAAGTGAGTAAAACTTATTTACTTTTTTTTTTACAGAATTTTGAACAAATAAAAAAAAACGCTCGAAGTTGGGCACTTTAGGGTTAAACTTTTCAAATTTCGCGGGCACTGAAAGAGTTACATACAGCACCACATAAGACATCATTTATTTAATATCCACTGCATGAAATTTCACGATTGGCATTAGACATACAATTGATGTTTTCACAACTGCTATTGTAGAGTGTGAGCGTCTTACAAAATTTAACTTTAATTTGCAAAACTTCCCCCCTATTTACTCACTCATCATTTCTTGGGTATTGGGTGTCAACAAATCTGTAATTTATTATAAGACAATGCTCCTTGTTTTTTTAATTCAGACATATGTGAGACGTTTTGGAAAAACGACACAGAACTGGGCACAGGTCACAGTTGAGAACGTGCAAACAAACTGAATGATTTTTTTTTTATTTTCATTTTGTTTTCAGATTTACTGATATTTGTAATTATTGATGTCTACCACACATCTTTTAAAGAAATACAATGTAGCATAAAATTGTGGAATGAAAGTGGTTCTTAAGGAAACAGAATTGGTTTGTCTAATTAAAGTGCAACAAAAAGTTATGTCAGGAGAAGTTTATTCTCTTTTGTAATAATTTCGACATTATTATTATTAAAACGACAAATGTAGCATTAGGGAGACACGTTATCGTAATTTCTTCGACAATTGGGAGTCATCGGTCATTAGGGAGACATTTTCATGTCTCCCTAATGTCACAGCCCCCTTTTAGAGGCAACATTTTGCTGTCGGGGTTATATTTGTTGCTTGTGGTCGAATTAGTAAAAATACCGAAATTCGCAGAAAAAGGACAAGGGAATATTGGGTTAGGGCACATTTAATTTTGAAAAATTTTGTGCACAAGTCTATGGGGATGTCTCCCTATGGTACCATTTTCGGTAATTATCATTATTTATTCGGCCAAATTACAAGATACAACAAGTAATCCACAAAAGTAAAACAAAACTTAACAAAAACAACATCTGCCCAGTTCTGTCTCATTTTTGTCAGAACGTCTCATAATGCAGAATGCTTACTTCAAGTACTTAACAAGATCTGATAGATCAAATCTGTCGGCTCCGGACTTAGCTTTTCTGGACTGTTACATGATCATCATATTACCTTTCTTGCAGCTTGGTCAAAGCCTGATCTCGCTGAATCAAAACATCCTCTACAGCCACAGCGTAAGTATGTTCCAAACGAAAGAGAATCTCCAGTGCTGGGGAATGGATCAGTTTGTGATACAGCTCCGCAAATCCTACTTCAGGTTTGGGTTTGCTGTCTGGTGCGTAGGCCACACATTCCTATGCAATACGATTGGACAAAAGGAAGGTTAATTTAACAAATTAGAATGAAAGAATCCTTTAAAATATTTCTTAGATTGTTTTATTAATATTCTTCAACAGTGTTTCCATTAAATTTTGTCACGCTTCACACCTACGATTTATGTTCAGGTGCCTGTGTGACACGACGTTTTTGCACATTCACTTTATAATTCCCTGAGTTTTCCCTGATATTTCCATGACAAATTTCCCAAATTCCTGGGGAATATTTTCACTATTTAACGAGGTTGCTGGGAAGTCAAGAGGTACTGTAGCACAGCCAATTGTTATTGTCTGGCGCCCATTCACGCAGCTTGAACATAAACAGTAAAAAGCCACCAAAGCCAGTCAGTCAGTGGACACAACACATGGCACAAGACACACATACACTAAAAGGGTGAAAACCTTTTCCTTCTGGGTCACTGTCAAATTCCATGAGTTTTCCATGATTTTTGGTGGTTTTTTTTCCCCCAAATTCCCTGAGTTTTCCCTGACTGGAAAAATGGAAACTAATTACAAAGTTTGTTTTCCTTGTCATATCAACACCTCCTGAACCTTTTAAGTAGGAATGTAGTTTAGTCTGTCCCTGCAAGTCCATCACAAGTCCTCCAGTCCCAATTCAACTCACAAGCTATTCAAATAAGCTTTGACAAAGGCACTCCTCCGTTTTGTCATCCACTGTTTAATACTTGTGACTGGACTTGTGATTTACTTGTGACAGGACTTATGATGGACCTGACTACATCCCGTGAATGAAGTCAGGTATACCTGTGTGTAAGCCTTGGCCCATTTATCAGCGATATTCCCGATGTCATCATCGCCAGCTTTCTGCAACGTTTCGATCGCCTCCTGGGCATTCTGATCATGAAAAGTGGCTGTCTCCTTACTAACAAATTTGTCAAGATTAAACGTAATGTCTGTAAGATAAAAAAAAAAGTGTCAAATAAATCTCAGTGGATTTGTAATTCAGATAAAGGTTCCGGAATGCATTCAATAAATTTCAAAAAAGCAACGAACAACTGACAGTACACAACAATAATAATAATCGTTTGATTTGAGAATGAACTTGAAATTTGGTACTTCGTGTAACAAATAGGCTATACTGACACATTGAGTAGTGTTTTCCTCCTTTGTGGAATTCATACGTTTGTTTTTATGTACTTGATATTTTTACCGAGTTGCAACATAACAATATTGAAGTGCTTCAGTAGCTCAATTGGATAAATTCATGCGGAAAGATTTCCATATACGAAGTTCACTAATTTTCCTCTGTATTGACTAACAAACCCCCAGATAGCAATTTCATGTCATCAAAGTCAATTTGAGCAGTGAGAAAATACAAGCATTTTCTTAGAAAACACTTAGAATTTTTCAGTCCAATCTCATAGGGTTTGTTCACAGGGTGTTGAGTGAACTTCGTATATGGAAATCTTTCCTTTCTTACTTTGAATTAAATTAGATTTAATTTTTTTTTCTGATTCATTGCCCTGGAAGTTTGGTTTTAAAGGAAAGTAAAGTCCAAGAACCATTTAGTTGAAAACTGACATAATATATGTGCGTATCGATTCACTTCCACAAGATCAGCAACAGCATTGTTTTTATGAAATCATTTCTATCTTTTACAAGCGGCATTCCATGCAAGTCATATTTTTCTGACGAAAATCAATATTTTATGTTTCATTTGAAACTTTACTTGGCCATCAAATGTGAAATCAGGCTGTTTGTCTGGAGTCCAACCTACCTTCCTCAACAAAGCATGGCAGGTTGTGTGTGTTCACCATTCGACCCACAAACTCTCGACTGCTAATATTCAGTGGTATCGGGATGGGCACGCGAAGCTTGGAAAATAACTCCTTGGTCTTGAACTGAAAGTAGAATTCCTTTTCTACACCTTTAGGCATTTTGACATCCTTCTCCTGAAATAAAATCAAAAGAATATGGACAATGAGCTTGAATTGATTTGATTTCATAATCAAGAGGGGGTAGCATTTGGGGCCCATGGGGTTTCATAGATTCACAAACCCCATTCATAAAAAAAAAAATTAAATGCATTTTTTTCCCTCTTTTTTCCCTTTATTATTTACCCTTTTTTGGTTAAAAAACCGGTAATCCTTACTTTTAGGACACCTCTATTTTGTACGATTTCTGTTAAAAACTGACTTTTGCAGATGACTGTCCAGTACCAAAGTGACTTTTGCAGGCTAAAGAAGTCTTTTTTCTTCAGACAAACTCATGTCAGTTATAATTTTGAAAGCACTTTCAAAGAAAATGTGACTTTCCTACCTTTTTTGCAGTTTGCCATCTTGCTTTTTAAATTTATTTTCTGTTTGTCATCGTCGTCTTTAACCCCTCATGAATCAAAACCCTGCCCTCTTTCTACAAAATCAAACCTTTTGATAGTCATTTAGTCAGCTGTTTTGGTGAGTCTTTTAACCTTATATAGGAAAGGGGTCCTAAAAGTAAGGATTACCAAAAAACCCACTCCAGTGATGTCCAAGTAGCCTATGGAAATCTTTCCATAAATAAAGGAAAGGCATGAAACTGAAAAGAGAGGGTGAGACTGAGACTGAGAGAGTAGAGCCTAGAGGAGGAGAGAAAGTGGAGGGACTAACCATAATGGATACAACTTTTTGGCGCTTGAAATTAAATGAAAAAGTGGTGGCCCAGTACGAAATGTTTTCCTTTTTATGAATTCGGCTTAACTCTTTCAGTGCCCGCGACATTTCAAAAGTTTAACCCTAAAGCGCCCAACTTCGAGCTTTTTTGTTAATTATTCAAAATTCTAAAAAAAAAAAAGTAAATAAGTTGTAATCACCAAACTTATTGTATCTTGCTCTCTGGTATATTCTTGTTACCTTCAAAAGTCAATATTAGTCTAGCCTTGTTCAATGCGGTCTCTCGGCTTTTTGTCGAAGGGAGACAATCGGGCCCTGCAGGCCTGCACCCACAATCAACGCGGCTACGTGCGTGTACGACCCTTGTCCGTACGAACGGCTAACACAACCAGCAAGCACACACACGTGAGTACGGACTGTACGCATGGTGTAATAAGGCAGTAAATGTAGGCCTACTGTGTTCTGCGTGTGGGTGTACGTACGTGCGTGTGGGGGATATACTCGCCGCGTGGCCTGTCGAACGACCGCCTTGTTGGGTCTGCAACTTCCGGGTTTAATGTCTTTCTTTACCTTTTCGTCCAGTTTTGAAAAAAAAAATGGGCGGGCTTCAGGATATGCGGGTATGCCGTGATTATTATGTAGGTTCGTCTTGGACCAATCACATGAAACAACCTTCCCAATAGTATGATTAATTCATTTTTAAGCTGACCAACTGTAAGCTTCACAAGAATCATGTGACGTCGCGCGGCATGCATAATGCATTAGTCATCATGGCGTCTTCCATGTCTTTTTAGCGAGAGCGAAATGTTCGTCACTTTTTCAACAATTTGACATTGATTCGAGTTTTTCGGCTCGTGTAATGAATCAATTTGAGTGGGCAACGATCGTCTAATGACAGCATTACCTGCAGAATTCGTTGGAGCCTTCAATACTGCTTCGGACAGACTGGGACTGAACGACTTTCACCCACAGCAACGGGCCACCATTGCAGCGTTTCTTCGCGGATGCGACGTGTTTGTTAGCCTATCGCGGGCTGACCAATGAGAATTCAGCTATACGCGGGGTGGTACCTCATTACCGTAATAGGTTTTGCTGGGTCAACTCAAAACCATCAAGGCGTTGGGTTACGCGGACTAGCTCATGCATGTACTGTGTGTGCATGGCTGTTGTACGAGTACGTGTGTGTACACGTACGTGCGTACGTGCAAGCATAGCCTCGCTGTATGGTACAAGTTACTTTCTCACTAGCAGCGTACGGGCATCGATATGTGCACGCAATTATGCCTTGCCAAGTTGATTAGGGATTTTTCTTATTGGCAATTTTTTTTTTATCGGCGAATCGATAAGCCCAACGCCTTGGTCAAGGCTAATATTAGTCATGCACCTAGTAATAAACCCTGAAACACTCTCCTGAACAAAGGGGAATTCCGCACTTTTGCAGAATATACGTGTGTCGTGTCTGATACCCCTCCTCGAACAAACTCTGTTCATTATCATAAATATTGCCATGATTGTCACTTTTAGCACCATCATTATCATTTGTATCGGTATCCCAATGTTCGTTTTCTGACTCACCATCCAGTTCTGAAATATCCATGGATTATTCTGAATCAGAAAAGTAATCCCTTACCCTGTCCAAATCGGCGAAAAAATACACGGATTTTCTCTGGAGATAACACGCGAGCTCGGTTGATGGGCGCCGCCATTTTGTCAACAAATCGAAACTCAGTGTGACGCCCTCTCACAAGAACTCGAATATAAAAATAAAAACAGGCCGTACATGCATGAAAATTGTACCATTAGAAAGAGCGAGAGCGCCCCCTCTTGATAACATGTTACTCTACCTCGTACATGTACGAGGTTTGGCGATTTTAAGCACGAACATTACCTCGTTCATGTACGAGGTTGGCGCTCTTGGACTAACAAAAATATTCATACATGTACGAGTTTGGCACTGAAAGAGTTAACTTAACAAAGTCATGGGACGTCATAACGTTCACTGGTTAAGTTGCATTAGCAGGATTATCCGATTAGTCCGGAAACTAGACAAGTCAATTGAAACTCCTTTTTTTCATATTTGAGAGAATGTATTTGTTGAATTTTGACGATCCTATCTAAATTAGAAACAAAGCCTAGGCTACTACATACTAGTTACCTACGTTTGAGAAGAATGTTCTGAGAGTAGTTTCTTTAATTTCGTCGACCCGCTAACAAATTTATCTTTGCGGTGAGCGAGTTCAGACTGGTGCAACTCCTAAAGTTTACTCAAACGTCGCACTGAACAGTCTGGGGACTAGACAAACACGATAAGTAAAGGAACCCGATATCATGCAGGATATGGGGTAAAACATTTCGCCACATGTGTTGAGTAGAGCTACAAGCACTACTCGTACATTTCCAACGATACGCTCTCTGTATCCGACACCATGGACCATGAGTATATCACTACTCCATGGAACTGTGTACAAACTAAAAAAAAAGCTTCTTTTGGAGGGGAGATGAAATCACTACTCACTACTCCATAGACACGTGTACAAAAAGGCACTACACAAGTCCTACACGGCAGGAAAATCACTACTCTATAGAACTGTGTACAAACTAAAAAAGCTTCTTTGGAAGGGAGATGAAATCACTACTCACTACTCCATAGACACGTGTACAAAAAGTCAATACACAAGTCCTACACGGCAGGAAAATCACTACTCCATAGAACTGTGTACAAACTAAAAAAGCTTCTTTGGAAGGGAGATGAAATCACTACTCACTACTCCATAGACACGTGTACAAAAAGGCACTACACAAGTACTACACGTCAGGAAAATCACTACTCCATAGAACTGTGTACAAACTAAAAAAGCTTCTTTGGAGGGGAGATGAAATCACTACTCACTACTCCATAGACACGTGTACAAAAAGGCACTACACATGTCCTACACGGCAGGAAAATCACTACTCTATAGAACTGTGTACAAACTAAAAAAGCTTCTTTGGAAGGGAGATGAAATCACTACTCACTACTCCATAGACACGTGTACAAAAAGTCACTACACAAGTACTACACGTCAGGAAAATCACTACTCCATAGAACTGTGTACAAACTAAAAAAGCTTCTTTGGAGGGGAGATGAAATCACTACTCACTACTCCATAGACACGTGTACAAAAAGGCACTACACAAGTCCTACACGGCAGGAAAATCACTACTCCATAGAACTGTGTACAAACTAAAAAAGCTTCTTTTGGAGGGGAGATGAAATCACTACTCACTACTCCATAGACACGTGTACAAAAAGTCAATACACAAGTCCTACACGCCAGGAAAATCACTACTCCATAGAACTGTGTACACACTAAAAAAGCTTCTTTGGAGGGGAGATGAAATCACTACTCACTACTCCATAGACACGTGTACAAAAAGTCACTACACAAGTACTACACGTCAGGAAAATCACTACTCCATAGAACTGTGTACAAACTAAAAAAGCTTCTTTGGAGGGGAGATGAAATCACTACTCACTACTCCATAGACACGTGTTCAAAAAGTCACTACACAAGTCCTACACGGCAGGAAAATCACTACTCCATAGAACTGTGTACAAACCAAAAAAGCTTCTTTGGAGGGGAGATGAAATCACTACTCACTACTCCATAGACACGTGTACAAAAAGTCACTACACAAGTCCTACACAGCAGGAAAATCACTACTCCATAGAACTGTGTACAAACCAAAAAAGCTTCTTTGGAGGGGAGATGAAATCACTACTCACTACTCCATAGACACGTGTACAAAAAGGCACTACACAAGTCCTACACGGCAGGAAAATCACTACTCCATAGAACTGTGTACAAACCAAAAAAAGCTTCTTTGGAGGGGAGATGAAATCACTACTCACTACTCCATAGACACGTGTACAAAAAGGCACTACACAAGTCCTACACGTCAGGAAAATCACTACTCCATAGAACTGTGTACAAAACTAAAAAAGCTTCTTTGGAGGGGAGATGAAATCACTACTCACTACTCCATAGACACGTGTACAAAAAGGCACTACACAAGTCCTACACGGCAGGAAAATCACTACTCCATAGAACTGTGTACAAACTAAAAAAGCTTCTTTGGAGGGGAGATGAAATCACTACTCACTACTCCATAGACACGTGTACAAAAAGTCACTACACAAGTCCTACACGGCAGGAAAATCACTACTCCATAGAACTGTGTACAAACTAAAAAAGCTTCTTTGGAGGGGAGATGAAATCACTACTCACTACTCCATAGACACGTGTACAAAAAGGCACTACACAAGTCCTACACGGCAGGAAAATCACTACTCCATAGAACTGTGTACAAACTAAAAAAACTTCTTTTGGAGGGGAGATGAAATCACTACTCACTACTCCATAGACACGTGTACAAAAAGTCAATACACAAGTCCTACACGCCAGGAAAATCACTACTCCATAGAACTGTGTACACACTAAAAAAGCTTCTTTGGAGGGGAGATGAAATCACTACTCACTACTCCATAGACACGTGTACAAAAAGTCACTACACAAGTCCTACACGTCAGGAAAATCACTACTCTATAGAACTGTGTACAAACTAAAAAAGCTTCTTTGGAGGGGAGATGAAATCACTACTCACTACTCCATAGACACGTGTACAAAAAGTCACTACACAAGTCCTACACGTCAGGAAAATCACTACTCCATAGAACTGTGTACAAACCAAAAAAGCTTCTTTGGAGGGGAGATGAAATCACTACTCACTACTCCATAGACACGTGTACAAAAAGTCACTACACAAGTCCTACACAGCAGGAAAATCACTACTCCATAGAACTGTGTACAAACCAAAAAAGCTTCTTTGGAGGGGAGATGAAATCACTACTCACTACTCCATAGACACGTGTACAAAAAGGCACTACACAAGTCCTACACGGCAGGAAAATCACTACTCCATAGAACTGTGTACAAACCAAAAAAAGCTTCTTTGGAGGGGAGATGAAATCACTACTCACTACTCCATAGACACGTGTACAAAAAGGCACTACACAAGTCCTACACGTCAGGAAAATCACTACTCCATAGAACTGTGTACAAACTAAAAAAGCTTCTTTGGAGGGGAGATGAAATCACTACTCACTACTCCATAGACACGTGTACAAAAAGTCACTACACAAGTCCTACACGCCAGGAAAATCACTACTCCATAGAACTGTGTACAAACTAAAAAAGCTTCTTTGGAGGGGAGATGAAATCACTACTCACTACTCCATAGACACGTGTACAAAAAGTCACTACACAAGTCCTACACGTCAGGAAAATCACTACTCCATAGAACTGTGTACAAACTAAAAAAGCTTCTTTGGAAGGGAGATGAAATCACTACTCACTACTCCATAGACACGTGTACAAAAAGTCACTACACAAGTCCTACACGGCAGGAAAATCACTACTCCATAGAACTGTGTACAAACTAAAAAAAGCTTCTTTGGAGGGGAGATGAAATCACTACTCACTACTCCATAGACACGTGTACAAAAAGTCACTACACAAGTCCTACACGGCAGGAAAATCACTACTCCATAGAACTGTGTACAAACTAAAAAAGCTTCTTTGGAGGGGAGATGAAATCACTACTCACTACTCCATAGACACGTGTACAAAAAGGCACTACACAAGTCCTACACGGCAGGAAAATCACTACTCTATAGAACTGTGTACAAACCAAAAAAGCTTCTTTGGAGGGGAGATGAAATCACTACTCACTACTCCATAGACACGTGTACAAAAAGGCACTACACAAGTCCTACACGGCAGGAAAATCACTACTCCATAGAACTGTGTACAAACCAAAAAAAGCTTCTTTGGAGGGGAGATGAAATCACTACTCACTACTCCATAGACACGTGTACAAAAAGGCACTACACAAGTCCTACACGTCAGGAAAATCACTACTCCATAGAACTGTGTACAAAACTAAAAAAGCTTCTTTGGAGGGGAGATGAAATCACTACTCACTACTCCATAGACACGTGTACAAAAAGTCACTACACAAGTCCTACACGGCAGGAAAATCACTACTCCATAGAACTGTGTACAAACTAAAAAAGCTTCTTTGGAGGGGAGATGAAATCACTACTCACTACTCCATAGACACGTGTACAAAAAGTCACTACACAAGTCCTACACGGCAGGAAAATCACTACTCCATAGAACTGTGTACAAACTAAAAAAGCTTCTTTGGAGGGGAGATGAAATCACTACTCACTACTCCATAGACACGTGTACAAAAAGTCACTACACAAGTCCTACACGCCAGGAAAATCACTACTCCATAGAACTGTGTACAAACTAAAAAAGCTTCTTTGGAGGGGAGATGAAATCACTACTCACTACTCCATAGACACGTGTACAAAAAGTCACTACACAAGTCCTACACGTCAGGAAAATCACTACTCCATAGAACTGTGTACAAACTAAAAAAGCTTCTTTGGAAGGGAGATGAAATCACTACTCACTACTCCATAGACACGTGTACAAAAAGTCACTACACAAGTCCTACACGGCAGGAAAATCACTACTCCATAGAACTGTGTACAAACTAAAAAAAGCTTCTTTGGAGGGGAGATGAAATCACTACTCACTACTCCATAGACACGTGTACAAAAAGTCACTACACAAGTCCTACACGGCAGGAAAATCACTACTCCATAGAACTGTGTACAAACTAAAAAAGCTTCTTTGGAGGGGAGATGAAATCACTACTCACTACTCCATAGACACGTGTACAAAAAGGCACTACACAAGTCCTACACGGCAGGAAAATCACTACTCTATAGAACTGTGTACAAACCAAAAAAGCTTCTTTGGAGGGGAGATGAAATCACTACTCACTACTCCATAGACACGTGTACAAAAAGGCACTACACAAGTCCTACACGG